TTGTCGCAGACGACTCTCGAAAGATGTGAAAATAAAGTCTAGTAATATAAACACACGCTTTTAAAAATTTTAAAAATTATATTTAATAAACATGAATTAAATAATAATATATAATTACATAATAAATAGCAATTTTAGCACATAAATCAATTTTTACTTATTTCGACCATCAAATCAGAAACTCCCAACGTGTTTTATCGAAAAAACGAAACCGGTAGTATACACTGTGTTTTAATAATCTTTATTAATTAATTAAAAAAGATATAGATAAATATAAATTAAAAAAAAAATAAACTATAAGTTTACACAGAAGGTATACTTGCGCTTTTTGTATAAGGGCCGCGGTCAGTACCTGCTAGGTTGGGTTAAAGTGTTACGCTAAATAGGTAACGATCAAAAAGTTTCGCTCTCCTAGTGGAAAAGTCTAAACGCCGCATAAAAATGTTTTCATATCAAAAACTTTTATTTTGATCAACTGTGTGATAATATTTGTGAGTTTAGCTGTTTAATATTGGGATTCAACCTTAAAAATTTAGGAGGGGGTCTTTGCGCCCGACCGAGCCCCACCTTCTAAATACGTCGCTAAAATGAAACCAAAATTAAACTGACACAATTAGATCTTAAACACAGAGACACAAAAATATTAAAACTCCCGTATACTTTCATTAGAAAGTCTAAATAATAATTACTATCTAGGCTCACTAATTTCCAATATTGATTTTGTTATAAGCTACTTAATTAATCTTATATTTGCGATAAGATCTAAAATATAACACAATGAAAATATATTTGAACTACTGATATCCCTTATATACTGATATACTCCCACATCAGCCATCCTCATATCACATTAAAAACTCCTTCCATCACTTTTTTTGTCTTCCTCTACCTCTTCTCCCTTCAACATTCATTTCCATAACTATTCTTACAGCTTCCGATTCATCTCTTCTTATAAAATTACCAAAACATCTAAATCTATTTTTTCTCATCTAATCCACAATTGACACTAGACATATACTTCCTCTTATATGTTCATTCCTTATCCTATCTTCTCTAGTCACTCCACTCATCCATCTAAGCATTCTTATCTCTGCTACACTCATTATCGGTTCTTATTTTTTGTCAATCGTCAAACACTCTGAACCATACATCATAGCTAGTCTCACTACAGTCTTAAAGAACTAACCTTTCAGCCTCATTAGTATTCTCTTATCGCATAACACACTAGATGCTTCTCTCCACTTCACATTACCCACATTTAATCCTATGTCTTACATCCTCGTCAATACTACTGTTCTTTTGCATAACTGATCTTAAATACTTTCCACCTCTCCTATCACGTCCTTATTAATAGAATTATTCTTATGATTTATATTATCTGTAGCCATTATTGATTTTTGATACAAGTTATTTACTGATTCATTTAATTATTTTATTTTTTAAAAAGACAAGACTTACAGTATAGCAAAATGATATTAATCATGACAACCTCTAATAGACAATAAAATTTCCATTCCAGGGGAATTCTAATCTGTAGAATACTCTAATAAGTCAAGAAAATATAATTTCGACAATTTTTGATAATATTTAATGGTAAATGTACTATGAATGGTAATTCGTAATAAACTATAATTTAATACCTAGTTAGATATATCAAATTATTTATATAAATTGTAGACCTTATTATTTATTTAGATATTTTTTCTCATATTTAGGGTTTTGAAAATAAATTATATCTCCAAGACAAGTTAAAAAAATTAATAGTAGTCAAAAATCAATACAAAGATGGAAAATTTTTTGCAGAGACATTGCATCATTTATCTAAGATAAGGTTATTAATTATTTATATCTTGAAAATTTTTTTTAATACTTGTATATAGGATGATTGATTTTAAGTAAGACACTCATTTTCTCAGAAACTATTTAACATTTTTAATTTTTGTAAAGAGAAAATTTAATAGATTAAAAAGCTCTATAATAATATGTAGTGAAATAATTTTTTATATTTATCCCTTCAGGGTTAACAAAATCTTAAATTTAATTTATTTAAATAGGAACACCTTCTTTTAACTTGATAACTTAATTGGAAAAAAATTCCAAATAATTTTGTTTATTTAATATTTTTTATTTGATAAAGCTGTTTTTTTTCTTCAAAATTCAACTGTTACAGCACGTTAAAGTTCAGTATTTTGAGGACAATTTGCCAGTGCTATTTTGTTTTAAGAAATAAGAGAATTATTAATTTTTTTTATATTTAACACAAATTTTAATTATTATACATTAGTCGTCAGTGAAAAATAATTATATTGATAACTACCATAAAAAATTATTTAAGGCTAATTGACACAAATTATTAGTGTTTACACTATTGAGAAAACTAAATTAATGCTGAATTTTTTCTCTAAATCCATATTTTCAAATCCAAATGGTTGATCAAATAAAAAAAATTAGGAGAATATGAGGTAAAATGGGACAGCTCATTATCTAAAAATTAAAGGTTCAGGTAAATATTAAATAGTCTTTCAAACGTTTCATTAATATTGAATTTATGATTACTAATATAATTTTTATAATAAGCAATAACTTTTATAACATTTGTCAAGTTATGTTATTTTGGTTTTCAGCGAACAAAATCAAGAAAATTCCAACAAGTTTAAAAAGTAATTTATGCTATTTATTTCTAAGAAATTATAATTAATTTATAAACATGTATAAATTATAGTATTCTTTAGTTTATAAATATTATACTAATTTAAGTGTTTCAAAAAAATAACTCCATTTGGAACAAAATATACTGTTAGGGGCAGACAATACAAGACATTCCTATTTTTCCCTATTCATATAATTTATAATTAAAAGCCATTTATATTTCTATAATATATTTTTTAAATTAATCTGCAACTATAAATAATGATTTTTAGTGGATATCTTTTAGCTTCGACACAAGCTGAAACGGTATTAATTTTACTATGTGTCTTTTTTTTTTTTTTGTCTGTTACCACTTTTTCTTATCTTTCACCGAACCAATATCTTTCAACAATACGTCAAAAGATCACAAATTATATCTAGTCGAAGACATTACTCTCAAAAATTGAAAAAACTTCCCTCCTTCTCCATAAATGACGAAATTCTCCAAAAAATTACAAATTTAAAAATAGTCAATTTTCGACATTTTTTCAATTGTTTTACTTAAAACTACAATAACTTTTTCAAAAATGACCAAATCAAAATCATTTTTTTTATATACATATATGAGGTATTTACCTATCATTTGGCATATTTTTTTTAAAAATCTGACCCTTAACCTGCTCACAGATGGGGATTCAAAATGACAACTTTTTCACAAAAAATTAACTTTTTCAACTTAATTCTTGAAAGTGTTCCGGAAATGACACTTATATATATATATTTTAAATTAAAGCTTATGTAATATACTTTATTATGAAAAAAAATTTTTTAGACTTTATTTTGTTTTCAACATTTTTAAAAACGGACATCAAAGTTAATAAAAAAAATACAATTTTTGTAAAAAAATTATTTTTTATATTTTTAACTTTATAATGCTATAACTTTTTGAAAAATGTATGAATCATTAGAACTTTTTTAAGATTAGTACTATTTATATTCTTCTTTTATGCGACATAATTTTTTTTAAATAAAACCATTTTCCTATATATATATATATATATTACACCTGTAATCAGAATATAAATAAGGAAATAGGAGAATGTAGCTTTTAAAATAATCCACCAATTTTTTAAAATTAAACACTATATACAGATTTGCATCGAAGCGTTTTTTATTATAGTTATTTTAATCACTGTCAAATATCATCTATATTGGACCCAATTATGCCACGTCTCCACTGTGCTGGGTTTTTTTTTTAATTAATTAACATACTTGGGACATACTAAATTTAAAAGAACTAAGATAATAAAATGAAATAAGTTGCTTTAAAACTTATCAAATAAATAAAATATGTACAAAAATAATAAATCTATCTACTGTCTCGTATCTCATATTTAAATCTTGATGTAGGGGAAAAATAGGACATTTATTGTAACGTTTTGTTGTAAATACATGCATTTATAAGTAACAAATTAATGGTGTTTTTTAGTAGTACTTATCTGAAATTTCAATTTAGCTTTTGATTTATTTAAAAATGGTTAAAATTGAAAATTTTACATAAAATTAAAAATGATGTGTACTATTATGCCAAGGGTTCTGCTATTAAAATGTACTCCAATTTTTTTTTCTTTAAAATATCATGTTAAAAATTAAGGTTCTATTTGAGAAAATTAAAATTAAGTTTTTTTTTAACAAAAAAACAATGTATTTTACCATATTTCATTGTATAGTTTTTTGAACCTAATATTTTATTTCTCTAAAAGAACATAAAATCATCAATAGTTTTTGAAAAAATGAGTGTCTTGCCCAAATTGATTACATTGTATATCATATAGAAATTACTACAAATTGAATATCTAGTTAGATGATTGCTACATACAAAAATAAACTTGACAAACACAGCCATAAAACATGTTTTCTATTGTAAAAAAATTTAATTTATACAACTGTTTTTTATTCAAAATTAAGGACAATGTTTCATTTAAGGAGTACATTGTTCAAATGAATGTATATCAAAATATATAATTAATTTACTGGAGAGAGAATGATAGACTTCTTTTTCATCTTTTTCAAATATATTTGAAATTAAGTTTTAAACTAAGGATATTACCATTCAGAAATAATATTCATGATACTAAATAAAAAATGTGTACATAAAAATTAATAAAATATGATATGATTAAATAGTATGAGTAAAAAAATTGTAGTATTCTTGTATATTGTCAATACACCAAAAAAGTGAAATTTAAAAAAGAAATATTCAAACCGTTCTGATAAAGGTAATCGTAGTGTTATTTTTATTACAATTAAAACATTTTTTGGAATTATGCAACAAATAACTAATTATAATAAAAAAATTATATTCAGTTTACCTCATCATAAAAGTTTATTTCTGGTATTTGCTCATCTTCTGGTAAATGCTCACAGAAATCTTTAAATAACAAATAACCTTAAAAAAATTAATAACATACAAGATAATTTAGTTATTACAGAAAAAAATTACTAATTACATTTTTACCTAAAACCTGATTGAAAATTTTATCAAAATTTACTTCTTCTTTTTTCTCTAAGTATTTATGCATCACACTGCGTACACTGAAAAGAAACATGTTAAAAAATTAGTAATGAAAAGATGTAGTTAGAATTTAAGAGATGATATTTCTTTTTTAACAAATCGAAGAAATAATTACTAACAGATTGCTATCTACATTTTAATTTTTGAATCATGCTTCAACTCATAATGAAATAATGTTTGTTTATATTATTGTATTATTGTAAATTTACATAATTAATCAATCAATGCAAATAATAAAATATATTGATATCTTATAATTATAAATATAAAAAGAAAGTCTTTTAATTTTTTTTTGCTTTAAAAAGGAAATTTTTGGAACTTAAATATTTTAGAAGAAAAATAAAATCCTTAAGGATTTAAGGAGAACTTTTATTCAAAAAGGATATCATAATTCTGATAATAGCCTTTATAAACTTAAAGAATATAATATATAATTGTTTCTTATTTCAAGAGATTTTTCAAACACTAATTTTAATATTTTAATTTCATAACAGATACTTTAGGTAATTTTTTTTTTATCAGAGACAATTGCATTTCATTACTGTACTACATATAAGAAATCGGCTATGTTCTAAATTATTATAGGGCATCTTTTTAAAATACTTACACATATCTTTGTGAACAAGTAGTATATTAGTTATTGTTATAATTTAAATTTTTCAAGTTTTGAATAATTATTATATTTAGAATAAAATAGTATTTATGGTGTAAAATACAGTCACAAAATTATTCATCTAAAATTAATATGATTAATTAAAATTACATGATTTCAAATAGTACCAACATTCTTTTTATTAAATTTGAGATTTCATTAAGTTTCATGTATTTTATGTTATTTAACTTTTAGTCGGTCGTGTGGGATAATAATTATCACAGCAATTTCAAAATGTACTAGCTATTATATATTATAGCATGTAAAAATTTAATTAATAAAATTTTAGATCACTTTACATTAACTAAGTTAATAATGTTGGAGACATTTGCATTTCATAACTATACTATTGAAATAAAATCGGCTGTGCTCCAAAATTTTGTAGGACTTAAATTTTTAATATTTGCATTAAACTTTAAGAACAAATATAAATATTTTTTATGTCCATGATATAAATGAAATACCATTACTTTTCTTTTTTAACAATGTTATGTTAAAGAAATTAACTTTAATAATATATTTTGATAGATAAATTTTTATCAATAAAAGCTATGATTAACTTTTTATCTAATTATAAAATATCACATTTATAAGGAAAATAATTCTTTACTTATTTAGACTATAATAAATATTGTATCTAATGGTAAATAAAATGTATTGTTTGATTTTATGTAACTATATAAGCTATATGAACCATCTACTATAAACATTTACAACATTAAATAAAATGTTAACATGATATAATTTTCTACATCTTAGTTTAAATATTACTAGACTTCACACAAATCAAAATTTGATTTCATAACTCTTAATGATACTCTATAAACCACAGTTCAATAAGTGTAGGTAATTTTTGAGTTTTAAACATTTCTAGTTTTTTTTTACCTTGGATCTGGTAGTATAATTTTTTTACTGGCTCTAGCAGCAGGTGTACACTTGCTCTTCTCCATAGCCATCAGGTAGCTAACATCGGCCAACACGGCCTCCAAATCAGCCATAGTAAACAAGTTTATGACAACACAAAATTTGTTTATCAACAATTCGTGAAAAACACGAGGGGGGGTATCAAATAACAAAATGTGAAAAATGATAAATGAAGGCGAACGGATCACCACCTATTTCAACCTAGGCCAGCCTGATCACCAGCCTAGACTCGGTGGAAATCATTATCACTTTGCAGGCTTTGGAAGATTCATTATAACGAGGGTGGCAGTCACTATGCCACAATAAAAATAGTCCTTGCTACCGTCGTCGTCGTCACTTTTACAGCAACTATGATCATCGGACATGACAATCGATAAAATTTCGTTTTGTTTTCAGTTAACTATTTTTTACAAATGGATTATCGACAATATGGTATACGTATAATAGATCATGAAAACTATTCACAAATGTAATCACTTGACTAGGGCGATAGTAATGCAATGTGGTCAAAAACGACACCGACATGCGGGGGACGTTCAACCGACGGCGGTGTATCGCATAACTAGGTCGTCCGCGCGCATTATTTTACACACACGCGCGCACACGCACATACACGGCTAAGTGATTGCAAGCAAGCTGTTCGGACACTGCCTACTGTCAACGGTGAGAAACACGAGTTCACAGCCTTTTCTTTCCAATAATTGCTAAAAGTTTTCAACAAAAATAGGTTGACGTTGTATACTGATACGCTCCAACGTGATGACTGTACGACTGTGATTAACAACAAATTTACCTTAAATTGTTTGAAACTTGCTATGACCGTATGCGCTGTAACCAGTGCCACCGAGAAACGAGATATCGACGGAAATGGAAAAGATACTGATAACGATTTACATTCTGGGTAGGGTATTTACAATTACGACTAAGCAGACGGCAAAACTAAAATTTTGTCAGTGGCCTCGTCTTAATGCGCGGGCGCAAGTGTACAGTGTCATCTGATAGCTAAAACAAAATATTGACAATGAAACAGATTATAAAGCATTTTATGCCAGATAAGTTTTTGTTTTATTTGTGACATCACTATTTGACTAATATTTTGTTTTCCATTAAAAGTTCATAAGGTTTAAAATCTTGAAAACTTAACCTCATACGAATTGTAATTATTATTATGTCAGTGCCGATAGTATGAAGTTCAAATGTATCTGCCTGTTTAGATGAATGACAGATACCTAGAGATGTAATTTTTTTACAACATCGATGTATCAATGTTTAATTTTCGAACCATTGATGTGACAATAATGGAAACTTAAATAAAAATCGATGTTAAAAAATCAATGTACATGTGTAAACATCGATATATTGTGGAAAAATCCCTTCAAAGATCTTTGTTCAGTGACGCAGCTACTAAGCCTTGGGAACGTGTACGAATAGTACCCCACCTTTGCCCTCACCATAGTTTTGGTGAGGTAAATGGGTCCCCCCCATTCTTATGTTGTTCTGGAGTCCGTGTTCCTTATACACTCAATTTTTGCGACACTGTCTCTGCTAAAGTTTTTATATGTATGAAGTTTGACTATAACTATTTTATTAATAATTCGGTGTGCCTTGGTTAATAATGTGAGATAAAAAAAATTTTTTCAGATATTCACATTTTTTTGATGTTTTAATATATTTTTTATAGGTTTTACTATGATGTGTACTTATATGTTGCATATACAGGGTGTTCAGTAAGTCAGGAAACGGGTTTCCTAACTTACTGAACACTCTGTATATTTTTTAACGAGATTCTACTGTTAGATCATTAGCATTCATAAAACTATAAATGTACAAATTCACGTATTTTTATTATTAATATCAATGAAACAATAAATTGAATAATTTATTTATTGAATAATTAATTGAACATTAATTTTTACTTTAAAAAAATACCAAATTTAATTGAATAATTAATATGAAGAATACAATATCTTTAAAAACTAAAAGAATATTAACAATTCTAAAGAACTCTATTTAAATTTTTAGATTAAAGTATTAAAAAAGTGATTTAGGTAAATATTTTTGAAATAAAAATTTCATAAAAAACTGACAAAAAAAATATACTATTGGGTAGACACTGAATGTATATTTGACAGGAGCGGTTGGCGACTTTAGGTTTATTTGTATACGTAACGTATAATAAACAATAATAAACGAGCATAATTATTTTATGATGAAAAAAACAAAACACATAAAACAAACGCATATTTTACATCTATATTAGCTGTAGTGTTATCACAAAAAGCACTTTTTTTATTAAAGGGTATTCATTTGTGTGTATATACCCTTCGATGTAAATAGTACATACGTATTATTTTTCTAAGGTATGCGTTAATTAAAAAATTGTTAGTGAGTATACGCCGAATACTCCTCAAACACAACAGTATATTAGATTTATTTGGTATATGTTGAAGTTTTGTTTAACATATCAGGGTTAAGAACTGAACTAATTTCGATTTTTGTTAATTTTTCTTATGTCTAGTAAATTAGTTTTAATAAAAAAAATCCTTAAAATATATCTATAAGGATTTTAGTAATTAAGACGATTATTCTGAAAAAATATAAAAATTAAGACAAATTTTTATTCTCCTTTGTTGAATTAATTTCATTAATCAGATATCAAGAAAAATATTTGTTTGGCTACACTGATCTGTGTTAATACGTAAAAATGATAATGACTGGACGTGTTTTCTCTGATAATAAAAATAAAATCAATAATAAAAATTAAATATACATTTCTACAAGGATGAAATGTTAACCAATAGTTACTTAACAAGTCTATCGTAGCGAAGTGTATAATATAAGTAGGTGTTTATAGTTGTATATATAATATATATGTAAACTTACATAATATATTAAAAAGTATAAGCTACTTGTTGTTTTACATTCTCGAAAAATTAGAAGATAAAACTTTATAATGGAAAGTGATGAAGTAAATATTATAGCAGAAGAAGATGAAAAATCCATTTTAGGATCTGTTTCAGGTTAATATATTCATTATCAATGTAGACTTGTATAAACATTGTCATATTTAATTTTTAAATTAGCTACCCAAGAGTTTTTTTTTTTAAATTAACTAATATAAAATATTAATTGAATTTTTTATTTAAAAGTTTTATATAGTTGAAATAGTGTTAAATAAGTGGCGTAAGTGGTGGTCTGGAGAAAAAAAATTGTTTATATGCAAAACTTTTCTCTTGATTTATATACAATTCTTATTCAATTTATGCAATAAATTATTAGATATTAATTTCAAAAAGAAAAAAGTGAAAAAATATACAGTATCTTTTTATAAGTGTATTTTGAAGATTTGCTAAGACATGTTAAATACTCAAATCAATGCCGGTGAATTAGTACATGAGATTTTTTCTAACTTGGTTTTTTGGTCTTCCCTTCTTAAAAATCATATATATTTGTATGGGCTATTAAAGTTAGGATATTATAAGCTCTTTAAATCTTTAAAAGAACTTTATTTCTTGTCATAATTAATTATTCATTGATGATGTCATGTAGTGAACACACTAATTGCTGATAAGTTGTATTGTTAAGCTGCTGTAGGATAAAAATTAGGTGACCATATGTATATATATATATACATATAGGCAATGGGAAACAATTATTCTTAAAGATTTCCCAAGAATACACCAATCTAATAATTGTTAATTAACCTAACAATTTAAATATATTTATATATTATAGCATGTATAATTAATCAAAGTATAATCATTATAGCAGATTTCATTATTTTGTAGTTTTATTATATTAATAGTATAACTTATATACTAAACATGAGTTACAAAAATAAATCAATTTTGATAGCAACGGCGTAAGAAAATAGTACTTTGATGGTTACACATTACTTTATTATACTAATGTATTATTCTTAGAAAACAAAAGATATTGCATACATTGTAGTAAAAATAATAAATTTAATTATTTTAATAATTTGAATGTTTGATAATTCAACTAAATTATTTTCTTTAGATTTTATTGAAGGAAAAGGATGGTATATATTGACCTTTTGTATTATATTAATTTACATAGTCTCTAAATTGTGGCCTTATTATGAAAAATGGTTAACTCAAAGAAGAGAATCTGCACATGAAGCTGAAATAAAAAAAAGTAACTATTAAACTACCAAAATGATTACATAAAATTACTTTGTTGAATATATCTATTTAATTAGAATTTCCAGTTAAATTAGTTAAAACATTTTTTTTTATTAAAATTAAAAAATTATTTTTATATAATAAAATTTATTTTAACTTAAGATCCTGATTTATACAAAAAAAAACAAGAAGAGTTACAAAAATCCAGAACTAAATTTCAAGAAGAGTATGAAAAAAAAGCAAAACTGGCTTTAGAAAAACAAAAAGAGGTAATTTTTTTATTATAAAATTAATTTTCATAGTTGGTGTAAAACTGCTAATTTTTAAACGTTTAGAAACCTGTGTTATTATTGCTTTAAAAATGATAAATCATATAAAAGTGAGATATTATTATGTTTCCCAACATTAAAAAATTTCAAGGTACTGACATTATATTTGTTGTCAAAATCTTGACATGATAATGTTGTTATATTATTATAAACTATAATAATTTGTGAACATCTTTTTTAGAAAGAAAAAAAAATACTAGAAGAAAAACAGGCATCATTAAATAAAACTTCATTGGGACATACTATAAATGATTCTGAAAGATCAAAACGTTTTAGACCAGGTAACAGAACAAAAATGTTAAGTATAATATCTAAGTTAGATTGGGTGTTTATGACATATGCCCTTTCTCTGTGCACATGCTATAAACATGAGTCTTTTACTTTTAAAGTATACCTATAAAATCTTTAGTACCTTATTTGCTTATAGTATCATTTTTTTTTATTGATTTGAAAGTAAAATCAGAATATTCAATCAACCATTATTTTTTGAAAAATATTTATACTTTCTTAATCAATTTTGCATTGGTATTCAATGCAAGTGAAATTATTTTTTAGATAATTTTTAAATTTATCTATATTATATTGTAATATAAAAATTTTAAATGTAGTATTCTGTCAATTTATTTTAAAAAATCATGAATATTCATTTTTCAGAATACAATCCTTTAATGGGATCTGGTAGTGGTTCAAATTACAGACCTCCAAGAAGAAGTCCATGCTCTGGAGGTGGATGCGGTTAATAATAAAATTAATTAAATGAATAAACCTTTGTTAAAACATTTATTTATTATTGAATGTTAAAAATATATTATTCTTAATAATAAATATAATAAAAAGTTGAATTCCTTCCAGTTATTAACATTAATTTTACCTTCAAAATTAGTATTATTTCGAACTTAACAAATAAAATAGAAATTTTTTTTTTTATTTTAATAAATTTATTATTTTGTTAATAAAAATCTTGATTAATTGTTTAGTTTGTTTTTATGCTTTGATTTATTAGCATTAGAATCAAGTAATGAAAATTATTTAGTGAAAATCGTTTTCATTTTGCTAATTTTAAAGCTTTTATTTTTGCTAAAGTACCTACTTTTAAACTAAACATTTTAAATATCTATTATTAGATTGGGGGAAATGTTTGATCTTAAAATTAAAAGCTATAGAATTTTAAAAATAAATATTTGCAATAATCTTTAAATCCTTAAATTTCATTTAATTGCAAAATATGTTAGTATGATAAAACCATATAAATGCAGCAATCATTCGTATAATCAATTTTTGTAAATTGGTAATAAAGCAAATAAAACTTGAGCCATAAGTAAGTTTTTTAGTCTTGAAAAATCGAGGTTCTAATATTAAATGAGGTACAAGTGTAGCTTAAATTTTCTAATTACAAGTCTATAATATTCATATTCCAGAAATAATTATTTCTAATTAGAAAATAATTTAATAATATTTAAACATTTTTGGAAATAAATAAATTTTTAATTACTATAACAAAAAAGATAATTTACTTAGATTTTCTCCAAAATATTTAAATTAGGCTAATTTGTACATTTAATTCTAGATTCTTGGTTTCTATATCAAATTATTCTTTTCATTCTAAATATAAATTCATTATCACCTAACAAAAGCTTTTAGTAATTTAAAATAAAGATTTCAACAGTTATTATAAAACTATTGTAACATTAAATAATGTTAACTTATATTACACTTAACATTTAATAGAAAATAATTTAATTATTAACTATATTAAATTCAAGTTGTAAATATTGTCTCAGTGACTTGAAATTATGTTAAAGCAAAATTTATTAGTTGTTAAAGGGTGACAAAATCTCCTAATGCCACCAAAACATGTAGGTCCATTGTACTCACCTACCAAATTATATTACAGCAAGCAAAATTATATTTTTTAAAATTTTAGTAAGTTCCATCAAGAAATGTTTTCAACACAAATACATGAACTGTTAATTTTCTCAATTTAAAAATATTAAAATAATTTTGTTAAGTTTTCTAGTATAATGTAATAAGAGATGTAACATTGATATAATTATGCTGTTATGTTTTCTCTTCATATGTATGGATTATTTCTTAATAATCTTTTAAGTTTTTTCATCATATCAATAAAATTTTTTAAACTAAGATAAAGCTTAGATCTGCGGTTATGCAAACAGTAGTAACTGAAATTATTTTAATAAATTAATATTGTTTGATATATATATATATAAAAAATAGCATAGTGGTAATTTGGTATAGAAGGGGCAAAAATAAATGTTATCCGAATGTGATTAATGTTATTATCTTAAATCGCTTTGTTGCAGATCTGTTATATTTCACAATAATTTGTATATTTTTAATTTAATAATTTCTGTATTTTAAAATTTTACTCAAATGTAACATTCTTATTAAATATTTTGGTTGATTGGAAATAAAATATATAAATATTAGATTCTATGCCAAGCTGAGAATGTATTAATTCTACTAGATATGTTAGCTTCGATGCGAAGCGGAGAAGGTATTAGTTTTACTATGATGTGTTTTTTTTTTTTGTCTGTTGCCACTTTTTCTCAGCTCTCACTGGACCGATTTCTTTCAAAAATACGTCAAAAGATCACAAATCGTATCTAGTTGAAGACATTACCCTTAAAAATTGAAAAACATTCCCTCGTTCCCCGCAAATGGGGGAAATAATCCAAAAAAATTACAAATTTAAAAATCGCTAATTTTCGAAATTTTTTCACTTTTTTTTCTTAAAACTCCCATAACTTTTTAAAAAATCAACAAATCAACATAACTTTTTCTTATACTAAAACCTTAGATATTTTCCTTTCATTTGATATAATTTTTTTGAAAATTTAACACTTAACCTGCTCATTGGGGGGGATTTAAAATAGCAACTTTTTTACAAAAATTAACTTTTTCAACTTAATTTTTGAAAATGTTCCGGAAATACTGCGACCTTCAAATATATATCAAATTAAAGTTTTTTTTATGTACTTTAAAATGAAAAAAAAAAAATTTGTCCCGNTTTATCAAATTAAAGTTTTTTTTATGTACTTTAAAATGAAAAAAAAAAAATTTGTCCCGACACTTTTTCTTCTACATTTAAACAGCTGCCGTAGTTAAAAAAACACTATTTTTGTGTGTAAAATTTTAGATTTAAAATTTTCAACTTAAAAATGCTATAACTTTTTAAAAAATGTATATATCAGCACAAATTGTTTTTTTCAAAATACATTATAAGTACATCTTTCATTTGACATACTTTTTATTAAAATTGGACAATTTCCCTTTCTATAGGGGGCGTTCAAAACTTGAAATATTGTAAAAAACATAGTTCTTTTCAACTGAACTTTTGAAAATGTTCCGGAATACTGCGCCCTTTAAACATATATCAAATCAAAGTTATGTTATATACTATCAAATGAAAAAAAAAAAATTTGTCCCGACATCTTATCTTCTATGTGCAAATGGCTGTCGAAAATTAAAAATAAATGTAATGTTTGCAATAAAAATTACCTTTTATCAGGATGTTTTTTGTACATAAACTGCCATAACTTTTTCAAAAATGAACAAATAAAAATAATATTTTTTTGTATTGAAACCTTAGATATTTCCCTTTCATTTGATATAATTTTTTTTGAAAATATAACACTTATTCTCCTCACTGGGGGGATTTAAAATAGTAACTTTTTTACAAAAAATAACTTTTTCAACTTAATTTTTGAAATTGTTCCGGAAATACTGAGTCCTTCAAACATATATCAAATTAAAGCTTATTTTATGTACTATAAAATGAAAAAAAAAAAATTTGTCCCGACGACCTATCTTCCATGCGCAAATGGCTACCATATTCAAAAATATGCTATTTTAAGAAATTTTTTTTTTTTAATTAAACACTACCTACAGATTTGCATCGAAGCGTTTTTTATGATAGTGATTTTAATCACTGTCAGATATCATCTATACAGGACCCAACTATGCCACGACCCCACTGTGCTGGGTTTTTTTTTAGATTTATGTTGAAATATTGAAATTTTGGCATTTTTATTTATTTATTTTTTGTCTATCATTACTTTTGCTCAGCTATCACAGGACCAATTTTTCTTAACGATACGTTAAAAGATCACAAATCATATCTATTTGAAGATATTACCCTCAAATATTAAATAGTTTTCCCTTGTTCCCCGGAAATGGTGAAAATTTCCCAAAAAATTACGATTTTTAAAATCGGTCAATTTCAACATTTTTTTCTCTAAAAATTGCCATAACTTATTAAAAAATGAACGAATCAAAATAATTTTTTTTACATTAAAACCTTAGTTATTACTTTTTTATTTAATATAAATTTTATGACAATTGACACTTAACTTGCTTACAGGAGAGAAATTAAAATAGCAACTTTTGAAAATGTTCCGGAAATACGGTTTCTTAAAACATATGTTAAATTAAAGCTTGTTACGTACTATAATTTATAAAAAAAAAAATTGTCCCGGCGACTTATCTTTGATGTACAAATGGAAGTCGAATTTGAACAAAAAATAGAAGTTTACATTTTTAACTTTATAATGCTATAACTTATTGAAAAGTGTATGGATCAACACAATTTTTTTATGAGAAATAATATTTTTTAATAATCCCTCTTTCATTTGACATACTTTATCTTAATCAGGATATCTATAAGGAACTTGTAGATCATGTAGCTTATGAAATGATCCACCAATTTTTTAAAATTAAACACTATCTAGAGATTTGTTTCGAATCATTTCTTATGATAGCGATTTTAATCACTGTCAGATATCATCTATACCAGTCTCAACTGTGTCACGACCCACTGTGCTATCATTTTTTTAATTACTGTTTTTAGCTTTAATGTGTAGATGTGAAGCTATTGGTTTTACTTTGCCTAGTTTAACATTTCGGCGCTACAATTTTAAAAATAGATAAATGCTTCAAATTCTATATAGCGTAAGTACTCATGTTATTCATAAATAGCACACCAAAAAAATAAGCTTATTGTCTTTGGAATAGCCTACAAAAATTTTATTAGTATAATTGTTATTATAAATGTTAAAATACAGAAAAGAAATACGGAAAATGACATGGTTTGTTGTCATGTAATTTTGAGATATTCTTTTTAAATTTCTAAAATTAGAGAGTTTTATTTTAAAAAGATATAAAACAAAAAGCATCAAAGCTTTAGATAAAAGTCCTTATAATTTTAAAAGAAAACCAATGAAGTCATAATTTTACGGACAAGAGGGTGATTATTATTAATGTATAACTTTTCATACCCAGTTCACAAAAGAGTTGTAATGATAGAATAAAAAAAAACCACATAAAAAATTTTAAACTTTTTTTTATTGTTTTTTTTTAAATATTTTTTATTTAAATGTATTAAAAATAATTACATTCATTGAGGTGGAGCTCTTCCACGTCCAAATCCACCAAAAGCACCAGGTCCTCTCTGAAACAAATGAAATTTCAAATTAAAATTAGCTGAGATAAAAATAGTATAAGTTAAACAAATATTTAGACAAATAAATTAACAAAAATGAAGTTTTCTAACCTCAAAGAATATTTTAACAATATAAAATCTACTTTAGAAGTAATATTTTTATTATTCATTATAGATATTTATACTGGATATAAATAAATAAATAAATACAATATTATTTTAAATTATGATTGCATATTTCACATTTTAGTAAAAATTTTCTGTTTATACAAAATACATACAATTTTACAAATTAACAAAGGATTGTTCAGATATTATTAATAGTTATGCCATGAAAATTAAAAATAAAAATATTAACTTACAAAGTCTAACTCTGCAGTACCAGCACCAACTTCAGCTTTCTTATCAGTACCAGGAGCACCAGGTGCACGTCTGTAAGTTGCTCTGTCTTCTCCAGACCTACCTCCTTCTGGTCTAGCACCAGGAACAGCTCTTGGGCCTCTAGCATCTTGTCTTGCTTGTCTTTTCAATGTAGCTGGGACAATCTAACAAATTATACACATATTATATATCATAATAGTATGAATTTCCTACAGTAGAATTATTCTGGAAGTTATATTGAAATTACCTAATCTCTACAAGATAACAAATTTCAAATTTTTGTATCAATCAATATTCAATAAATTTAAATATTGATATAATACAAAATATTAAAAAAAATTAATTAAAATTACTTCTGTTGGTAAATGAAGATAATCTCTAAGATATTGAATTCCTTCGTTGGTTAAATACCAATAGTAATGACGCCAAGCAAATTGTTCTTTGACATAATCTCTAGATTTCAAGCTCTAAAAAACATTTTAAAACAAAAAATTTAGATAAAAACTGATATAACTATGGAATAATAGTAACATACCTGCATAGCTTTAATGACTTGTAAATTGGGAATACCTTCCAAATCAGGATGCACTGGTTTGTGAAAATCCTTTTCAGCTACCATTACACCTTCTTTGAATAAATATTCATATATGGCTCTGCGATTCTTTTTTGGCATCAACATTCTGCAAATAAGAATTGAAATTAGTTAAATGAGATGTATTTGTGAATAAATATAAACTATTATCAAATACAAAAAAATATTTGTTTCTTTTTTTAAACTTTCATGATCTGAGATCCAAATTAACATTTTTCCATAAAAACGGCTCATTTAAATATCAAAGAAAATGTTTAAATAGAATTAAAAATCTTTAGTTTGATACTTACTTGGATGTATTTAGATAAAATTTCTAAGTAGAGAAGTTTAACACTGTACGCTTACTAAAAAGAAGATAGTCAAAGAAGAACATTATCATAACTCAAAAGTATAACCCTAAAAATGAAATGTAAACATTTACTATAAACGTAACCATGGTATCTTAATATAATTTTGTATCTGTAATTGATAAAAAACACGTGTTGAATTCAATATGTGGATATCATATTATTGGTGGAGCGTATGAATCGGGACAATTATTCGGTTGGATGGATACTTTATGATAAAATATTTACCAATACTGAAATATTGGTTGGAATTGTATTTGATAGGAAAGTGTAATACCAGAAACCGAACTTGGGGGGATTATCTAGGAAAATACTAATAAGCACTATGGTCAGGGAGATATGGAGAATTGTAGTGGAATCGGTAATGGACCTATAAGGCTATTATTTTAGCTAAATTAGTGAGAATATATTTGATAACAAATAATAGCCGTTGAATAGAGATAGCAGAGTAATAATATTTCAATATCTACATTAATGGATATGAGTTAACCTGTGCCCAATTCAAATCACATTCTTAGGGGATTTTAAATATTATTTATTACACTTTTTGTTGAATTTTTACTATATTTTTGTAAAAAAAAAAACAAGTTTCTTACTATCTTTTATTTTTCCTCGATTTCAAATTAAAATTTACATATCATCTTGTTTTAAATTTTTACTATTTTAATTAATTTAAATGATTAATATATAACATGTCTGAAATAATATACTCTAATTTTTATGATGAACTTCCTGTTATTGAATCAATGTTAAGATCTTCTGCATTTGTCTGTATTGATATGGAATTTTCAAAATTACACGATGATAATGCAGTTCCTTTCACGTAAATTTTGAATACTATTATATTTATTTGCTTTCCTTTATTTATTTTTATATATTCATTCATCTAGTTCGTTATTAGACTTCATTAACTATATAGCAAGGTTTTAGAAATTATTTGACCAATTAGTAACCGCAAAAATTAATCATAATAATAAAAATTATGTCAGTTTTCAAATTTAGTATTAACTTATAATAAAAATATATAATATATATAATGAATGATAATTGGTTTGAACGAGGTATTTTATAAAGCAAGCAAATTGGCTAATTCTGGCATAATCCCACATAAATCTATGTTCAAATACTATTATAATAATAAATATGTTAAGAAATTTGTTTTCTAGTCTTATATATATTTCCTTATTTATAAGTCTTTAATTACTTTTCCGTTATACCTTTTAAAGGTTACAACCTTATTTTTTTAAACTTGCATATTTAACTAGCTTATAAAAAATGATCAAATTAAGAAAATGACTAGTCGATGACAACTTTTGGCCCATTATTTTGTAAATTATTACCGTTATAAAATATAGACTGGAGGTAAGATGTGGTTATGACAATATTTATCATTAGACGTTTCTTAGCCATATCCCTCATTCTGCCTTGGTATAAAAATATTAACAATTTGTGTTCCAAAAATTGTTTTTTTCCAATCAATTTCTTAATTTAATCATTATCTATTTATAAGCTAATTAAATATGTATATTATCATTTAAAAATGGTAATATAGTACCATCATTAAATCATTAACCTCCCTAATAATTCATCCTATTAGGGATGAATTAAACGAGTATTTAATAACTGAACTATGATAGTAAAAAGTATCTTTCAATAAATTTACTTTATGTCAAACTAATTTTTGTTGCCTTATTTTTTTAATATATTCAATATTTTAAAGGACTCTTAATAGTTTTCATAATATTTTTGGTTTTAATAGGTTTTTTGATACGTTAGAAGATCGATATCAAAAATTGCGTTTGAAAGTTAGTGATATTACTTGTATTCAACTTGGATTATCTTTTTTCATTTATGATGTAAAACATAAAACTTTTGATGCAAGTTCATATTCATTCTACACATTTCCTCAATCATACTTAAAATATGACAATATAATAAAGTTTCAGACATCATGTGTTGAATTTTTATGTAGGCATAAATTTGATTTCAATAAGGTAAATAATTGTAGTTATTTAGTGAGGATTATTTATACCTTATTACCTATAGAGTAGTTATACTCAACTTTTTTATACTTATGTTCTGCTAATATTTTAAACAATTTTCATATACCATTCAACTTTTTAATATTTTTCTCTAAAAAAATACTTGTATTCTTTTATATGTATGGAGTATTTTATGATAAGTTTTAAAATAAGAAAATATATGTTTTATTTATAAATTCAATCACTATAAATTATTAATAATTATAATTTTATCTTTTTATTTTCTTGTGAAAGGAACTTTTTTCACATATTATAAGTTGAAAAACTGACTAGTTTTTACTTATCTCATTGCCTATATCTATGGGTTACAATTTCAATAGAGTAGGGTAGGACAGGACGACACTGACTCTGATTTACTGTTTTAACTTTATCTTATTATTAATATACAGTCCCTTTTAAATGAAGAGTTTGTAGCAACCAATTAATAATTCCACTTTTGAACATTTTTTACAACATTTAATTAATTTATTTTATATTTAAACACAGCAATAAAACATTTGCCTTTTTTACTATAACTCAATGGCAAAATACCTTTACGTAAAGTAGTTTTAGCCATATATTAAATACCAAAAAGTAAACTTTTTAAAAAAGTGGAATTATTCAGTTGTTGTTCAATCAATATATTTTTGGATCAAGAAATTTTATTAAATTTTTTAGTTATTTCATCATAGTATTCCATATTTAACAAACACGCAAGAAATTGACATTCAGGTGCTAATATCAGATGACAACATCTTAGATGATCATTTTAAAAATAATGTTTTTCGTTCTGTAAAAGAAGAACTAATTGAACAGTTAAAATCAGTTAATGAATGGTATGACGGAGCAAAAGAAGGAGATTATTTGTTATTAAAAAAATATGAGTGTAACAGTCCACTTTTTACTTACTTACTGTTACATTATATTAAAAAGAAACATCAAAATGTGTGCTTAAAAGAGGTATATATTTATTGTTACTGTATATATATCTAAAAAATCATAATTATATTTTTTTCTCTATGCAAAATATTTGACTTGATATTGTAACTTAATATATTATAATTAATAGGTCTTGTTTTGTTAAAGTATATAGGATAAAAAAAGTTCTTCTGTAACCAAATTTGCCTGTATGAAGTCTATAAAAATTGAATAAAAAGCTATTTATATGATTTACTCTTTTGTAGTTATACCTGTTTTAAAATCTGGAAATAATTGGTTTTTAATGCAACTTTTAACTTAAAAATTATACAAAAAAAAAAACAACCTTCAAACTTTATGTATGTAATGAAGTCTTTTTATTTGATTTTTATAGCATAATGTGGTATTATTGGTTCTGATACAATTTTGATTAAGATTTTTGTTTAAGGAACATCAATATATTAATATTACTAAAATGTCATTTAGTGAAAAATCATTTCAAAAAAATGATGCTTATTATAAAAAGAAGTTCTATACTAAAATACTTGGCATTAAATATCTTTTAAATTTATTGTCAGAATTGAAAAAGCCTTTAATTGGACATAACTGTGCTATGGATATTTTAATATTATGTAACCAATTTTTCAAACCATTGCCAAGTAATTTTTTTTGTTTTCACTTTTTATTATTAACATGAGTTTGAAAAATAATAAAGACATTTGATAATTTTTTTTTAGATAATTTGAAAGATTATCAAAGTTTTGTTTCCAATACATTTGGCCCTATTTATGACACAAAATTAATGTGCAAGGAATTTAGACGATTACTTCCTAAAAATGGTAATTAAATAGCATTTTATTTTTCAAACATAAACATTAAAATGGTCAAAAATATAAAGTACAGGTTAATGGTTCTTTTAAAATTTTAGAAACTAAGTTTATGACCCATATACAGGTGGAACAGATCTAACTGACAATTCTTAAAACTTTTGATATAATTAATATTTCACTGTAATTTTTTTAAAAATAATTTGTGCTTGTTTAGAACACATTATAATTATATCTATATTAATAAAGAAAAATTAAAATTAATTTTTAACATTTTAAAATAGTCATTGAAAAGTAGTTTTTATTTATTTCTTTCTTAATATAATTGATCAGAAGTTAAAAGTGTTGTGAGTTTGAGATCTGTTCTATTCTTATATATGTATCCAAGACAAGAGATGACTCGGATTTAAATTTTTGATCCATTTTTATTTTACTAATTTTTTTTAAAACTACTTTTGAATTCTTAATTTATCTTAAAATATTTTCGTTTTTTAAAAGTATTTAATAAAACTGTTTGGCTCTTTGTTGTAAGGGGAGAATGGAAAATTATACTTTTCATATGAACACCACTAGTTTATTAATTCTTCAAAATAATATATATTCATCATTAATCATTTTAATTTATTAAAACTTTTTCTAGTAAGTTATAACTATTAATATTATTAAATTTAATTATATCTGTTAATTTTTAAACGTATTTATTATATAATTGTATAGTTAATGTAAACTAAATATTATATTAATGAAATTATATTTTAATGAAGTAAATTGGGATGGAAGCTCTCTTTCTGAAATTTATCTGTTTTTAAAAGACGGTGATGCTAAAATTTATTCAGATTCATTATTTATCAAACAATCTACCGAAGAATGTATGTAAATTTATGTTATAATATTTATAATTTTAAATTATTATCTTATAAATTATTAATGTTATCTAAATTACAGTTGAGGATTTGAAACTACATCATGCTGGATGGGATGCTTACTATACAGGCTATTGTTTTATCAAAATAGTTTATATTACTAAAAATTTTTCAAGTAATACGTAAGTTTAAACAATTATATATTTTATCAATATTATATTTTCATTTTGGAAGAAATAATTTGTTAATTACTTTTAGGAAAATATTGTAAACCCTATTCTGTATGCAAAATTAAACTTCACAATAGGATGAAAATTCATTATTATATTCATACATTTTTTTTAGTTATAAAAAAAAAATTATTAATTTTTTGTTTTTATCGCTTTTATAAAGTTTAATATACTTTATTACTTTATTTATAAGTGTATCTTAGTCTACAAAAGTAAAATTTTGATCATAGATAAAGAATGTAATTTTCATATAATCATTAAATTTTATTCAACTTTAAAGTTCTATAACTCGGTCAACTTTAATTTTTTTTTCAACAAATGGTACTTAATTTTTTTACTTTTAGCTTCGATGTGAAGATGAGAATTTTATGTTAAATATTTTGATACCATTAATTTTTTTTAACATACAATGTTTGTAACACTACTCAATAAAATTACATGAAATATAAGACTTCCACTTTAACACACTATATGCTATAATCTCAAAATTGTGTACTTACATATTAATAATACAATTGCACTGCATAGACTTCATCATTGCAACTATACCCTCTATTTAATTGTTGAGTTTTATGATCCATATTTATATAGTTTTAATGGTTTTATTTTAGACAAAATGTCAATCGAATGTATACACTAATAGAATTATTTAAATCTGTAGAATCCTTAAAAAATAAAGTTTTCACTAGCAGATTAATGACTAACTGTATTGTAAGTATAAAACAGTAATATAGAATCCAGTTTTTAATTAAGTCTTTATGAGAAAAGTTAATAAATATTATTATTGGCCCTAATTTCTTGCTTAAAAAAACTAGTACTTTTATCTTTTTCCATATAAAACCATTTAAATAAAAATGTTACTTATACCTCTAAAAACTAAATGTTTCAAATCTAATAGTCAAAATTAATTATTTTTATAATAAAAATAATCAGTTTTACATCCTTTTATTTCCTTAACTTAACATGCTACAGAGAATGATGGTCCTCTTTTTATATGTTGGGAGTTAAAGATGGTTTTTGGCTAAACCAATAATAGACAGAACGGGTATTATTGATGATTTGCACTAGAGGCCAGATATCACCATTGTAAAAATTTTGTTGACACCCTGTGGATTGAATTCGAGATCCTGTGCGCCGAAACATACATTTCTTCTCACTAGGCCAGACCTATTTTTATAAAGAGTTAATAATTATATCCTGAGAATGTTAAAAAATATTAATTTATTAATTATTAAATTTCGTGACTTTCATTTGAAATATTATATTATATTATTTTAAAAAAATGAAGACTTGAATTTTTATCATAGGTGAAAATAAAATAAAATTTTTAAATATGCTAATTATATTTCTTCTTATCATAAAAACATACTTTTATGCTACAATAAACTTAATTTTCTAAACTTTAATTAGTCAATTGTGGGGCTAAAACTCTATCTCACTAGTTTGTCCATAATTTTCATTTTTTTTAGCAAGTTTTTTTGGTGCCTAAGGAAAATACATATATACTTTTAATATTTCTTAAAAAAAATATCTCCATTTTCAGTTTTGCATTTTCATTGCCAATAATAGATTGGTAATAGCTATGAATCATACTATCATACTATCATACTACACTGAATGACTTATTCTCATTATTTGTTTAAAATCTTTTGTCTTAGGCACCACATCTTTACTATAGCTTTGTGTATGATTCAATTATTAATATTTTATTATTTGATTTAGGATTTACATTGTCACAATTCTATTTATAATCAACCTGAGTGTCTAGTAATAAAATCAAAAGGATTATTTTCAATGGCTTTAAACTTGAATGAAGTAATTATAATTATAATAAACAAATTTTTATAAACAATGAAGTTAATAGAAACATTACTTTTTCTTACTTAATAAACACTTAAATAGATTACAATTAAGGAGACTTAAAAATTTTATAATAACCTACTGACTATGAATATTTTTGGCCTCTAATTTTTTTAATGTAGAATTAGTGGCATATTTTCAAAAAAATTTATGGGGCTTTTAAAAATTTTGATTGGAATAGGTAGAGAAAAAAATTTTATATTACTACATCTCCTTCACAAAATAAGCAATTTTAAAATTTAAGGTAGTTTAAGAGTAAAAAAAAAAAAAGTCAGGTACTCAATACATTTATTTTACTGTAAAGCTTATGCTATGGGAGATTATTGACTCATGACTTCCCCAAATATTTCACTATCTATAACTGCAATTATATGAAAAATAGAATTTCTTATTGAATTATCAATAAAAAAAAATTTTTTTTTTTTTTTAGTTAAAAAATGATTTAAACTCGATGTGTAATTATGACATGAAATTAATTTCAAAATCAAGTGTACTTGTTGCAACTCCAATTTTGTAAGCTATTTATTTATTATTAATTTAAAGCTTCTTTTGAAACTTAACTCTTTGCTATTTTAATTATTTTATAATAAAATAAAATGTTCACTTAAAAATATAAAAATTAAAATTTATTTTCACATATTGCATATTTTTGTACAAAAGTTATTTATGAAATCGCAATTTTTGTAAAGAGTCAATGCATATCATAAAGTTATTAGTTTTATTCTTTAATTTTTTTTATCTCAATTTTATTCTTAAAAATTTTACTTACCAACTGGCTTGTTTTTTATAATTTATAGATTATTATTTATTTTAATTAGAATCTGTTTATACTAAATTAATTCTTAATATTTTCCATAATAACAGTATAAAATAAGAGTATTCTTAACTGTGTAATAACTTGTTAAACTTCACCTTAAATTCCTACAAAATCATTTTTTTACTTTAAAAATAAATTCTATGTATGGGTAAAAAAATAAAAAGAATTTTCTTTTTTTATACTACCCTAAATATACAGAGTGATTATGTTCTCATAAACCTTCAATTCTCTTCTTCTTTTCCTTTTTCTTCGCCTTAATCTCAACTACTTGGGGTCAGCCACCCTTATCCTAAACTTATATCATCTACGCTCATATCAGCCGTCCTCATATCGTATTCAGTTACATCCATCCATCTCTTTTTTGGTCTTCCTCTACCTCTTCTTCCTTCAACATTCATGTCTATAACTACATAAACCACTCAATTACTATTAAAATAAATACAATATCCATTCAAAGTACTAGTCCAAAAGTGTTATCAACCTATCATTTTCATAATTAGATTATATTCTATTTTATAAGTTAAATATTTTTGTTACCACTTAAAATAATAAAGTTGAAACACCTTTAAGTTATAAAAGATGAAATGTCACTAAAAAAATTTTTTAATTTTTAAATTAAAATATTTTTTTACAATGTTGAAATTATTTTGAAAGTAATTAAGTGGTATGTGATAAACCAATTACATTATTTATATATAATTGTAATAATAATAATTATAATTATTGAACTATGGTAAAAATTCTAACTTATTTGTTTTTTTTTATGAATATAATCATATTACACTTTTAAATATATTTAACACCTTAATACTGATAAATGTTAATAATCATTAAATAATTTCACAATTAATAAATAGATTATTAAAAACATATGATAACTATAAAATAACTTTATTTTTTATTTTTCTTATTAAACCATTAAATACTTTTTAATAGGAATAATAGAATTATCAAAGATATTCAAACCAAGTATGCTGTAGAGAAGTATAATGATTATAAAATCAGAAAGAAAAGGCAATATATATGTGTTGGATTCATGTAATGTTTATTCAATATTTATTATGATAGATCAAACTTGAAAATTCTTGTTTTTTAATTATTTCCAAATAAATAATTATTGGGATAGCAGATAGGTTAAAATAATGCAAAACTTCATAATTGTAAAATATTACATGTATTTTAACAATTATTAATAAATGAATGACTATTCAATTTTTGAAAAATGGATTAAGTAGTTCACTCTAGTCTCGAAGTATTGAAGTCTTTAATTTAATTACCATTTTTCATGTATTATTTTTAAATTTTCTTCTTTCTTTATCCATTTGGATAAAAAGGAAGATAACTCATATGTATAATTTACAACTAAACTAAAATTATTATAATTATTTACATCATTTTTATTTAGCTGTAAATTAAAATAAAACTAATTTGAAACTCTGTTAAAAAAATAAAATTAAAGAACCCTTATTAGCAAAAAAAATTCTCAGTTTTAATTTAAATTAGTTTTCATTTATTCAAATGTTGACCACAAAGGTAGTCTGCAGTTTTATTTTAATTTACATATTACTTAGTTAATTTAATACTCTCAATAAATTAAAAACATTATCATATGTAAGCTTTTTAATGTTATTGTTTAAAATTATTTTCAGAATATTATCTTCTTTAGCTATTACTATGGTATACCATAAAAAATGACAAGCTGAGTATGTGTTGACAGTATTATTTCATTTTATTATAAGAATAACCTAATTTAAGGTAACTATTAATTAATCAAGATAAAATTTACATTATAAACTCTTAAAAAATATATTTAATTACGTTATTAGTTATTTAAATATTATTGTTTTATTTTACTATTTGAAGGGATAAGTAGTTAAGGTGTTAACTATAATTCAGTTTTGTATTTAGAGGGGAGGTAACAAAGTACTATGTAAACATAATGCCGTGTTAGAAGTATGTGCTCCTTCGATTGGAAATGCTATGTTGACATAAAATATTTAATTTTGTTATTGTGTATAGCTCAAAATCAAAGTAAAAAAAATAGCTTGTAAACGTTTTATTGGTAGCTTATCTATTGAATATTTTTATATTGTCCTGTCTGCATAATATATTTTTAAATATGTCCTGCTAATATTTAAAAAAATTTTAATAACTTTTATCTTGAGAATATTTTAGTAGCAAGAAAACGTTTTTATAACATTACAATATTACAAATTTAATTATTGTGAATAAAGCACTGAATATTTATTTAATTAAGTATAAATTATTTATGTGGTGTATTAAATATTTAAACCTCGTTCTACTTTTTTATATTATTTGATTATATGTAAACATATTTATAATGTGCGGGTTGATTCCAAAATTCCCTTGCCCCTGATTACACAAGTGATTAATTTATTTCTAGTGATTGACCACTAGATTACTTTTAAAATTCTTATTATTAATATTCTGAGAAATTTTATTTTGACTTATTCAAGTAGTATTTGTTATTCAATTTATAAATGGTTCAATACTTTTAGAGTTTATCCCTTATAACTTAAAATGTATCAACTTTTTTTACTTACATACTTAATTAGCTTATAAAAAAGAAAATATTGTAATTAAAAAAATGACTGGTCGATAATAACTTACAAACCAGTATTTGACTTTGTGAATATACTTTGTTTATTAATTTAGTTTCAACTAAATTATAAGGATATGCTTTATCCTCAAGAAAAATGTATAGATCAAAATGTAATTTATAATACCAAAGACATTATAACCATACAATTTTTATTATATTTGTCCCACGACTTTCGTATTATTATCGATTTCAGTTATGTGTACAGAATTGTTTTATTAGTGTTTCTACGTAGAAACGTTTTTTATTACTTTTATCAATAACAATATATCATTAAAACAAAATTATTTTCATCATAGAATAGGTGACCCTTATCCTCCCCTTGTGCTCCATTGAATGTGTATAAATTCTGTTAGCGTCAATAAACCTTGACCTAGTGCAGCAAAGTGAGCTTTATTTTCCATGAAATTATAGTAGTGTATGTTATTGGATTGTTAAAGAAATACGACTGCGCATTACTCAATATACATAAATATGACTTGCCATTTCATTTTTTAACAAAAAACTTGATAACAATTTTACAAATATATGGGATAAAAAATGAAATAATCATTTATTTGATTCTACCTAATATAGTTTATAAACTATAATATAGAGCGGAACGGATCTAACTGACAATTCATATAACTTATGATCTACATAACATTTTATACTTTTTTTCTTTTAATCAATTTTTACAATATAGAACTATATTAGTAAAATAGGATATAAAGGGAGATTTAAAATATGTTTTATGTTATTTTTCGCAATTACAAAAAATATTTTTTAAATTATTTTTTTTTTTCGATTTTTTTTAAGATTTTAAGATAGCCATTTTATAGATAAGTTGTAAAGAAAAATTTTGATACCAAAAACTCTTATTTTAGTTCAGCAGTTGCGTTTGTACAGCATTTTGAAATTTTGATTTTTTTTTACAATTTTCCTATGGTATCAAATGTTAGTCCATGTTATGTAAAGTACAGAAGTAAACACTTATTACATTATTTACTGGTGACAGTACGCGATTTCTTTTCCATGGATAATAACATTTAACGCGCTTTATACAGAAATGATTATCTCTAATCTTTATTACAAAAGTTAGAAACATTATCGTATGTCAATTACGAGTGTTCCATGGATAGCCAAGTTAAAAGTGATTATTAGTTTGTGTAATTCTATCATTGTAATCATATTATTATAGGATATTCCTTGTTAGGAGATTTGATAATAAATGCACTTATTCACTTTCACGTTTCAATTTATGACATATGAAATTATTTAATTAAAAATTTAACATGTTTTAGACAATGTTTCTATAATTTTTTTTTAATTATTTGAATTATACTACTAATTGTTTCTTCATGTCAATTACAAATGCTTATTCAAATGTTAATAATTTTCATGGAAAAGAAATCACGTAATGTTACCAGTAAATAATGTAATAAGTGTTTACTTCTGTATTTTACATAATATGGACTAACATTTGATACCATAGGAAAATTGTAAAAAAAAATCAAAATTTAACAAACTTTAAAATGCTGTATAAACGTAACTACTGAATTAAAATAAGAGTTTTTTGGTATTAAAATTTTTTTTTAACTTGTCTATAAAATGGTTATCTCAAAATCTTAAAAAAATTAATTTTTAAAATATTTTTTATAATTGCGAAAAATAACATAAAACATATTTTAAATATAGTTCTATATTGTAAAAATTGATTAAAAGAAAAAAAAGTATAAAATTTTATGTAGATCATAAGTTATATGAAGTATGTAGTTTGCTGATGATATCGTGTATATAAAAGAAAGTTAACCAAAAACTTGATATGTGGAGATTGGCCATTGAAGGAAAGGGATTAAGAATTAATAGAAGTAAGATGGATTATATAGAGTATGAGTTTGACGAAAGAGAACACGAGGATGATGGAACGAGGAAATTAATGACAATAAACGAGGACTTATATTGAAACTATATTGCATGGGTCAGTGTTAGACGGTTGGCAGGAAAATAGAGCAGGTTGAGAATACTTAGATGAATGAGTGGAGTAGCAAAAGAAGATAGGAAAGGAATAAATATGTAAGAGGAAGCATAGAATTAGCGTCGATTATGGATACAATAAGAGAAAATAGGCTTAGATGGCTTGGTTATATTATGAGGAGAGAGAAATCAGAAGTTATAATAATGATTATAAAAATGCACGTTGGAGGAAGAAAAAGAAAAGGGAATCCAAAAAAAGGTAGTTAGATGTAATTGGGCATGATATGAGAACTGATGGTGTATGTACAGATGAAGTATAAGATCGTACCAAATAGAGACACTTATTGATTCTACCAATTAGATTATTATAATTATGCAGCGAATATTAATAAAATGATATTGTTTGACATTCGTAAAGAGGAATTAAAATAAAAATTTGATTATTTTAATAATCAATATTTTTTAAGTATTATCGCAACATTTTAACTTATATTAAAAATTTTTTACTCATTAATAGTTTTTATCTTTTCAGTATGATTTCTAATAAAACATTTTTCCTTTAGACCCTATAACACAGATGTAAAAGTGTCTTTCTTTTTTTCATTATCTTAATTTGCTTAGTGATTGAAATTTGTCAACTTTGATATTACTCATGTAATAAAAAATAATTAACTTAAAAGTTGATTTTTCGTATATAACAAATAATTTTTTAGTTGATTAGTATTTTATTCATTTGTATAATTGTTATTGAAAAATTTTTTTAAAATGCCCTACACTCACCTTAATATCAATTATTTTCAATAAATCTTATTTAATAATCATTTCTTTGGTTTCTAAATTTATATATTTCAATTTGCAAAAAATAAAATTACTTGAAAGATTACAGGAAAATTTGGCGACAAATTACATTTGATTTTTTTTTTTTGTAGCCAAATAAAAGTCGATTGTGCGCCGGTGTTGTGTACACGTGAAGATACACCGCAGCACCAACACACTTCATAACAAATCAATATGCTCACCCAAATGACCTAGTAAAAATGGCCGTGATCGCATTGTTCCTTCTATTCCATTTTAATATCTTACAGATTTTTAACATAGCCAGCTAAAATAATTTTTTTGTTAATTTGTACCGCGTTTTATTAAAATAACTATACTATTTAAAAAAAAAGTGTCAAAGAACTTAAAAAATGCCGTAGAAGAATTAAGTACCTATAAATCTTCACATTTGGTCTTGCGCATTACTAAAACTCTTTTTATTAATTCAAATATTTTATCTGTTAAGTGATTACTAATAAAGTATGTCTTATTTGGCACCTTAATTGTCTTTCATGAACCTTGGCGGAATTTAACGCATGTAGCCACTTTTTGAAATTGTTTTTTTGTTTAAATTTACAATTTTTGGAATTAAATTAAAATTAATTAAATTTTTCAGTATTTTTGCAATAGAAATTTACTACTACCTGCTAAAATGTCAATCAGAAATTATACATATAGGGTTTTTAGTAAGTAGGGAAAAGGGTTTCTATTATTCTCAATATTTGTAACAATTGACATGTTTCCTTTTATTTGAACACTGCACATAAAAGCATAATTCTTTTACTGTTTTTGTAATGAATAAAAATTAAAAATAAATTCAACTTTTTTTATAACTAAGAATAAGGTGAAGTGAAGATTATTAATGACAGCTGATTTTTTAAGAGATCGAGGAACAGAGGTGTACTAAAATAAAATTATATAACACAAATTTACTATTCGAAAGATATTTTGGAATCGCACAAATTGTTATTTACAGTCAAATAATTCCTCCTATACAATCAAGTAACGGATTGAAATAATGCTGGTATATAACTCGGATCTTTAATTTTAAAGTATATGCTATGTTGAAATGCCAAGAATAAAATTATTTGTTACTTTTGTTAAAAATTATTTTTAGATAAAAATATAATTTTTTTACAAAGTATCAAAATGCTATCACGCTAAAGACTATAGACTGGCACTGTTTAGATCCAATAAATGTTTACTATACTTATTACCAGAGCTAGATATAAAATATAAAATGTGCGATATCAATAAATGTAAAAAATCGTTAAACTTAATACAACTTATAAAATAAAACAATTCGTATTAAAATTAAAATAAATACTTTTCAAACAAAATATTTAAAAATATTCTAAGTGATAAAAAATTAGTCTAAATCCTGAATGATAATCTGAATGATTATATCCAATAAAAAAAAAAAAATGATCAAAAAGGTTTACATCAGATATGTAAACACAAAAAATTTGTATTCCCTCCTTTTATTGAAGTAGTCTAAAGATGGGTCTGCGGAAACATTAATGCAAATCAGAAGATAAGGAGTTATTATAACCTTACCTTTATTTAAGTAATTATTCTATGTAATTGGGTGAGTATCTTTTTGTCTTCGTAGACTAAAAAGATCCAAATCCTTTTTAATATAATTTTTTTTCGTCGTTTTTAGTAAACGGTGAGCCAAAATAACAATTACAAAATCAAAATTTATAGAAAATAAAATATGGTTATAGCACTTTATTGTAGTTTGAAATAAACCAGGGTTGTTACGTTTAAAACACCAAAAATGTAAAAATTTACATTTTTCTTATGGAATGTTTTAAATTGTTTATTTATATTTTAAATCGATTTTTTTTTAAACATGTTTTTAAAAACGCTGCAATAAATATGTAATTAATCGTATAAAAATCTTATGTTTGTCTACAGTACATGACTATACTTGATTTGCCTATATAATACGCCGTTGTACAAAAATATAAAACAATAATTCATCAATCATCTAACTTGACAATTTATTAACTTTTCTAATACTTTATAAAAATAAAGTGATGAACAAAAATTAAAGGTTTTTTGAGACATCGCATAAATACCTGCTGCATAAAATATGAATAGTTAACGCTTCTATTACAGGGGTCTTACATAAAGAAAACACATACAATCATTGGTAGAATCTTTGTTAATTTAATAAATAATTATTAGTATGAATATTCCTGTTCCTGTTTTTAAAAAGATGTTAATAAAAAAATATATGAAAAAATGATTGGCTCATTTGGAGCTAAATTATTTTGTTTTTATCTGAATCATATTTTTTTATTAACAAACGACTTTTTAGTTATGAACTACATTTTAAACATACATTTTTCTTAATTACTAGTACATTATTATAATTACTATATAAACCTTTATTTTTATTTTTTTGATGAATTAACTTTTCTATTAAACTATATTTCGTTAGTTTAAGATCATAGGAATGTATATATAGTATATCTCAATTTTTCTTAGAACTGAGTGTTATTATTAACTCTTAAAGATGGAAAAGTAACATTATTCTTAAATGAAATTAAAAAAAATTAGATATCAGTGTATTATTTATGAAAAGGTATTTGTGACATTATTAATGGAGCCACTCGAAAAAAGAAACCCTTGAAATATAATTATGGAGAAATTAAATTATAAATATAATTTATTATGATAGTAGATGATTGTTTTTTGGTTATTTAAATTCAATAAAAATTAATAATGAATAATATATACTAAATATAATAATATATAATAAAAATTATATAAAAAATAAATAATATATTAAAAATATTAATTGAAATAAAATACACTACTCTAAAGGCCACAAAAATATTCTGAATAAAAAACGGATTTTACTAAAAACTGATATTTTGTATTGTATTTAAAATACTCTGATAGCATTTAAAATAAAATTATAAAAATTCAATAATAATATATAAATTATATACTAAATAAAAGTATTTCCAGGTCATGACAACTTTAAGTTTAAAACCTTTATTCTTAGCACTTGCGCATTAGTTTTGTAAAATGGCCGTGACCTACTAACCTACAGTGAAAAAAAAAACGGGTAGTTACAAAATTATCTAGGGAAATTATAGAATTTAATTGTTTTGCAGTTAATTTAAATTGAATTTTTCTTATAAATATCCTGTATTTTTATGATAAATGAAATTGTAGAAGCCATCAATAATTATTATAAATTTCAAAAAAAATTAATTTGTAGTTTTTTATTTTCTTAGATAAAAACTATTCGTAATTTGAGCCGAATGAGTACAATAGTTATAAAATACGATTCTGTACTTTCACCCGTTAAATAAATGTAAATAATAATATTTTGCAAAATTTCTATATTTTCAATTAACGAAATTTTGCTTTACTATTTTTCTATCAAGATAAAAGATAATAATTATATTTTATAGATGTTCTTAATATAAAATTTTAACAGATCGGATAGCTATCGTTCGCCCATGAAAAAACAATATTTCCGACCTCATGGTTGTACTCAAATTATATTGATTTGATATATTATTTTTTAGTGTGGTTGCACTGTAAAGAAATAAATAATAAAGTAATTACTATGATCTATAATTTTTAAGTTATTTTAATTAAAGTTTAATTAAAAGGTGTTTAAACCATTAGTATGGTATATGTCTCGTTAGTATTTTGTTTCTCTTCAGAATAATTTAGTTATGGTGAATACATTAAGGTAAGATTTGATTGATATTATTCATATGTAATTGTATAATCATTACAAACTAAAATAGTAATTATGTCTCCATCTAAATACCAGCTTATATTCATGGGAGAATATCTTATACATTATCCTATGTTATATTTTTAAAATTTTATTATTTAATTGCAGTGTGACTGAATTTATTTGAATCTTATCAGTTTTAAATAATTTATGTCTTTTTCAACCAATATTGATGGTTAAATTAAAACATTTTACCACAAATAATGGTTCTAATATCACATTATAAATGAAAATGTTATTATGAAAAACGTTTTGTAATTTTAAAGTTTTTTATGACTAGAAATTGAATTCTTGGGTGAATTATAAAAATTATAATATTTTACCTTCATATAAGTATTTTTTGCAATAGTCTAATTTAAATATGATTACTAATCATTAAATATTGAAGTACTAACGGAAAGTTGAGGGTTTGAATCTCTTAATATATTAATAGATAGTTATATATATAAATTTAGTATATATTATTTTTAGAAGAACTTTGTAATTGTGAAGACTCAATAATTTGAAAATGGATATTATTTCAAATATTTATTTTGTTTGCTTCATTGATTTCTTAATTTATCAATCATTAAGTATTTATCATGGCTATCCCTTATGTTTTAAAAAATTACAAAATATGTTGTAGTATACATATTTTTGTAACTGTGTACTTCAGAACCAGTAATTCGGAAGTTATATATTTCATTATAAAATAATCTAAATGTTACTTGTAAGAATAATATTTATTTACATATTATAAAAATCCTAAAATAATGTGTTAAACAATTATTAAACATAACTTTTTATGAACATTTGTTTAAAAGTCTTTCATTGAATATAAAATTAATTCCTATAAATTATTACTCCTTTATATTATTAGAACTTTTTCATAGAGAACGAGCTCTTTCTTAATATTGTAAGTGAAATATTTTAAGTCTATTGTGTCATGTTTTTTCAATTTTTTATTTTATTTGATACAAGTCAGTGGCCTATATGGGACTTTAGCCACACCATTTTCTAATTAATATTATATTCAATGTATTACTTTGGAAATAATAAAAGAAGGTGAATAATTTAAAGAAAAGTCACATGAATTGAAAATTTTTTTGTACTTCACTGAAACAAGTTATTGAGAAAACAGAATCATTTATTTTATTATTTAATATTATTAGATTAAATACGAGATTAAGACGTATTAGAAAGTATTTCTAATACAAAATGGAACAATAACGTCTTTCTCAACTTAAATTAATAATTTAACACTATTAGTCATTTTATTATTGTATTATATTATTATTTTTTTCTAAATAATTTTTGCGTCCCTCGTAAAAATTATTGTGTGACCGAGTCGGTAACGCGGTAGTGCTTGACACGAACTTCCTCGGGTTCGAAACTGGTTCAGGGGCGGCTTCATTTGCAGAGCAAAAGATAAGTTCGGTAATTGGAGCATTCACTCCACTCTCCTACGATGGACAAAACGGAGTACCAGTGGAAAAGAAACCTCTCTTTTGGAGGAGTTTGCTTTTAATGGGCCTGGAAAAGCAATACAAAAAAAAAATAAATATTTTTTACAGTTTTGACTACGTTAAATGTATATTTTATTATTTGTCTCTAATAAAATATATATTGATATAAATTAATTTTTAAATTAAAAAATAAATGTTTGGGTTAACCCAATATTAAATAATTCCATCGGCTTCAATTGTATTAGTCACTATATTAACCATTTATATGGTTATTCTAACCGTATTTTTTTTTTTCGTGTAACCATACTCAGGTCAAACGCTTAATAAATAAATAACCATATTAAAATATGAATTTATTTAAATCTATAAAGAATTAGTTATGTCTTTACTTAGCAATTTAAAATTGAGTAGTTAAATTAAATAGCTTAGTAGTGTCAATTCTATGTTCCAATAGTGCATAGAAAAAATTAACGATTAATATGATGACAACTCTAACAAAAACAGTTGGAATAACTAAAGAAATAGTTGGGTTAACCAAATATAATATTCAATTAATCGTTATTCTAACTGTCTTAATTGTAGTTGTTCTTTTATTAATATTTATATGGTTATTCTAACCGTAATTTTTTTCTGTATGAAGCTGCCTAACTAACGATAGAAGTTTATGTTAGTTGATTGTCTGCTTTTATTTAATAATTATAAATAATTAAAACATAAAAAATAATTGAAGACCATAAGTGGAGTTAAAAGAAAATTTTATTTTATCCCTTCCTTGAAATATGTTTATTTAATATTTTCGCGAAATTTTTGGGGGACTAATTTTATTTTTAAGAAAAGGAATACTCGCTTTAAATAATGCGCATGATAAAGTCAACAAAAATTTCTTACTAATTATCTTTTCAAATATCTATATAACATTTCATAATAACTATACGAACTGCTCATTTTTATCGTGTATATTTTAAAATATTAGCGTTGGAGTGATGAATAAACAAGTAAATTTGATTTGATTAAAGTGTATCTTCTATACTAACTACCATTTCTAAAATTACTTTATAAAGTCTAATTTGAATTGGTAATTAATGAAAATGTATATTGTTGAAACTAGTAAAACAATAGACATATACGTTATACGGCATATATGTATTAAATGTTGCCAGAATACGATTATTGTGACAGTTTTTAGTTTAGTAACAACTGATAATTGTGCGCATATTCATTGATTACCAAAATGTTTCACCTTCATAACCTTTAGGAACATTAAGTAGTATGAGTGCTAGTAGTAGTATACACTCAAGAATATCGTAAGGTAAACTATGTTTTTTATTTTTCTAGATTCACTGAACTAAACAAAACTATTATGTTACTCATTTCATTAAAATCTATGAAAAGTTTTGACATTTTTTAGATATGTACCTAGAGCTCACATAGTGGGATTTAAAAAAAAAATTATACAGTATTGTGCACAATTTTGTACAAGGAAAAAGTTTTTTTGTATAGCATTCCTTACTCCTAAAACAGAGTAAAATATTATCAAGTGCCAGGGTAACATAATACTGCATAATTTTTTTCCGAAATCCCTCTATGTAAGTGCTAGCTTAACACACCTATATTATTTACTGTCGAATAAATTTGTTTACAATGTATATGAAAAAGTCCTTAAATTTGGAAGTAATAATTATTTAAAAAATACGATAATTTTTCAGTGAACAATTCGTACAATTGTAATTTTTTAATTAAATATTCTTTTATTTAATTCTTGAACTTGTGGTTTCTCAAAAAAAAATAACTACTGCTACGACCAAGTTAGCAGAGATCCGGAATAATAGGAAACTATAGTATAGATTAAAATCCTATAGAGCAATTGTTAATAAAAATATAAAATTGAAAAATTTAACAAATTTTGACTTTAATCACCAATTAAAGAAAGAAACTTGATTAACGGACACAGATGATTCAGACCATTATTTTAATTTGAATACAAAACAATATATTGTATTCGTTTATTGATGCTTTCAATAGGTTTTTATACTGAGGGTTTTAATTAAATTTTTATAACTTCAAATCAATTTGCCTTGAATATTAATAATATAAATTTTATTGAGATTTGTGTATTCATAAAATGTTTTTCTAAAATGAAAAAATTTGCCAAAATTTTACGGATATTAAGCAATTGATGCGTTTACACCTAATAAATCATAAAAAACAAATGGTCTGGACATTTATATTTTTTAATCTTATAGTATATTTAATAATATTTAAATTGACACTATTTTGAAGAATATAGGATCTATTTAAAATTTTTATTTTACTGTAGTAGTTATGCTAGATATTATTTTTAGTTTTGATGTGAAGCTTAATAAAAGATATTGTTTTTATTGTGATGTGCCTTTTTTTATGTCTTTTCAAGAAAATTCTCAGCTCTCACTATACTTATTTTATTAGTTTATACATTAAAAGAACCCGATTTTAATCTAGTTGAACTTTTAAGTGCCAACAATTTAATTTAAACCCCTCAATTTTATAAATTAAAATAAAATGTTTTCAAAATTATGTTACTATAAAAAATGGCATTTTCATAATTTTTTATGTATTTTACATATGCTATAACTTAAAAAACTGCTGATCCTAATGAAATATAAATAGCATATGTGTAAAAATAAAAAACTTTCATTTGTAACTATTTATTAAAAATTTAAGTACAGAAAAGGTTTGGAAGAGACCACTCACAGAAGTAATTTTATTTTTTGTTTCCCAACGTCTGATAACCACTGTCCTATATCAAATTAAAGCTATTTATGTCAACTAAAATATGAAAACAAATTCGTTCTGACGATTGTTTTACAAAAAAAAAAATTAGCTCTCAAAGTAAAGCATTATTTAAAAAAATATTACTTTATTTCCTTTTAAGTTTTCCGAGACGTTTGAAAAACTGAAAGGTATACTAAATTAAAAACTTTAAACGTACTTAATGATTGTAATGGAAAGCGTTTCGACGATATTTTTTCTATGAGTTATTTGACTTTAAGTTGCAACTATTTTTACAAAAAAATTAACAGATTTGCATCCAAGCGTTTTTAATAAAAATTATGTTAATTATTGTCTATACATCTATACTTAGTCCAATTATGCCGCATTCTATTTGTGCTGAGTTTTTTTGCTATAAATTTACTAAAAAAGAAAAGTTGTTTAGGAAATATTTAGTAAATATTGATCTCATATAATATTAATTGTGGTGATGAAGGCAGTGGAAAAAGGATAAGGTTATTCTTAAAATTTTCAAAATCCCCAATTTTTACCGGAAATTACATCATTTTTGGACAATATAAAATGAAAATAAATAATATCAAAATTGACGGTTTCATAAAAATTGTAATTTTTTGGCATATTTCTCTTTATTATGGTAATTGAGAGGATTATTTCAAACTATGGCGCTAATAAATACAATTAGATACGATTTGTGATCTTTTAATGTATCGTTGAGTATTGGTACCATATTCAGCGTATTTATATGGACAGACACATAAAAAAAGATATTCTTAAGACAATACCTTCTCGCTATGCACCAATACCCGATTAAAGAAGAGGTAAACGCCTTAGGGCTAATGAACTTAATTATAAATATTACAGGTCTGACATGATTAGTGAAATAAAGCTTTTCTGGTTTTGTTTTGCTCATTCTTTTTTATATTATCGATATTTTCTATAGGTGAGGTTCATATAGGTCTAAATTCACCCTTGCTACCCTACTTCAGCTAATAGTATTTTCAGAATCATAAATTGTTATAATTCAATAAAAAACAAGTACTACAATCATTATTGAGATTAATAAGTTATTCGATGTTTTTAATCTGTAATCGTGTTTGAAAATAGTTAAATCTTATTAACTTAATCAAAGTTAAAATACTTTTGTTAAATATATGCGAGATGCCTTATACAAATTAATTAAAATAAAATAATTAATAAAATGATTTACTCTCAAAATAGATTGCTCGTAAACTCTTAGTTGTTGCGTTATTCTAAATAGAAGTAATAATCAAGTCACAAATACAAACAACAAGTGGGAAAGTATACGTGGTGGGTTAATAGGTCACTAAGGTGAAACAATGAATTTAAAATAAAAATGTATTGAATAAAGCAGACAGTTTACCTACATAATAAAAGTTTTCATTAATACTTTAAATGTAGAAAAAAATTGTATTAATACTATGTAAATAATTTTTTATCACAACACTATAGCTAAATTATATAATAAAAGTAATATTTTTTTTACAATTAATTTTAATACATGTAGACACATTTACTGTAAGAAAAGCTTAATTGAAGATTTTTGCTTCCAATACATAAAATTGATCTTGTTCAAAATAGAAAAATCTTTTTTTTGTCCAACGATGATACGGCCATACATTAGTGCAATAAAAGAGAACTAAAAGGTTCTTGACAGAAGCACCTTTACATAAAATTTTCTCTACTAAAAACGAGTTTGTACAATTAATTTTGTTTTTAATTTGAATTTTTGAATCTACCTATTCAGAAATTTTATGATAATTAGTTTTTTAAAATATATTATAAAACTTCTAGTGAATTGTAACCCTGTACCCGTTAATCTTTTTTTCAATTGATGATAAGTCAAAAAAGATTCTTTAGTAGAAATAATTAATGCAAATTATCCCATCTCAATTACGCAATCGTTTTTCTTTTTAGATTTTAATCATCAAGTTATGAACCTGAAATGTTTATAAAATACACAGAAAACAATCAATCAATTGGCACTTTTATATTTTTAAATAGTATATGTACAAATATTAATTTGTTAAACAAATATTTTTAATGTGATTTAATTATGATACGTCATTTAGTGTAAACAATAAATAATTATTAAACTCGACCCGCCTAAAAATTGATAAAAACGGTCCTGTGAGCTGTACTGTTAATAAAGCTTCCACGGGAAAACATTTGACGTCATAGGATATATTCTTTACGGGACGTACACAAAACTCTTGTGATGAACTCGATTGTTGCATCTCGACGGGAGGATTTTTCTAGAACTGCCTCACCACCTCTTCGAAATAAAGTTACCCTGCCGAAAACGGTTCTGATTGGCAAATGGGAAACAGCCGTTGTAGCGTGTGAAAGCCCTGAAAGTTGTTTCGACGAAACACGGTATATTTATTGTATTATTACTATAGCTAAGAAAATACATTTCCATCCCCGGACCCTTTTGTTTATGTGCAAAATTTGCGTGTGTGTATTCGCCTACACATAAAACCCTCATGACGTCAGAACCCCCTAGCAACGGTGCTACTGTTTGTGACGTAGACCGCGTTCGTGACGTCAATCATCATATTGGACGTATCCCCGAACAGCGGCGCTCGCTGTGGCGACCGGCCGGGTCGCTTGGCATTCGGTCTGTCACACGCGTTCCGTACGCTCTGCCGTTCTGCTGTTCCTTTAGTTGTTAATAAGAAAGTTTTTTTATACGCACGTCAGGTGATTATTTTAAACGTGGATTTGAAAAAACTTACACGTTGAACGTTGTTTTCAAAATCTAACTCAGCTGATTTCACTTTATTAGTTATTGATATTATTTTAAATTTTATGATTTTTTTTTATCTTTAAAAAAAGCGGAATCCATTTTAAAAAGTATTAACAATAATAAATATCGAAGTAAATATCAGTTTTTTATTATTGGACGAGAACAAATAGGTTCCAAAACGGGATTTCAAACGACGTTTTTGGTAAGTATTTTAAGTCTCTGATTTCCATCATGTATTTGAATATTAGAACCAATATTTTTTATTTTTACTCATCAGTGTCCTAAGACAATTAATTACGCAAATAAAAATATTTATTGTGAAAAGAAGGTCGCGTACTTTATTCGTTTTAAAACTACTATTTTTGTGTTATTATTATATTCTTCTTATTACTACAAAATTGCTCGGAAACGCATTGAATAAGTGCGTGTGTTTCCGTGTAATTACTTTTGAAACGCTATACGTTGTGCAATGACAAATAGCGATTAACCGTTTATAGTTTTCGATTGGTTTGCCGGAAACAAGTATACATACATGCAAAATAACAATAATAGTATTACAGACGTATAATTAACCATCGCTGTCGTAAACAAATTAATATTGCGGCATTCTGCGGAACAATAATAATTATTTTTTAATTATTTTTATAGTATTAGGCCTTTCTGGAATTGATCATATATTGACGGTGTTAAATATTAAATCATATGAGATTTCTAAACAGTTTATTTACTTCAGATAGGCAGCCGCGGTAATTATCATACATTTTTTCGTTATCGACCAGGGATTCTCAAATATTACTATGTACGCAACAACAGTAAAAAATACAATTTATTACTTAGTTCATCACTAAGATCTATAGTGAAAATAAGACAACGACCGTATAAGAAAAATAATTTCCAAAGGGTCCTGTATAATTTTGATCGTTTAATTTAAACATTTATAATAACAATATAATTATTATCTTTGTTTATTAATCATATCCGTGTATCAATAATATCATTTGTCAGCAAAAGAAGACAAATAATAAAGTATAACTTTCACCTTCATTGTATTGAGTCATATAATATGAAACAACCTTAAGTTTGTCTACTATTGTTAATTATTTAATTAATTTAAACAACCATTCGCATTGGAAATCGATTACTTTCCTTAAACGAATGAAGACAAACAAATCGGTAATTTTTAGGGGAAATAGCAGAAGGAGAAATACGATGTGTTCATAAAATTTCACCTTGGGCGAATTACCGACCGTTAAAGGACATGTTCCCGTGGAATTCAGCAATTGTTTTTTTTAATGGTTAATTTATATCATACACAAATAAAAAAAAAATAGGCCAACTAGTCAAAGGAAAGATGCAACCTTTTAATTAAATTCAAATATGAAATTAAATGCGAAATAGCATTCAATTTGGCGATTTGTCGCTAAATATCATCAGTTGTTGAAAAATAGTTATTTGATAATAATCCTAATGAAGCGTACGAATAATCATTTATATGCACATATGTATATGTGTTTCATGTTAATTAATTAAAATAAAACTGTTATTTGAACATGGCCAATCAATTGTTTAAATAATTAAACGGGATGTGACGTTGTAATCTTGCAACCTTTTGATTATAAAGTGCAAATTATTAAAAATTCGCTTTCTTTTTTATTATTATTCAAAAAATTATAATCATAATGATGATTTTATATTGAATTTAACTGATCATTGCCAAATTTGAATTTCTTATGATATGATAGAAGTATAATTGTACTTAATACTTTAAACATCAAAAAGATTTTTTTTGCTTTTGTTGTTTTCTACTTTAATGTTTACTGTCGCCATATATAGAGTTTAAATAATTAATTCTTTCGATTTGGTTAAAATGTTATTATAAGACAATATTGTTTTGTACAAAAAAATGTTATTTCAGTTAATTTGTTATCATATTTATTGTCTTTACTTTGTTTTGTCAAACTACTCTAGACGTAGCTAAAAATTAATTTTGGAAGGTAGGTGTTAACCTTAAATCTATTTTTATTAGCAATTCATATAAAATTAATTTTATTTTTATTTAAAAAAAAATCATATATTTTGATGGTAGTTATCATAACATTTCACAGATTAATTCGATTGACATGCACCGTATACCAATAATATTGATATTGAAATTGATCTCAAATTCCTATTTGATTTATATAAATAAAATATTTTAATCAATTATCTAAAAATGTATACAAAAGTCGATTAACAGTTTTTAAAAGTGAAAAACATATTTAAGCATTTTACTCGCAACATAATTAGTGTTGAGAATATTTCTTTTTAAATGAAATTCGATCTCTCCCTAAAATATGAATTTGCTCCAGATACTTGTTCCTTTTAAGTTAAAAACATATTTAAAAACCTGCTATTATTATAATAATTTACAATATTAATAAGGTATGGTTATAATTTATAACTATAATTTAAAATTATTGTGTGGCTGTGGTATAATTAGAAGGGCTAATCCCTTTGGTCCCACAGATAACGCTTATGAACCTGTGCTTTTATGATATTACGTTTATAATATAATAATTTGTTTAAAATCTTTGAAAACTTTAATATCCGAATAGTAATATTGAAATCATAAAATGATGATAACACAAAGGCGATTTTGTACAGATACATGTATAATTAGGGCTATCAGATTTCACTTCAAAAAATATTGTTAGTATGACTATAAGCAATATTTCTTTAATTTTGTTAATTTATCACTCTAAATAATGTCTTATAAAATGATGCATTAAAAAAAATTAAGTTCAATAGCTTGACACATGTATTATAATATATACGTAGAGTTTAACATATATCCAGCTGGGAGTAGTGATTCTAACCTACTTTGCAGCTGCACAAGTGTTTAACATTTATTAACGTTACAGTACGCAAAAATAAAATAATGACTTAAATAAATTGTTGTTACACAATAAAATTATTAAATTTTTATTCATCAAAATTAAAACTCTTGCAAAAATATTTTTTGCGGTAGATATTTTCTGATTTATCCAAAGTCAAAAACTAGATTATATAATTACATTGGAGACAATAACTCATCCAAATACACTCAAAGCTCCTTTAATTTTAACACGAATTATGATATCAACTAAATTATTTGGATTTGACATTAGTCCGACCTTTGATCTCATGTAACAGTAAGATTAAAACCGATGTTGTTTCACCATAATATGATTTTTTATTTGGATAAATGCCTAGAGATTTCAAATAGCAGGATAAGAATAGGGTTTTTGAAATTAAATGGTCAAGATTTTTTCACAGGAATTAAAAAAAAAGTTTTATAGATATATCACATTAAGATTAAACCCTATTTATTAAGCTACTAAAAATTCAATCTAAACTAATTTGTTAACATAGTTTAATATGTCAATTTCTTTTTATCCTATACTTAAATTACCAGTTTAATAAGATAACAAGCATAGCGAAGGTTATAACAAAAACCTGTAATAATAAACAGTCCATATCGAAGGACATGTAGAGTAATCCTCATTGTGGTACCGATTGTAAATTAACGACGTTTTCACAAATTTCGCCGAGTTTTTTTGTTAAATATAAACTAAATTAAGACTAGTTTTAATGGTCAAGTTTTACTTAGATCTGTTTTGATAATTAACATTTTAATATTGCCTTAATTAGTGGATGACTGTCTTTTGTAGGAAATTCGTTGTTTTTCATTATTATATAACTGTGCGTCAACACGAAATTTTAATAACATGGAAATCTCATTATCAGTGAGTAACTGAGTAGATAACGCATCCATAGGTACACTTTGTTGTACTTGCATATACGCACGCCACCGCATTGTTACATTTGGAGAATCGTTCAGTCGACTTGTCAGATAAAACCATATTGTTAGTATAACATTCCATCCTTTTGGATTAGGCATTATATTATGCCAGCGCAAAATTTACAAAGACAACTTTTGAAATTTTTCAAAATATGCTTGAAATGTACTCTTCGACTTGATAATACATACTACAATTGTGGTTAATTAATTATTGATTATGATTATTGTAGGCAAGGCTATATCAATGGGTACTATTTATTGATATTCAGTTATTGCTGCTGCATATACTAAATATATATTTTTTTAATGAACGTTATTTCCCTCGATATCATTTTAAAAGAAGTCGTAAAAACAAATACAACATTCTAACTGGAAAGATTGTTTAGGACATGCGTCCAAATGATCGATAACTTACAGTTTAAATCTCAATTTTTTTTATGCATCAATAGCTTATAAAAAAGTTAATATCTTAAAGACATAATTTTTTTGACGTAATACTTATTAATGATTATTTACTGATAATTCACTTAGCCCTATAATTTAACTTGTTCATTAATTTTTAAAACTAAGTAATAAACAGTCCTTTTAAGTGTATTACCTTAATGTTTAATTTCCAGTTAACCTAAAAACAAAAGTTATGTGTGTGCATCAATTTGTCTATAACGCTTCGTATATGGAAGAGTATAAGTGCATATAGCTCTTAACACCTTTGTTTAAATAGTAACCAGTCAACAACTTCACTAAAAAGTGTGTTTTAATTAAACTGATTAGACATCACGCGTTCTAGAACACTCAAAGAAATTAATTATTGCTATTGAAACTATTTTTCGGTTATTTTTATTTAAATTAATGAACGAGTATAATAATAATACAAATTAAAAATAATAGTAAAATATAGTATTACTATATGCCTATTACTAGTGTATCGAAACACCATAGATTTTAGCATTTAAAACTATTATATTGTAAATTGTATACATCGTGTTTATTTTTACTTTTTTTGCACAGGACAAAAAAGTATTTGATTGTTTTAAAGTTTATCTGTAAGATGTTGTAAATACAATTTGTTCAAAATAATTTTAAACAAAATTGGAATGCTCAGAACTTTTCTTTGTATAATAATTTCGAATATATCACTTCTCACTGGGAGTTTTTAAAAATAAAAAGAGTAATTATAGAGGACATTGGTGTATTAGTTACTGAATTATGAATGTTTTTTGTTTGGACCCAAAAACTATGATAATTATAAAGACCTAGGGCACTTAAAAACTAGGGGTTCGGTAGCGTTGCCATTTCTGATAAACGAGCGCTTAGTTGTATTACTACTGTGTTGGCTTGAGGAATCGATAGGCAGAGTGCCGACGTGGTAGTTTGACCTAGATAAATACATCGTTGAATACCCTTAAAATTTACGGAGAGGATTTTCGCGTGGGCGTTAGAGTGTGTGTATTGTTTGTGTACGTTAGATCGCAACCTGCGTGTCTCAGTACACAATCGATTTGAACATTCTCTCGTGATACATGATAACACGTTGTATCATCAAATGAGGCGTATAGTTTCAAAACCAGCTATAAGTGAATTTTTTTAAAACGATTTTTTTATATTTTCTAAATGGTCACACTGTACTAAATGTCCTGTAAAAGTATTGTACTTAAAAACAGGCTATAACTGGTTTATATTAATCATGGAAAAATATGGTTGGTTTCAAAATCACCCATCTAACAATGTCAATTTCAAAACAATCCATAATCAATTACATTTTTTTTACGCGGTAAAATAATAGTTGATTATGATTATATTTTATGCTACAATATTAATACTGATTAATATTTTTATGTATTTAAATTTAAAAGTAAAGTTTTTATATTGATTAAAGAGTGCAGTAAAAAATATAATATTTAGTTTGTATTTCAATATTTGTTTCAAAACTGCCTATATCACATAGTCAATTTCAAAACCAGCCATCTGATGAAATTGGCAAGAAAACCAGTTATATGTAAATTATAAAACTAAATAACTTTTGTAAAAATATTTTGTTAAAGTAAATATTCACACACAATGTGTTTATACTTCCAAGCTTTAATATCATATATATTAAAAAATCTTTGAGTTAAATCTTAAACTCATTATCTTATTTTGTTGTTCCTGAAAATTTTCAAAAAATGGTTTTAGCTGGTTTTAAAACTATACGCCTCATATATTGTATTTGTACACATTTACAATATTTCGAATTACCTAATGAATAAATAAAATTAATCAGAAAGTTAATCATTTGTTTGACATTAAATAAAACTTTAGTCAATTATATTTAAAAAAATGTTTTCCGCTAATAAACTGAAATAAAATTAAAAACCTAGCATAGTGGAGATGAGTATAAATGATATCTGACAATAATTAGCATTGCTATCATAAAAAAGGCTTCGATGAGTATCATTTTCATAATTATTTATAAAATTACACTAAAATATTAAAGTAATTTTTTGTAAATAATGCGAAGTTTTTACTTTGAGAGCCAATTTTTATTTTTTTGTAAAACAATCGTCGGGACGAATTTTTGTTCAAAATATGAACAAAAATTTTATTTTAAATGGCATCAAGAGCTTTAATTTGATAAAGGTTATCAGACGTTGGGAAATATTTTCAAAATTTGGAAAAAAAAATTTACTTCCGTTGATGGTCTCTTTCAAACCTTTCCTGTACTTAGATTTTTTATAAATTGTATGACAAAAGAAAATTTATAATTTTTAAGTTCTTATTTATTTTAAGTTTTTATTTATTACTTTTAAGTTCAACTAGATTAAAAACGGGTTCTTTTAATGTATAAACTAATAAAATCGGTATGGTGAGAGCTAAGAATTTTCTTGAACAGACATAAAAAAAGGCACATTACAGTTAAAACAATATATTTGATTAAGCTTTACATCAAAACTATATACAACAATTCAAAAGTGTATTCTACTATTCAAATTAATGATTAATATCGATAATTTATATTATATGATCTTTATAAATAAATAAATAAATAGATTCCTTACTATTTGATCTTAGGATAACAATGGGGATACCCATAAAAACTGTATATACTCGATTCAACGCTTATTATTTTTATCATCAATACAAAATTAAGAACCAGATTTTATTCTGATAAAATTCTTATTCCAGATTTATAGAATAGATTTATTTTATTGAATGCTCAATGAATTTTATTAAAGAAAATTGAAGTATTTAGGCTAACGCAGAAATCAATCTAGACACAAAATTACTTCCAATTATTTCCTATATCATTCAATAGACTCATGTTTGCTCTTTTATCTTTTCAAATAAGATACAAACGATCTTTTATCAATTGTATTCAAGTATTAATCGGCGTTAATTTAAAAACAATTGTGGATAAAAGGACATCTCGATATAATCAATAATTAATAAATAGTTCAGTGCAATATAAACAGTTGATCATTGTTAGTTATTATACATTTATTTGAATAAATAATATGCTAATTAGTACTATTGTTGTAATAAGTTATGTGTAGTAATTTTAAAACAAATGGGTAACTATTTATTTTCAGTCCACTGACCGGTCTTTAAATATGATAAGTGGTACTCAGGTGGGTTTCTTCTAATCGTTCTTTTGTTCACCCACCTTCAATTAACTACAAATGGTTATGTGCCACATTATTTCAAATATAATTGTCAAAAATTACTATAGAAATAATTGATCTCATCTATGTCAATACTTAAAATTATAAAAATCTAAAATAGATTGATTTTCACTAACAATTTTTTTCCAATTTTCTTTAGTAAAATAATTGTATTAGAATATTTTATAATTATTAGTAATAAATAATTTTATGAGCATTCACTTGTTTTTTTTTTCTTCACTTATTACTATAAGACTTTAAATAATATGCTGTCCTCTCGGTTTTCGTTCAATAATTAACAATTCAAATCACACAATAAAGTAATTCATTTTTTGTGAAATCATCATATTAGTATTTATTTTATATATATTCTAGTATTCAGTTTCAATAAATCTCTTATTTAAGTAAGGTAACTTGTATGCATACGAGTAATATAAATAATATGTGTAATTCTCAAGTGACATTATTGAATATTTAGTTTTTGATTACGAAATAAGCAATATATAAAATGCTGATAGTGTTATTTTTTTATATGTATAAACTACGTCTTGTTGCTGTTTTATAGTATATCACTGTTCAAACAGACTCAAACTAATCATTTAATATTTTAGTTCTTCGAATAAAAATGTAGTTGTGATTTAATGGTTCTTTTATTTTAATGTTTTAAATTTTTAGAATCCAAAATTATATTTTCACGTGTATAATATATTTTTTAAATAATTATCACGGCTATTCGAAACTTAAATGTTCATAATCACATTCGTATTTTCTGTAGTTGAGAAATTCACACATAAATGTAATTTGATTTGAAAATAACAATCAAAATGCATGCGCTTAGAAGCATACTATGTATGTCCGTTTGGCACAGGTAAAGGTTGTCGGTTAATGAACACGTGGAGCGAAATACTTATACCTAAAAATAATAACACGGCCATGGCAGTACATAACTATCTGTACAAACAACATAGTATCTTTTTATTGCAATGCATACGCGTGCGCCGATTTTAAGTCGTTTAAAATGACATTGCCAAAAACCCTGCAAAAATAATTTACAAGCCGCTCCCGTTTTGTATTCACACTCTACTGTACTTTATTTACAGTCATCGAAAAAATGTCTCGTGATATATCATGGTATAAAGAGTTTCGTAAAAATTGCATGTGTTTAAATTTATATCATCCAAAGTTGGTGTAACTATAACTCGAATTTCTCGGCATTGATGTACCGAATATTACCCGTGACGTTTGTTGTTTTAAATATGTTTTGTTACACCGTAGACTTCGGTTCTAAATTCTTCTGAGAACCGTAAGATTTTAAAAATATCACTCGAAAAGAAAAAAATGTCACGGGTCGTTGTGATGTGTGAGCCAGTGATAATTATAAAACTTAAACGTATGTTTAAAACAGTCTCCTGCAATCGCCTCCCACACAGTTGTTAAATAGTATATTATTATTTTTTAAATAAAAAAATTAACCATTTATGAAATTTTAAAATGAAAATTTTTTTATAATTCATAATTATCAAACATAAGCTTTTTTAGTTTATTAAAGTAATAATACTTTATCCATGGAAATAAATTATATGAAAAATCCATAAACATAAAAATAAGATTATTGGTTAAATAGAATTATCTAAACTTTGTGAACATCGTAGAAGCTATAAATAAAAGTGTCAAATATTTTTATTCAACGAGATAAATTTACGTTTTCATTTAAATTTACATGAAGTTGTCGCGATTAATTAGATACATGGCTATGAATGAAATAATAGTGTATCTAAAATGTATTAAATTTTATTTGTAGTCTTTAAATAATTTTATTAATATATTAAATTATATTATAAATGTGATTTATAATGCGTTCTTCTCATCAAAATCTGTAGATTAATAACATGATGTAAAAATCATTTTTTTTTTTTGACATAATAAAATTTATTTTTCCAGAATTCTAAAGTTAGGAATCCTAAAGCCAAAGAATTGTGTTAGACAGAAATATAACATTGATCAACACGACGACTTGAACAATATTAAACTTACATCAATACTATTTTGGTAAGAATAATTCAGGTCTTAGTTTATAAGTGTGTTAAATTTTGTATTTGAAGGAGGGATAGCTGATTTAGAAATTCATATGACCATTTAAAATTGTGTATTCTATTTTGTTTTTAATTTCAAATTTTTTTTAATTGTTACTTCTTGATGTTTTCGTTAAATACTTAATACTTAGCGAATATGTTAAAATAATTTTCATTTCTAATTTCGCTTTACAATTGCCTTTTGTTATCAACGCATAAATTATAGTTGACAATATGCTGCTTTCTCTAGTTTAGACGTTCGAAATAATAACAAAAACGTATCCGCTTTTAGCGCTTTCGAAGTCTTATCATGACATTACATCTCAACTTTTTTACTTTTAGTTTTTTAAAAAATAATCTCGTATACAAAAATTTAAATGTCAAACAAACATATGTACATATTGAACAGTACGATTGCAACGCCATGACGCTCTGTCAGTAAAGTTATTATTTACCATCGACACCAATAAATATAATTGGTCGATTTAATAGAGTGTGACAATTTCTTGTTCTCTTGAATGTTATTAACTGTTTTTCACCTGTTTAAACTGTTTTATTTTTAACCTAAAATCTAATTATTTATATAATTTTCACGTTTGTCAACGACTAAATCGTTTCTGTAATCTTCTTCCGTTAAAACATTCTAAAATTTCCCACGGGGCGTGCCATTTGGTATACCGCCGATAACAATAATATTGTGTCCCAAGTTAATCAAAATATTTAAATTCTCTATGATTTGAGTAAGCAAAATGTTGTATACATTATGTGGTAAAGAACTTTTCGGTTAACTGTTTCGTTGGTCTACTAGTTCCCACATAATAAATATTCAAACGATAGATAATTATATAGTTGTTTTATTGTATGCATAAAACCTGCAGATCCTTGACCGAATAAAACATTTTTGAAGTTATTTAGATTGTATTACACGGATATCAAACGATTGTACTTGACTTATTATTATTATTGTCGTATCCCGGGAAGCTTCTGATTACTAGTTATAATATTTTATTAAGCGCAAACTTTTAATATAGTTTACTAATTTATGATAAAGTTTATCTTTTTAGTAATCAATTCATTACTTAATTAATATCGAAAATATAGATGATATACAAAGTAACTTATAGTAAATAGTGCAAGCTCCAGACTGATAATAAATAACGTGAAGTAAGTAGATTTTAGAAGTAAATTACCTTTCTTTTATGATAATACAATCACGCAGTTCAAAATCAGGTTAGAGTCCATAATTTGCGTAATTTATAAAGTATTCGGTAAAATTAGTATTAACATGTGTATTAAAATACGATGGTTCAAATAATATCTCATCATCTTTTCGATTAATTATTGTTTTATATTATAAAAAGTAGTTTTTATGTTGTAGCCGAAATTATTATTGCTATTATAAAGTTTATATTTTCAAAAATAATCACTTAACAAAGAAAGGACCTTGTGTTCGCAAATCAAATGAAAGTTGAAAGGTTAACCAACATCTTATTTTAATATTTAAAATGTCTCGTACATTATTTAACTAAAAGAAATTAAAATTTATTTTTGCATTCTCTGCGACTTTCAACGTTATAGACAACTGCGATGAATTGATTATTAAGTGTTATTAAACGGTATTATTAATATAAAAATTGATTATTTAATGACTACAATAAGGTCATCAGGTTCGCTTGATAATCTCTTATATCGCGGACGATGATTTTTAAATGCTGACCATTTTTTGCTACTGATTTTCTTTACGATCACATTCAATTATTAAGAACCATATGCTAACAGATGATTTTCTGTGGGGTTTATTGTAGCCAGCATTTTTTATTATTTGCATTGCTCCACGTGTGCTAAACACTATTAACGTAGTCGTTGAAAATTTCATATAATAATAATATGACAACATTCTTGTATATTTTATCTAATTAAAATACTATTTCTGTTGAAACCATCACTATTGAATAATCCCTGTGACTGACCTTTCTTAAAGAAATTGAGATTGAATTCCCCTCTAAATATAAGGCGCTGATCTTTCCGGAATGCATATCAAATATTCCTCCTTGAAAAAAGTACAAGTTGCAAAATACTCTTTTTTTTATTAAACCTTGATAAGCATTGAAACGCGTATTTTATATAAAATTTAATCGAATTGATCTCTCGCCTGTATATTGCATAATTAATAAGTATATCATAAAAAATTATTTTTCAACCGCAAGAAATTCATTTTGAAATGACCGACATGTTTCGTAACAAACACTTACGCCTGCCGTACATCTTTCATTAGCTTATCATATGTTTATGGGTAATCTGTATGCATGTGGTGTGCTAAAAAACTTGAATAATAATCTCCATAAGACTGAAAAGATTAATATAGTGAACTATAGTAAAATAGAAAATTGGAACTTTTCAAAAACCTTAATTTTATTTCGACTGTTATAAAGTAAATAAATAAATATTAAAAAACGGTTAATGATTATCTAAAAACTTATTATCACTCTCCAATTTATGCACAAGTATAAAAGAGAGATAAACGCTTTCTTTAATTTTTAATCATCCAACTTACACGTGATGAATGAATGTTACTGTGTAAATTATAGTGTTGTAAAAATTATTTCATAGATTCCATATCTCAATGAGCATATTGATAAAAAAATACCCGTATATTAGAATATAAGACTATTAGCAAAAACGTACGTACGACTTGATCATTTAGAAAATACAGTTGAATGAAAAAATCGTATTATTCAAAGAAAACAAAAAAAAACTTCATACCACTTTCTAATATTGACTGTATCTATTTTTTTTTTTTTTTTATTAATGTACTGTACATTGAGCTTTTCGTTGTAAATGTAATATAATGGATAACAAGTAATAATAAAACCCATCATAAAATACAATGAACCATTTCGTGTTACTTTGATATATTTAGTTAGAATAATTATATATGCGATTTCAAGAACAGTCTTGTATATTATATACTCACTAGTATTATTATAATGAACTAAAACAATAGTGTAAAATCTAAGGTCATACGCGATTTAAGTCAAAACAACATTTATAATAATTTTGAAGTAAAATATTCTGCCATATGATATAATATAAAATATTTCTTTTCAACTTCAACGATTATTGTTTGTAAAATAATGACATTTAATAATTTAATTGATTTTTGAACTTTTATTACTTTATGATGGTTTTTGGTATGTATGCATCATTTAGATTTATAGATTTCTTCTTTGCACGTGCATTAGCCTTTAATAAACGTTTACAGTTGAATTTGTTTGCCTATAAAACTTGACAATAAAAAAAAAACACACTATATAAGCAGTGGAATGTCTGCATTAGGGTCTTCTCAGGGCACTTGCTTCAGGGCGTAACTAAAAGAGTGCTGCTGAGACTTTAGGACGACTTATCTAATGAACTCCATAAAACTCGAGTACATGTATATAATTTTATTTATAATTTATATTCTTGCGTTAATGCATTTTCGAAGTTTTTAAAAACTGAGATATCTAAGCAGTGAGGTAGTCAAACAGTTTTTTCTCGACAAAAAATTTCATAGGGTATCAAATAAAACTACCCCAAGGCACTGTAAATATCTTAAAGATCCAGCTTGATTAAATGTTATTATATACATTTTAATAATTTATAATATTTGTACACTTTGCTTTCGTTGAAATGCTTCAACTAAATTATATTGTAGTAATTACAGAGAAATTTTAAAATAATTAGTGAATTTTACAAAAATTAGAACATAATTTAAGTGGTATTTAGTTACCAGAGAAGTATTTAAAAAACAATTTCAATTAATTGATTTGTTACACTAACTGCGACGTCCCTGTTTTCGGTCATCAGCCTTATGAATCCGATCCGAACGTTTTGGTTGCATTAAAACTATCGTTGATTGCAAGTGGAATAGTAGTTTGATAAAAACTTCAGGCCGTTTATGAGATACGAAAATAAAACAAGAAATCGCACGCAAATGTCGTTAGCAAGGTCAATGTATTTTTTAAACAGACAGTCTGAATTGCGAGTCCTCACGATTATTTCGTTAAAAAATGAATTGTTTACAACATTTTTACACTTATTTTTTAATGTGAAAACATTATTAATTTACAATTTTTTTATTATGGTAACGATCCAGTTTAATATATATTCATACATGCCGAAAAATAATCGAAATAATACAGTTTGCCTTGACTCAAATCCGACACACAAAGCGTATATAATATATGTTTTTTTATTAAAATACACACATTTGCCGTTGAAAAATATTAGTCAATAAAATATTGTTGACTAATTCAAGTATACTTGATCGAATTCAGTACTAATACCGACGAATGTGTATATTATCATCTTATTTCATAGTTGTAATTTTTGAACGCGCTAAAAATATTTAACAATATTCAGTCTTAATGCAACAAGTAATAACCCACGTTTAATAATAACTATTTTCCATTGGTTTTTAAGTGTTGATTTTATCTAATCGCAAACGTGTACACGACAATTACATTGAATATTATGGCGATATAAAATATTTGAAAACTAAAAAGTCGTACTAAACTATTAATTTTTCACTATTTAAATAATCATATATCACAATTAGTATGTTTAGATCTAAAATTTATAAGTTAGTACATATTAATTTTATTAGATATTTTGCTATGAATAGCATACTAATTACTTCTTATAAGACTTTGGAATTTTAGTTTTATTTCAACGATTTTGCCATTTAACAAAGTATTATATCAATTTTTTACAAGTTACATTTATTTGTATTAATTTATCACCTTATTCCATCAGAATATTTTATAATGGAAACTAGATCCGAATGATGATCAGTTTTGTATACTTGAAGTCGTATCGCAGAACGTGTGTAAATTGTTTAGCTTAAAAGTTTTTAGAAAAGTGTTTAAAATTTTAGCGAGTTATAAAGTGTACATTTATAGATAAGGAAATTCAGCAAACAAAATATTTGCTACAGTATTCGTTGTGAATTACTATTTCATTAAACGAGTACTGAACGATTTTATCTTAAATGTATGTATTTATAAATGTTTTTTTCATGTTAAACAATCCAATAAGGATAAAACTATTTTGTTACGAACCCATAACATTTTTAACCGCTGTTTCTGTATTATTTTTTTATTTAATTCTTGAGCTACTTGTTTAAATTTGCTAAAATTTAGTTTGACTATCATTCTGCTTAAATGTTAAATTAATAATTAAATTTATTATTTTAATATTGGTGTTAAAATTTTAAGGCTCTATTTGTACAAGATAGATTTATAGAGAGGGAATTCTCTATACAAACATTTTTAACATTAATGTTAAATAAGCTATTTTTGTACAAATATTCATTTGTTGTTGTTTTGTTACTTAAGTTATTAATAGGATATTTGCTCAAGAAGACATTGAATTGATCAAAGTAAAAGTTTCTTAGACATACGATACATAAAATGATTTGTTATATAGCTTTAATTTTTTTACTATTACATATATATCTCAACATTGTTAAATTATAATCATTCTAATGCATTTGACACTTAATTTCAAATAATTATAAATATAAATATCGTGTAGGAGAAATGCGGCCGGTAAAGTTTATTTTTGACTGTTGTGCACATGTCGCCGTTATTCGCACTCTTCTATCATATAATATCGTCGTTTTAGAACTGTCATATAAGATCAATGCACAAAAATAGCAAACTAAACGAATTCCATATTGTTAACGACGTACGTTTCAAATTACCAAAAATATTGCTAATTAAAATAACATTTTCTTTTTATTTGTTCGTCAAGAAATTCATTATTTATAGTTGTATGGCTGATTTAATATTAATGAACAATTATAAATATAAAAAAAAATCACGGTCAACTCATTTAGCATACTAAAAGTAGTGCACTGTTGTAAAGAAGTTTTCTAGATAACCGTGCGTGTTTTACGACAAAATAGGTATTGTTTATCAGCGGTCTATCGATTCTACAGAATACTTCTATAAGAATGTATACATGTCTAATTATTGCTTTGCTGTTGATTATTAAAAGTAACGACCGCTTTAGTTTCGTCCACCCGTTAGTGTAGTTAATGTAAATTAGTATCTGCTGATTGGAATTCGTCCAAGGCTTACTATGCCGCAGTTGTCATATCAGATCATTTCAGCCCCATGACCTACATAAATAGAATTTTTGTAATTGGTTAAAATTAACGTTTAATTTAATAACTTTCAACATTTTAATTATGGATTCCCAAAAATTGTTCATGTTTGAAAAAATATCTTTATTTTCTACACAGGTCGATTAGACGAGTAGCAATTTTCATCCAATTAAATGTATGTAGTTTATTTCAATAATATGTTTGACTAATACAAAAATTTTAGTGATATTTTGTCTAATTTCAAAAATTTTAAATAGACCAAAATATTAACTATATAAGAAATTAATGAAAATACATTAGTATGTATAGTTTTTTTAAATATTTATATGTTTTACTTAAAATTTTCATTGAGTTATACAAAGTAATCAATTAACCGTACTTCATACAGTTTTTTTTTAATTTAAAATATTATAATTTTTTCTTTTCAGAAGTTAATGGTATCCTATTTTCTATCATTTTCAAATGATAATTCAAAAGATATGATCACTTTTATACTAGAACAGAAGTAGTAGTGCAGTTGATAAATGCTTAAAAGATAAAAATAAACAGCTCCGTGTATCACCTCAAGTAATTTTAGTAATAACTTCATAATACTGGTTAAAAAGTTGTTAACGACCGGACGTTTTATTATTTTCAAACTAGTTAAACATATATGTTTCCATTTAAAAAACTTAGTTGATGCTATTTAAAAGGGGAGAGAAGAGAAATAGAAAGATTTTTTTTTCATTGAATGTTATAGAACATAGGATAGATACTATTAACTTTTGGAAAAAAAAATTATAATGTTTTATAATTTTAAGATCTTGCATAAGACATAGATAATGAATAATCTTGTGTATGTTTAAATATATTTTTATAAGTCATATATTTCTTCATTTGTTTTCAAACTTCATTTAAACATGTTTACCCTTAATTATATTTGCTTTATAGTCAATACTGATTTTCATGTTTAAATGCAAGTTAATTTCCATGGATTTCTTTAAAAACTTAAAATACATTAAATCATAATCGATAGGGTCAAGTTCTTGTTAGAATATTTCACTATTCATAATGTATTGTGAATAATCAAACGTTTTAAATCGAATATGAGCCAGTTAATTTTACCTAATGCATACATAACAAAATTCTGTTTTGGTATCCAATGACATGGATATATTGTAATTTATTAAAATAAACATGTTTATTGTAAGATATGTCTCTACCGCTGGAGAAATCTGCCCGTAAATAGTCTAGTCTATTTTTGACAAAACAGGGTGAATACATATATGTGTTTATACTTGTACGCACTCACACATTCATAGCGTGTCTTGGGCCAAGTATAAGATTTCTACAATGGCGTTCAGGAGGTATAGTTTATTTTTCATTTTCTATTCGGCGAGAGGTCAGTTTATTTATACAAAGTTTTGAATGTCCAACAACGACGTTGTCCTTTAGGTGTGCGTCGCTGCATTGCCTCGAGGTGTGGCATGGTTTCGGTATGTGTAATAAATGTTATATTTATAACATTCAGATAATATGTTTGTTTTTGCAACAACTGAAAACAAAACCTTTGACTTGCCAAAAAAATAATAATAAACATCGAAATAATGACATAATTGGCAATTGGAAATGATCACTTTGATTGTATTTGTCCTATGTATATAACAATATTTATTATTTTTTTTTAATATGGCTTTTTATTTCAGATTATAGTCAAGAATTCCGTCAATTATTTTAGTTTATTTACTTTATTATGAATATTTAACTTAACAGTGTACTTATATTTTAAATAAAGTTCAAACATATCAATTCTAATCAATAATTAAAATTAATAATTAAACATGAAAAATCATAATACTAATCTTTAAAAAAAATTAATTAAACAAGCGAGAAACAAGTAATAAAAAAGGTGATAGTAGAAATAATATTTTTTAGGCTTAAATAGTTCAGGTAACAAAATTTTGAACGATCCTAATTTAGACATTGTGTAGATTTATGTTTTTAGAGCTATTTATGTAGATTTATTTACAAAATCATCATTTTAATTAAAAAAATTATAGTAGTATAAAAAATACATTGTTTAAAAAAAAAACAAATAATTGCTTAAATAATTTTATTTTTAAATTAAAACATTCTTTGGTTAAAAATATTAAGCTGAAAATTCAGTTAAATTTTGCTTTTGTCTTGTAAACCTGTTGGTTCAAAAATCATTTGCAATTTAACAAATATTGAACTTTTATGTGAACACATGTGTTATTTTTCGTCAATATCTGATGTGCGTTTGCACCAAGTGGTGCTTGTACTGATGTCATTGTGTTTAAATGGAATTACTATTATTTTATATTTTATTACATACCTTTCTTAATTAAAAAAGAAAATTAAACTAATATAATAACCATATAATATTTTGATTATTTTCCAAGAAAACAAATTAAAATCAAAGTTTATATTAATAATAAAATATAACAATTTTCTATATCAAAAATATTAATTTTGCTTTTTTAATTATCTACTTTCTATTGACTATCACGTTGTATATTACTATCGATAATGTGTAACATGTAACAGATTACATTTTATCTTTTTATTGTTATTAATTAATATTTGATATTGTATCGTTAGTAATGTATTATTGGTTTTGGAACGGTTTTTGTCACTAGAGAATAAATCTATAAAATTGGTTTTCACATGAGATAAAAAATATTAACAGGGCATTACATTCTGATGTAGTTTATAAAATACACATCGTTATTTATACTGCAGTATTCAAGGTTTTTAGGATGATCAGAAAAACAAATTTGAATTATACTCTTTTTAATACAAGAGGTGATTTTATTTTTATAAAAATAACTACGAGCTCAGAAAAACTTATTTTATCATTATCAATAAAAAAAACTCATTTTGTAATTTTTGATACGTTCTGTTGCAGTATAAGAGACGATATTTCTTTACTATTTCTAAAATAAAATATTCTTATTTTCATCTTGGAATGTTTATATTTTACTTATAAAGATATCTGTGAGAAAAACTTATATAAACATCTATAGTATTTTATTTATATATAAATAAAATAATACATTTGTCAACATAAAATTAATACCAATATGATTACACTTTAGTGTACTCTCTACGCATAAAAGAAATATATTATTTCGACTTTTTAAATTCAGTATAATACGGTAGTAGTTCGTAAATATTATATAATCTAGTCGAATAAATTGTAATTATAAATAGCGTTTATTCTATTGTACTTCATTTGAGGAAACAATTGGTCAATACTACTAAAGTAAGACAATTTCGTTTTATTCAAAATATTAAAAAAAATGAATTAGTAACAAAAGGAACATAAATGATTACATTTGAAAAATCGATATTATTTTTCATAATTTAATTGTTAGTAATTCAAAGGAAATATGTCTTCTCTCTTCATTGGATATTCAGGTCAAGGGTAAAATTCGATTTGAAAAATATGTTTATTTAACCAATTAATTTTTTATTTTATATCAATTAATATAGTGCAAAAAATTTCTGTGGGGTATTTTTTTTATATATACTTTTTCACTCTAATCTTGATAATTTAAATTTTAACGATGAAGCTGATGATATAAAAAAAAAATGTTGTATGGTAGATTTCAAAGAAGTGAATATATATTTATATGTACAGAACTATTTGGAAAAGTGTCATTTTCTATGCTATGCAAACATAGAATCATTAAAATAAAGTGTAATTTAACGGGGTCAGATATATCCGGGAAAACCCTTGCTCGTTGTTGTTGTTGTTGTTAAGCTTAACATTAGCCCACATTGTGGAAACTAGGCCTCCCTCATGCCTCACCTACAATCGCGGTCACCCTCTAAAGAGTCGATAGAGCTCCGACTTGGCCTACTCCACATTCGGTTGTTGGTCGCTGCGACGTGACGTAACGCAGAGAATCGTATGACGTCACGTATCCAGCCGTTGCCAACGGTAACAACACTTACTATTTCAACCCATTCTCTTCGCCAGCCCTTATTTCGTTATAAGCTCGGCGGCCTCTGAAGTCATTCAACATTGTTTTTGTATCTATGCGAGGTAGGCGTACATATCTGTCAACTGTGTCATCTGAAACATTTAAATCTATGTCTAATAGTTGTAAATAAATAGGTACAAACGCGTTTCGTCTGCAACTGTGTAAATAATGCAAAGTTGTCCGAATCAAGTAAATACGACAATTATTAAAAAAATTCATGTACCTTTTTACCTATTCGAGTATATAAATTTACGAATAAAATGTACGTGTACTCTGTACAACAATGTTTACCAAAAAAACGGTCTAGAGAACTGCTGTTGGATACGTAAAAATAACACATTTTGTTTGTTTCGTAACATCTAATAAACAGAATTAAATTAATCACGCCACAGGAGACCTTGAATTATCGAGGGCAAGATGGCAGTAGAGGGTAAATCGATCGTGCAAAATGCAGTGCTTGTAAAAGACAGGCATGAATTTGTGTAGAAGTAAATCTACCCGCCGTTTACTATTTATGCAATCGATTTCAGTGTCCGCGAAACATATACAATTTAATTATAATTGCACATACACATCTTGTACAATATTTAATTTTTTCCAACATCATTCATGATAATTATTTTTTATTTCACGTCATATGACGTTATTTTACATAAATGATTCTGTTTTTACGGCTGCTTCACTATAGAATTTCGTTTCAACTTTGGCTGTTTGTTTGACAGCGGAAAATAAATATTTACAAAACTTTATTCTTTTAAATTTGATCGTCATTTGTTTTGTAGAATGTTCTGTAAATCAAATGAGATACACCAAAACAGTATTCAATTCGTCAGTTTTATAATTTAATTTTAATATTTAAAATTTTCAATCGAAAAATACATAACTTAGTTTATTTAGTTTGTAAGTACTGACCACAGTTAATTGGTTTCGCATTGCACATCATAAAAATAATTTATTTAATTATTTATTATTTTTATTTTTTGAAAAAAATACAAAAAGTACAACTTGAATGCATAATGCCGTATCGCAATGGACAATATGTACTATAATGAGCGTGACCTTGCTGAAGGTTAACTTGAAATTTCAAAATTTCACGTAAAGTTAAATACAATAGTGATATGATAATTATTGAAGCGTTCAAAACCCTACAAAATATGAGTCCGTACGTAGTTAATACGTCAAAAAAGTATATTTTAGTGTAACGAATCCTGTTTACTGTCTTAATTTTTTATTTCCAGTTTTAAATAATTAAGAAAGATTCTAAACGAAAACCTTCAAGAATAAATAACAATGAAAAAACAATAGGTTCTCGACAATTATGAAGTTAACCTACGTCATTTTTTATTTGCATTCAAGCGAGTTTCTTATTCAGAATGATTGGTTATTATCTATTCATGCCGTTGTAAAAAATTTGAACTATAGGTTTAATTCTTTCTCATTATCATGATCTTAAGTAGTCTTAAAATCATAATTTCATGAATTGATAATACTTAACTTTAAATGACAATTAAATTTTGATAATTTGTTTAATCGTTAAAAGCTATTTATCATTTATATTTTATACAAGTGTGGTGTCATTCTATTAACGGTTTTATCTATTTTTATTTGTTCTTCACTGTGTAATCTATCCATAAATCCTATTTCATATTTTAAGTTATTGCATAAATCGTTAAAAAAAACAGTTTTTGCTAAAATTTTATGATTTTTTTATTATTATTAATGAATAATAGAATTTATTATTCACTAATAGGAAAAAATGATTAATAATAATTGATTGTATATTATCTTTGAAAAAGAGTTATAAATAATTTTTCATTTTTCATTACATTTTAATATTAAGTTTAAAAAAAATTATATATATTTTTAAATCTGGGAGTGTGCAATTCAGTGCATTCAAAATACATTAAATGATCTTCTTTAATGTTATGTATTGAATTAAATTAATTTTCATAATATTTTTACTAATTTAATAGTGAAGTTGTATGTGTACCATATAAAGTTTTGATATTTTCTTGTTATTATTAGAATTATATTATATTGCTTTCAAAAAATCATTTTCTTTCAAAATGCTTTTAATATATATATTTTACTTAAAAAAACTTGAATAAATATTAAGAGACTTAATAGAATATAAAACTATTTTTAAGTTTTAAAAATAATATTTAGGTTAAGTTGATGTGCTATGTATTTTTTATCTATCAAATTTCGTTTATATCTTAAAAAGATTTATGACGTAGAGTCATATCGGACACAGTCGTGTCATTGAAAAGTGTTACTGAATAAAAAAATATCGTTGTTCGTGAAAATTACTTTAAAATTACATGGTGCGACGTTATACTCCTAAATTCATGCGCTTTAATGATTTTTCAGCAATACCATAGATTAATTTTTTATTATTTTTGTGGTTAAATTATATAATTCGTGTTTTGTTTACGCTGACTAACCGGTCCAATTCAACTGGGGTTTTTTCTCTTTTTAATAAATTATGATATTTTAGCAAAACGTTTAAAAATTATACTTATTATATGTATTGTTATTCGATTTAAATTCCTATATTTCTATTTGACTTTATTGCCTAATTTGGCACGAATGTGTTACGAATTTGTATGATTTGGACATTTAAAACTAGAGCTGGTTAATTAAATTAAATGTATTACATATATTATTCTTTAAAAAGACAAATTTAATTTGTATAATTCATAATTAAAAAATAGTTTCAAGAATAAATTCTTTCATCGTGTACGTCTATCTCTCCAAGAATTCATTGAAGTAGGCAATTATTTTAGATAGTGGCATCTCTTTCAAAGAAGGATGATAGTTAAATATTTATTTATTTTCTCATCACCTATGTAACTGACTCATACGTTGTGTTAGATTACAAAAATCGTTTATACATATCGGTCAATGCTATGCATTATTATTAGTATTTCATAATGACTAAATTAAAAGCGAATTACCGCCGTGAAACAACTCGATTTAGTAATCCTCGGGGCGATAATGACAACCAAGATGTAATGTATTCTTAAATACATTACATTCATATCATTTGGAATTCAACGGCTTGAAAAAGTTAATGTTTCAGATAAATCCGGTGGCATTGTTTTTTAAATAGTGTTTTGCATTTTTATTTGAATTATTGATCATTCTGTTGCTCGTTGAACTTTGAACCGATAATCCATACTACACAAGACAACCTAACCGAGGGACAAGTTTTAACGATCATTTTGAAGTAGGCAATTATTTTTAAAACGAAGAGTGTTTCTATTGTTATTTATTTGTTAGTTAATCGTAAAAGTATCTTCTAACGTTATTATTATAGTCGAAACCCTAGGGTTTGCGATTATAAATACCTAATTGTACTAATAACAATTGGATAATTAAAAATCATTAAAAACAGCATTCGATCGACCTATTTAAAACAGAATATAGTGTAGTAAACAATCAAGCTCCGTACCAAGGGACTAGAATTATCGTTACAATCATCCCTTTCTCAACCAAACCGATGATTTAAATGTTTACATAGTAATCTTACTGACAAATCAAACGATAAGCTACACAACGATAGACAAAATCTATTGTTAAGATATTTTAACATTCTAGAAAATTCACTGTTGTGTCTATTGTAAAATGATAAGGTTTAAGTCCTGTGTATTAATTCTGGAAACGATTTTTCGTTATGCCCATGGCCGCGCGTGTCTATCAATACAACTGTTTTAATTACCCAACCGAAGTACTGATTGTACGCAGTTTTGTAACCAAAATGTAATTTTTCAGTTGGTTTTTTAAATTTTAAGTTCATGACATGTGTACAATGTTTGTTACGTACTGTTGTCATATATTGTCGCATTTATTTTAGTATTTAATTTTACAAATAGATATTTTTAAAATGGATTCGAACACTAGTATTATATTTGCTTCTACGAACAATTTTATTTTTTCTCTCGATATGTTCAATGTGTCATATTTAATGCGTTGTTTGTTTTGTCCGTAAAATCGGTACTTGAATTTGAAAAAGTACTTCAAGTGTATGTACCGAGAAGTAAATAAATTTATCGCGTAATTGCAAATGTAAGTATTTTTCATATACCTAAAATATTATATTCATATTGGTATAAATAGAAATCACCTTGTGTCTTAACATTTTGATAAAATACAAATTTTTATATAAAAAATTCACTTAAAATTTTTAATTTAACATTTATAAACAAATATATCATATTCTATTACTTTATAATTACGATAAATATTATTTATGATTAATGTGTCTGAATTCATAAGTAAAATTTGTATAAACTATTCTACTGATACGTAATATAACTAAAATCGCTGTAAAATTATAAAAAATATGCTTAAATCTGTCTTATATAAAATTCAAGTGATAAATGATCTTCAGTATCATTAGTCAGATAATCCATGTTGGTCGACTCGGTGGTGGAGACTGTGTACGAAATGCGTAGGACGACTTCTATTGACCGCCCCTGTGTGTAGGTTACAGCAAAGGTCTCATGGATTAGGACTTTGAATAAAGCATTCCCTATCATAAGCCCATTATTTTTCGAAAAAATGTTCCTTAAAAGCGTCTAACTAGGGTTATTGTGTCATTGATTTTCAGGCTGACAGTTGTAAAAACACTGGCGCAAAACTCAAGCACAAGACTAAGTCCAGGCGTATATCGAAAGTCTTGTATAATTAATATTTTTGTCTCCACAAAACCATTCAATTATAATAATATAAATATCCACCGACTTGTACACGAACGTAGTAACGATTTTTAATTGTAAAAACAGCAACACAAAAATGAGCTTCGTTAATAGGTTATACGTGATATTGTCAAACGCAGAATCGCTGGACCGTTGCATAACTCGTAAAAAGTTTATTATTATGCACGGACGAGTCATGTTCACAATATAAATAATGATAGTCTCTTTACTTTTCTACCAACTTATTGAATATTATTTGTCCCAAAACGAATACAGCATTATAATAGTAATTCTTAAAAAATTAGTATTTGTTTGTGTTACGCTCTATGACCTTGGCGTATCGTTGCAAGATAACATTTCGGGAACGTAAAAAATCGAAGAAAAAAAAAACGCAGTCCATTGGTAACGGATCAATGTATATATGGTGAATGCACAAATTAACTGCTATAAAATTATAATTTGATAAAAAATAACTCTGGTATTTGGCAATTACATGTCGTTGTATCGGTCATCATGTCGTCAATAATAATTAAATTGAAGTATGAAATAGAAAAGAAATCAAAATGTTGATACGTTATTTGCGTCGTTGAGGCTTTTTCAATCCGGGAAAAAGAAGAATTTTTTAATTGTGTCGTGAACTATTGTTACGACCAATTTCTGTAATGTGTGCAAGTTGACGTTCATTTTAATCGTACCATGAAGTCAGTTTGATTTCGCTGTATTTGGACAGAACGGTGCAAATTAATGAAATATACGCATTTACACACACATGCGTTTCAACTAGCTGACTGTACACCGACTATTATTATTACCGCTGCAATTTATGTCATTATTATTGTATTATTATTATTAGTTCAACCTTCGGCTGTTGTACGAACAATAGCTGTACAATAACGACATCAAACATCCTGGTTAAGGCTGAACGGTTTCGTTCTAGATTATTTTAAAAGCATATTAATTACAATCGGAGTAAAATATTAACTTAATTATTGATTAGATCTTAATATTTTTATGTTCGCGTACGATTTGATTCTTCTTTTAACTCTGTCTGTTGGAGTCATCTTTGACATGAAACATCAATTTTCCTATTGGTTCATCCGAGTGTTGTTTTCGACAAAAATATCTAATATTTTTTATGTTAGAGTTAAATTGATACTATCATTTTTTATACACAGTTGATCTGTATTATGTGCTTAAACTTTAAAATCACCCAGTACTCAGATCTGTTATGGTCTAGAACTATTTAGCTGTAAAATCTATATGCTCGACCAAATATTTACTTATTATATTGATTTTTAATGATATTTTAATTTACCACCTCAATTAACCAATAATTTCACTGAACTACTTAAATGAAATTATAGATTATAGTATAGTATACTTCAATTGCTTTTTTCAGTCTTAAAAAATAACCTTTATTTTTATATATTAAGATTATTTATTGAGTTATTAATTCAATTTTGTCGATTTTTTAACTAATAATACTATTTTTTTTTTCTTTTTACAGAAACCGTATTTAAAGATGCATATTGAGGTAAGCGTAGCTCTAAATTTTGTCATCTCATACCTATACAATAAACTCCCCCGAAGACGTGTCAATATTTTTGGGGAGGAATTGGAAAAATGTTTGACAGAGAAGTTTGCTGGACATTGGTATCCCGAGAAGCCATATCGTGGCTCAGCTTACCGTTGCATTAAAACAGGATCTCCCATTGACCCGGTTTTTGAAAAAGCATCACGAGAGAGCGGCGTAGCCATTCAGGACGTTTTAGAAAACTTACCTCAAGATTTAGCCGTCTGGGTAGACCCTGGTGAAGTGAGTTATCGTATTGGCGAAAAAGGAGCTGTAAAAATATTGTATAACGAAAGCAGTGGTGGCTTACAGTTCGACGCTCATGATGATCGAAACGCCGACAGAGAGGTAATTACAAATCTATTTATAATAATTTAATCTCACTATTTACATTTCTTGAGGTAATACTTCAAATAATTTATTGGGGTTATTTGAAATTAAGTTTAAGTTATGAACTTTAGAGATTATTTTACTGAACTTATAAAAATATTTGTATAACACAGAATACATTTGTTACAGGTCGTAAAGACATTCAACCCTGAAGCTCAATGTTTCCGACCGATCGACTCCGTGGCGTCCAGTTTGAGCTCCCTAAGCATTTCTCCACCCGACAAATGCTTATCTGGTTCGCCACCGTTAGCCAGCAGTGGTTCGGACAATTCTTCTCCTACTCATCACCACTATCAACAACCATTGCAGCAGCAACACAACCCGTTGTTCGGCAAATCATGTCAACAACCCCAACAACCTCGCAGTCCAAGTGGTCCATCGTCATACGGCAGACAACCATCAGCTCCGTTAACGTTCACCACCGCCTCGTTTGCTCAGACCAAATTCGGCAGCACCAAGTTGAAGTCCAATAACAAAAGAGCCAACAGGTTTCTGTTAACTGAATTTTTAGACAAGTAGGCAAACTCGTTTAACACTAATATAGGAGGTGGAAGCTCCTGGGAGAACTTTTTTTTAGAATCAATCAAATTGGCGTTTTCAATCATCTTTTGATTTTATTCATTTAGCTTGCGTTTTTACAAATCATTATTAATTGTCATTATATTGTGCGACTTTAGTAAATTGTTGTCACGTTAGTGTTCGAAACAACTGATCACACATTTTGTGTACGCAAATGAAATTTAATGTGGTACCATTTTTTGGAGGCCACTGTGTTCGTTTTGTTGCAAATAATCAACATAGTCTATACACCATATAACTCATAGGTGTCAAACAAAATCGAAAGAACAACAGCAGTAGTAATTAGTGACAAGTGTCAGACAAACAAACTCATATTGCGAACCCATTTCTATTTTTCATTTCTCCAGATACGATTTATGTTTAGCCAATTTTTTGGCACGGCTCATTCCGATAGCAAATTCATATCTGTCTTTTTGTATTTATGCCACAATTTTTTTTTAGTCGCTTTTATTTCTCGGCAGTTGAAAATTTGTTAGCAATGTAAAAATTGTTTACAACTTATTTGTAAAATATTAAACTGTAGATAGTTATTGTCGTTTATATCTCTAATACACATGCTCCAGCAGATAAATTTAATAAATTAAAACATTCATCGAATCAATGGATGGTTGATATTAACTGTAGTGTTAAATACAGGAAATTTAAAATGACAATAAGTTGAGATAATAACTATTCTGTAAGCGCAGCGGGTAGTTTTAGCTTTCAATCAAATATTTCAAAAGTTTAGACTTTGTAGAAAGCAAGGCGATAATCTACTCACTATTTATTTATTTTTTTCAATTAATTTTCGATTGATTTTATTAAATCTAATATTATATTTTGTTTAGAATTACTGGATTTTATTTCTTATATGTTGTTCCGAAGCTATTGTTTGTATTTTAAGGATAATTTCAAATTACTAACTAATTTTTTAGATAATCAAATTTTAATTAAAATTATTAACAATTGTTTGTAATTTCAACACAATGATCCATAATGATAATATACTACAATAATGTGTAAATTAATTAAAAATAAAAATTATCAATAAAAAACAGACTAATAAATATCAAATTTAAATAATTTATCTGATGTATAAAAAACGTCTGAACTAATCAAACCTTTTTATCTCTTCCAGAATGTCCCCGACTGAGTTTGCTAACTATATCAAGCAACGAGCTGCTATGCAACAGCAACAGATTGGCGGTGCAGGTGGTCAGAGATCAGTGTCTCCGCCACAGCAACAGCACCACCGCGGAGGACAAATTAGTGAGACGGCGTCCAACTACTTCTTCCAGCAGCAGCAACAACAACACCAATATAACAGTTACAGACCCCGCCAATCAAACGCTTTCCGAAATAGTGGAGGCTTGACGGATTACTCGTTGCCGCAGCTTCAGCTCCCCAACAACAACAGTAGTGGTGGTTGGTCTAGCTACAGCGAATTCGGTCCCCAAAATTTTGGCTCTCCGATGGGCCCTTTGTCACCGTCTAACTATGGTGGGGTACAACAGTCATCTCCACATCAACAACCGATGTCGCAACAAAAAATGGACAGTTTTAACAATATGAGCTTAGGTTCTTCGTCGTATAGGTCTAGTCCATACCAGCACCTTTTGGTAGCAAATTAACAAGGTGTCCATTTAATGTATAATAACTAGTACATTATCGTGCTCGTTTGCCCACCTTTTTCAAAACATCAATATTATTAACCCCTCAACCCTCCCGACTTTGATACTTTAGACGCGCTATTTTTTAAACATGACTAGAGAACTATTGCTCCTTCCTTTCCGCTCTTCATTCCTTAAGACCTAACTACCGCCCAATAAAGGGCTTTTCTTATTTCATAACAAATATGCTTGTATACATATAAAATTTAAGTTATATTTTATATCAGACGCTTTAATTCTTTACTTCTCTTTAAATAATATGTATATTAATTCAAATCAATGTGATTCATCACCTTAAGTATTATTAATTTTTTTTACAATTATCTTTTTTTTTTTTGTTAAAACTTTTTAATAATATTTGGATTAACATAAAAATATTATTTTTTTTTAAGTAATTAATGACTCATATTATCGTTCAGGCTTTCTATGTTTATAATTATATAAATATATAGAAGCTATAGTTTTTATTTAATTATTATTAATAATTTTACCAATGGAGGATTAGACCTTATTTTAACAAAACGTGTATAGTTTGTTGGTAAAACATATTTTATAATTCTTTTTTTAAATTGTATTATTCATTACATTAATGTTTTTATTATTTTTTTTTTTTTTTACTAATGAGTGTTCTGTGAACAACAAATATAATTAATGACCCTCATTGATCATAGTAAATTAGACAAAGTTATAGTTTTTTTTTTTTTTATATAAATTTAATAGAATCTCCGACATTCTTTATAGTTAATTCATCCTCCCATTCTAAGTAAGGGAATCAACATTTTCGAATATTTGCATGCTATTTATAAAATTTCAAGTATATCTAACTGATACAATCTAATTGCAATAATTACGACAATTGGTAGGTGTTTATTTTTTAATAGTTTTAATTGGTCTAAGTAATAAAATAAATCTTATAATATTGTGTTAAAATTTAATATTTAGTTAGATAAAAAATAAATTATGACAAATCAAAAAAAAAAAAATCATGAAAAGTTACACTGAAAAATGTATCGATGGATCTCGTCAGTTAATAAAAATTGTTCTTGCATTTCGCAATCTATATCGAGGTTTACTTAAAATAATTAATGATGATTAATCATTAATTTGTTTTCATCGTTATTATATAGTTAATATTATAAAATAAAAATTGCACTTGCTTTAATACTATGATGATAATTTTTTTTATTTCGAAGCTTTAAATTAAAGGTTTATTTAGAAAATATTTTATTATATTTATTTTTTAACTTATTTGGTATTTTTTTACTCTTTATATAATTACTTATATATAAATGTATATGAATGTTATTAAATATTTTTGGGTTTTTTTAGAAACTATTATTTTCTAAGTAGTCAGATTAAACTATCTTGTTTTTTTATTAATATATAACAAAATACCTATATTTTTTGTGATTACAGTATAAGTAATAGGTCATTTTTTTATGTACCTAATAATAAAATGTGTTTTATAAATATATATTATATTGTATTTGAAAAATGTTATTTTTTAATAAGCACTTTTGGGAGTGAGTAATTTTATATTTTTACTCGTTTGTTCCGAAAAGAAATTTAAGCTTGTAAACCGTGAAATTAGCTACATTTAATGGCATGATTACCTATATACTATTTTTACTTTAATTAGTGTGTTAATAAAAAAAAACAAATCCCCTTTTTATATAATTAATGATGGTTTATAAGAATATTTTTATTATATTAATAATACTCTAAAATCACTGAAAACTTTTTTAATTTATACCTTAAACACTTGTTAATTTTTTTTTAATTTCGTATCATTTCTCTAACCAAAAATAGAAATATACTAAGAACTGTTATTTATTTAGGTTTAAGCAAATTTATTTTTGGTCCCGTTGTCTTCCAAAGAGAATACCTTTATTGAATGTACAACTCTCCTTCAGTATGAAATGTTAAATAATTACTAGATTACATATAAAATTCATACAAAGACTGTTAATTATGTAACCATAATGTTAGTTGACCGACATGTAGAATATAAGAAGCCTAAGCGACTGACAATTACTCCTCTATGAAATATAATATTTTATAATTTTTGGTATTTTCTTAGACAATCTTATTCGGCAATACACAAATGTTATGTTTTTACAGAAGCTTATACCTAGTGTTTTAAAAGTCCACTCTAACTTCCCTTGTTTACTTAATATATTTACTCCTGTGATGTATAAAACATAGACCTTCTTTTGATATTGACAATATTTTTATAAATAGATATGTTAAAATTGAATTTAGTATGATTATCTAAGAAAATCTATTTGAGCGTTTGTGTGTAAAAAATTTTTTTTTACTTAATATACCATAAATTGCTTGTACTTTTTTGAACTGTTGATTAAATAGAATTATTTGAAAGTTAACTAATATATAATTAAATTGTTCATGTTTTTAATTGACATATACCAAATTTTTTTTTTTTAGTTAAATTTAGACATTAATTTTTTTTTACAATCACACCAATTAAACATTTACAATAAACAAACTTTCAAAATAATTTTAAAAATTTAATGTTTTATACCTTAATAATACTAAAATATGCAATTAATAAAACAATGTATATATTACTTTAATTGAAGTGAAATTGTTATAAATGTATTTGTAAAATATTGGTTATGACCAATTATTTCTCGGTGTTACAAGTTACCTATATAGTATATTGAAATATATAACTGTAATGAAACATTTGTTGTTTAAACAGTTTTAAGACTAGGTAGGTTTTTTTGTTGCTTTTTTGATATATTTTAAATATAATATATTAGAAAATTTTAATATAAATATATATTCATATATATATTTATATCTACATAAATTTTAACCATAAAATGTATACTTTAAAATTAAGTGTGTATTTTCCAATTTTGTTTATACAATATATAAAATGGTATAATTATTTAAAATAAAATAATAAATGAATAATAACATTCTTATTTTAGATGTTTAATTTTTTTTTGATTGTGGATATCAAACCATAAGATAATATTTTATTATGATGATAATGATTTGTTATATGATGAAATTTTAATTATTAATAATAAATTAAGTTATTTGAAATATATTGTTTGTTTGATTGAATTACATCCATTTGCAGTGATCATATGTAAAGTGAACACAAAAATAAATCAAGTTGTTTGAAAAATTAAAATTAGTTGATACCAATGATACTTAAAACTTAATCAAATTGAAAAATAAACTTATTAAAATAAATTGGTGTACAAAAGAAATAAAATTACATAATTAAAAAAAAAATTCCACATAATATCAGGGATTTTTTTTTAATATAATTTATATTATTAATTATTTATTTACAAAACAAAAAATCATTTCAGCAAAGATATAAGTAAAATTGCCAAATTCTAGAAAACTGAAAATATATAGAAATACATTAAAAATATTCATATTTCTATATTTAAAAAATAAGTATTTAATTTATATTCTAATATAAAAACTATATTTTTATTTATAATGCAGTAATAAAAAGTTATCAAAACTATATAATATATATATATATATAATCTATACATATAGATTATATATATATTTATTCAGTAATAAAATCTTAAGTTACATACAATGAAAATGTTATTACAATAAAATGTAATTTTTTAAATTATTACATGTTATACTTAATTTTTAAAGGTTTAATAGAAACAAAAAAAAATATTTTGAACACAATTACCTATTAAGATACTTCGAATACACAATTAACATCAATGCTATTATTTTATATACCATGCATATTTTCCATTAAAATATGACCTAAATCTGGTTTATCTTCAATATCATCTATTAAATTATCATCATCCATTGTTACGTTATTTTGATCATTAAAGTTATCCAAAATTATATGGTTTATTTTACTTATACTATTAATTTGATTACCATTAATGAAAACTTCATCTAAAATTACATCTTGCTCAAGACACTTAGATTCCATATCACAATCCTGTATGTCTTCCATTTTAATCAATGTGTCAGTCTCTGCATTAATTGGTACAGCTGTTGGCACTCCAGCTTGTAGTTCATGAATTGTAGAATGATTATTCAGCTCAACTTCAGAATCAAAACTTGTCCAACAAGTGCCGCATTGCCAACTTCTTAAAATCTGATCTTGACTTGTTCCTTTATGTCTTAGTATATGATTTTGATACAAGGTTTGATTAAAAAAACGTGATTTACATTGTGTACAAAAGAAGAAACAAGGCTTTGACTTAGATTTCTGAATAGTACTTAAGGATGCTGCCATTGAGCATCTTTTCCAATGCTCAACAGCTTCTTTGTAGGATAAAAATTTTTGGGGACAGTTTTTACAGGATAACTTGCCATTAATAGATGGAAAATCTTCTTTACACTCAACAATTATTTTAGCTTCTTTCAGTAAATTTTCACGCTCTTCCACTTTTAATTTCTCATCAGGTCCCATTGCATACTTCATTTTTAATTGGAAGTATATACAAAATGATGTTGCATGCCCTAGGGTAGCAGAATGTTCTCTAGTTCTGAATGTACAGTTGAGACAACAATAATAATTTATGCCATTTTCAACTTTTTCTTCAAATGATTTACAATATAATAAGTGAGCTCGAAATTGACTAGGTGCTAAATCTTCAAAGATAAAATTACAATATACACATTTAAAACAATTTTTGAGCATATCTTCTATTTTCATGCTATTAGTGCATTGTTCAATATGAGCTACAAAATCATTACTTAAGAAATTTTGATCACATAATGGACACAATTTAATACCATTTTCTTTTAACATTATATACATTTTATGTTCTTTTTTAGCATGTTCAACATATTCAAGTACACTAAAGCAGGAAAGTCCACACATTTTGCAAACATAACTACTTATATCTTCTTTAGTTTTTGCTTTTCGTGATACAAAACTGTTTACAGATGAATTTATTTTGACATCAGATAGTTTTATTATATCTTCATTTTTCTTAGTTAGGCATACTAGATAGTGTTTATATGTATCAATGTCGTTTTCAAATTCAATATTACAAACTGGACAACCAGGGAATAAATTGGGTGAGCATAATATAACTGAATTATGTTTAAAAAGTCTATGTTCAGCTAAATTATGAATAGATTCAAATTCAACATTACAAATGCTACATTTTATTGATGGGGATTTATGTATACCGTGTTTAACATAATTTATTTCTAAACATGAGTACAAACAAATACTACAAGTAGAAAATTTTTCTGATATGTTTGCATGTTGTACATAATGTCGATAATTTGTTGATTTAACATTGTACACATTATTGCAGTTAGGCACTAGACACGTAAATAATTCACAGTTAACGCACTCAAAATCTGTATTGAGTTTTGAAAATGTATTAATAGGGGTTATAAAATCTAACGCAAATTGTTTGTATTGAGCATTACTATGAATTATTTTACCAGAATGTTTCTGTATCTTATGTAAAACAAAATCTGACATTGTTAAAAATTTAGTTGAACAACAAACCAAAAAAATTGATATATCTTGATGTGAATGTCCTAATTTTGATTTTCTAGGACTTTCTAAAACTTTGAAACATTGGCGGCACAAATAAGTGTTTGTTTTGAGATTAATATGTCTACGGTAGTGTTTTATAAATAATTCTAAAGTAGCAAATATGTAATAACAATTTGGTACTAGACATGTAAATGCATTTGTATGCTTGGAACACAACTCATGAGTATTATACTGCAAGTGTTTATCATTAAAATTGATGCACAATGGACAAGAGTTAGCCAATGGTTTATGATTTTTAGAAAATATCAACTTTTTATAGTCTTGTGTCATGATTTTTCGTTCAAATGAACAGGTAGTTTGAAATCTACGAGAACTAACATTGTTTTTTCCAAATGATGATGAAAATTGTTTTTCATTAATATTTTGAGATGAATCATGTGCCTGTAAAGTTATACAAGAAGAAATAAAACTAAGTAAAAAAAAAATGTTCTGTAATTAATGATATAACAATTATGAACCAGGGTTAAGCCAGTCTAAATGATATATTTCTAGCTCAATTTGTAATCCCTGATTGTCTCTTTCAATTTTATAAATAGTCATAATTTTAAAAATATAGTGATAATGATTAGCTCATAACTAGAATATGCAACATATATGGAACAATGGACAAGTTGGTAATAATTTGACTAATTATTACTCAGTTTAGTTTCTTTATCTAATCTGTAAAAAATACTTTCAATTAAAAGATTTCAAATTGACTTATTGATAAGTATTATAAGATTGAAAGTAGATAAACATGATATGATCAAATTTTGTGCCAGTCTACTACACACTGTTTGATCACCACAAACAATAGCAAGTTCTTATTTTCTCAAAAATTTCTAAGAAAACATTTTTTTTTTTTATTTGGTTAATTTATTAATTTTTGTATCGAAAAAAGTCATTCAAATTTCAACATTTTTATATATGTAAAAAATTAATTTAATTGATATATTAATTTTAAGAAATATAATTTTTTTATACTTAAATATTTAATACCTTTTTTGCAATATAATCAATAATAAACTGTGCATCTGCTGCTTTTTTGACATGTTCCCGCCAAAGGTCAATATTTCTAATACAGTTTTTACACACCATTTTTGATTTTCCATCATCACCATTTATCTAAAATCAATTAAATGTATTTATTTTAAAAAGAATAAAATAGTTATCTTATAAAAAAGGTATATCAGGACAATTACCACCTGATATAGTGATTTAATAAAGAGATTAAATAAATTTTCATGGTTATAGCTTAAATATAATTGTTTCATTATTCAGTGATTTGTAACAAATCAAAGTTAAACAAAATCAAGTATTATGCTATAATACATAAAAGTTGGCGAGTTATAGATAAATGAAATTTAACTACAGATACCCAAAAAAAGCTTAAGGAGGTTAAAACTATAAAACTTCATTGGGGTAAATAATAATTGTTAATTAATATATTTTAATAAAATAAAATTTATAAAACTTCTACAAATAAATCAATTGTTATCATCGATCGTTAAACTCTTCTCACCAATCTAAAATTGGAATATTACTACTCACTTGAACATTGTAATACGAGTAAATGTCTTTAATTAAATTGCGATCAGTATTAACTGTTTCGAGTACATCTACAAGTTTTTCATTTTCAGTTAAACAAATTCGGCACAATGCTACATTTATAACTATTGATGATGCCATTGTAAAATCACAAACAAATGAATAAATTAATAGTTATATTATATATAGTAATAAAAAACTACAGTTAAAAATTTATTGATGTATGAATGATTCACAGACATCTCAGTAACAAATTTTTAATACAAAAAATTAATTTTGTAACAATAAAATTTGGGCAATTGTATACAAAACGGCGTACACATAACTGATAAGAAATAGAGAGACAATGGTCAAATCATTACAACTGATAGTAGTTGTCTGAGAACATCTTTAAGCTGTTTGATGGCCATTTTAAATGTAGTTGAGATTTTAATTTTGTAATTTTAATATTATGTTATAATTAGTACCAGGATGTACATATAGTACAACTGTTACATTAGTAACATTTGCATCGTTTTCTTAATTTTTTATAGCATAACTCATTAAGTACATAATCCGATTCAAAGTTTATAGAGTTCAAATACAATTTTTTTAATGATTTCATGAATAATAACATTTTTTATACTTTTGGGTTATTTTAATAGCACTTTTGTTATTTCTTTTTAGTAATAATAAAAATGTTTGGTAATTTTTCTAATTGTATTATTTCGTATTTTTATACATTTTTTAATTTTAACGCAGATTTTCCGCATACTAACTTCAAATTTTTTTATTAAAATTTTCTAAAAAATTATTCATAATTTACATCACACATAATTGTTTACATACAAAGTGAATTACTAGTTAATCGATAAATAAAAAAAATTGAAAAAATGTTTTTGGTTTATTTTAACTAAAAGAAATTATTGGTTAAAATAAGAAAAGATAAAACTAGTTGTGTTAGATTATTAGTATTGAATTATTATTATTGGCATAAAAGTAAGGGACAATAGGGGCCTATTTAAATTAGCCCCTCTAATATGAAGTTCTAGGTTAACCTTTTAAATTATTATACTGTACTTGATTATTCCAACTCTCATTAAAATGTTACCAAACGTTAAATAATATATTATATATAAGTATAAGAAAAGTTTTAATGAGTATCTTACTTAAATATATATATATATACACATGATCAAATTTCTCTTTTTACTTAAATCAGCAGTAGAAAATCAAAATATGCCTAAACTTTTGAAAGACCTTTGAACTAAATCCTCTACATCCACAATTACAGTATGAAAAATAAAACATTCAATAAAGTTTTAAATTATCGATTGGGCACATCTTAGTCTATAATTCTCATTTAAATACAAAATAACAACATGGAATGGAATAGAAAATAATTTGATTCATTTTTGAATTAAACTCCTAATACAGTTGTCTCGATTTATTTTACAAAATAACTATTTTAAATATGCAAAAGAAACATATAAAAAATTAATTTCAAATACTTTACAAAGTATATTAATAATATATATGAATAAAACAGATAAATTAAATTACACTTAAAACTTCAACATACTTATTACACGTTTATAAGTCTTAGTATAAAATAATAATAAATACATCTAAATAAATTCTTAAGTCTAAATTATATTTATTTGTTTAAGGGCTATTAAAAATTTCAATACACAATATTTAAAAAAAAAAAAAAGTGGATAAAAAACATTTTAGATGGTATACATAGGTTTTGGAAACAATTATGAAATAAAAATAAAACCTTTCATGAATTATAAATGTAACAATATTCATAAAGAGTGAATGCTGTGCTATTAATTTAAGTAATGAATAATTGATCATACAGTACCATAATATTGACAAAAAGTTATTTAAACAAATAGAAATAATATTTCTACTATATTTTTTTGTACATATGGTTTTAGATGAATTTTTTTTCTAAAATTTAAAGATTCAGGTTCAAATATATATAAATTTAATTTATACTTATTAGCTAAACTTCTACAGACATTTCACTTTGATCAACTTCAACCACTAAATTGTTATCATTAACTAAGTCACCCTGGTTACAAATTTCCTTATAAGATGATTCTTCTTCATTTTGATTTTCAATATTATCTACTACATCATGTATATTATCCAGTAATATTTCATCATGTTGTGAATGTATTATTACTTCATTTAAGCTGGATTCATCCATCTCAGTATCGTCAACTATAACTTCTTCAACCAAACTGTTTCCATCAAATAATTGATCTGGCTGAGTTGTTATTGCATTATTACATGATTCATGATTAACAAATAGCTCACCATCTTTATCAATATTATCTTTTAAGTGAGTTATATTACATTTTTCATTAATGATTGGATCTTTAACTGCATTTTCTTGTTTTTCATTAATGTGATCTTTATGAAAAGTAGTATCTACATTAACTTCTTTTTCATCAACTAGTGAATCAGAATCTGATTGATCAACAAGCATCGTATTTTCAATATTGTTGGCAGCCAAAGATGTAGTTTGGGATATAATAGGAAGCATTACCACACAATCAACAGTTTTTTTTTCTGTAATGTTAGAAATACTTTCTTCATTATGTTCATGTTCTTTGTGCATAGCTAAAGCAATTTTATACTTAAACTGACTAGGACAATATCTACATGAGTAACGTTTATACTTGTTAGAAACAAGTTTTTTACCATGTTTAATTTTCCAATGTTGACCAAATTCTAAGCATGAATAATATTCTTTACACTTAGTGCAATAATAATTAAGAGGATATTTATTTTTAATAGGCTTAGCTCTTTTTATCCCAACATTAGAACAATGAATCCAATGTTCAGTTAATCCAGCTTGTGATACAAATTTCTTAGGACATTTAATACAAAAATATAAATTATTTATAAAAGGAAACATTTCAATATTAACTAGTTTATTTTTATTATTAGCTGAAATTTTTCTAGAAGAATCGATTATTTTTTCTGGAAAATTTGTCGTCTCTGTAACATCAATGCTAGAAGTAACTGATTTATTATTTGAAATAGTTGAATCACAATTTGACTTAATACTTAAAGAATTAATTGTTTTTAATCTTTCATGTTTTTTCAAGTGATTAACTAAAGCAGCTTGTGTTTGACATATTTTTTTACAATACTTACATTTAAAATTTGTCCTTTTTTCAATTAGTTTAGTCTTTGTTTGATTAGATATTACTTTTTTCTTCTGTTTATTTTGACATGTAGTTAAATGGTTTCTAAATACATTAATGTTATGCTCAGTCTTACAAAACGGACAAATCATTGTTTTTCTATTCTTTGATACAATAGTGCATTCATGAACAATCAATTTATGTACACTTAATCCTTGAATATCGTCATATTTGGTAGAACATTCAAAACATTCAAACATCCCAGGTTTTTGGCAATTCCCTTGAGTTTGATGATTACGAAGAGCAGTAACATCAGGAAAATCGGAAACACACTGCCAGCACATAACATTATTTCCTATATTTAAATGATCGCGGCAATGTGTTTTAAAATTTTGAAAATTTTGAGAAATAATATTACATGATGGTTTTAAACACGTAAACAGAACCTGATCAGCAGTTCGTACAGGGAGCTTACAAGGAATAGCAGCAGTAGTAGTAGTAGTTTTAAGCCTCTCTTTTTTCAAATCAACATCATTCTTTTTTATAGTAATTCTGTTAGTAGATTTAGAAATTGGATCTATTTTAGGAATAGAATATGTTTCAGGCTTATTTTGTTGGTTTTTAACTAACTGATTGTTTTTGCAATATTTAATGTGATCATTAATTTTAGCCAAATCTGGAGAAGATTTTTCACAATAATAACATAAGTAATTACCTGAAGAATTGATAATACGGCTATTATGCTGTGTAAGCTTGTGTTGAGCAATATCTAACATTGAATTAAATGAAATATTACAAGTGTAGCATTTAAATAAGTTGGTCATATCACTGTGAATATGTTCACCATTGTCATCTCTACTAGATTTTTTATTTTCTTTGTAACACTGACGACATAAAATGGATCCAGGAGACATACCAATGTGTTGCCTGTAATGAGGAAAAAAATCTCTAACTGCTCTGAATATTATATTACAGTTAGGTACTAAACAGGTAGAGAACTCTTTATTGAACTGTGAACAATCATGATTATATTGTTGTTTTTTACAAATTGAACAATAATGTGACTCCTCATTTGATTTAATATTTTGAGAGATATTTTCAACATCAACTGATTCTTCACTATCTGATATACAAATTATATCATTTGTCTCAGTTATTTCACTCATAGGATTTTCATAAATATCATCATTTTCACTAGATGTTGATAATGATCTCTTTGATGGTAGAATGGGATTTTCATAACTTTGTGACGAATTTATTTTGATATTAGATATTTCATTTTTTGTGCATATTTTTTTATTAAATGATGACGCATGAGGATTGATGTTATTTCCAAATTCAAACGATGAATCTGGTTCACTTGAATTAACAACACACTTTTTGGATGAATTATTTGTAAACTAAAAAAATAATTAAGATTACTCGAATAAAATTAAAAAAAAACATAAAAAAAAATTCAAAACAACAATGAATTAAAGTGTGCTTTAATAAACACTATGGTAATTTTTAAATTATATCTTATAAACATTGGGAAATTATTCAATATATAATAATCATTTTCTATCAAGTACAATATTAAGATAAAAGTCTCTTTATTACTTTTATGACTTCATAAGTTCAAAAATACAAAAAAAATTACTGCATTTTAATTACTACAGAAGTAATAGTTAAAAATAAACCTAATAAATAGACAAGATAATTAACTATGCCTTAAGCAAAATCATTAAAAATATAAAAAAAATAATATATTTTTTTTTAGAAGTTAATAGTATTCTATGTTCTATAATTTTGAAAAAAAAAGTGTTTGTTTCCCTTTGTGAGTATTAATTTAAATTGTTTTAATTGATACATATATGTTTAAGTGGTTTAAAAAATAAAAAAATTATTTAACTAAGAAAATTACTAGTCTATATCTTTTAAAATAATAGTTTAAAAGTTATTGTCATCAAGTCATTTTCTTAATTTTAAACTAATTAAACATATACATTTCTATTAAAAACTTAAATTATACTTTAAGAAACTACCTAAAAGGGGACATTAAATTTCGCTTTCAAATATAAATAACATAATTTTTATCATACAGTTATTTTCACCAATAAAATGTTAAAAACTAGGATGAATGTCATACAATCAAATTGGGATGTTATTCTAGAGGTAATATATATATTTTATTATTTAATATTCTAACATGTTATTACTATCGATAGTTATTTTATACCTATAATAATATATTCAATTATGATACACAAATAATTTATACATCCTTTATTGATGTATTCAACTTTTATAAATATTTATTTGATTGATATCAAACCTTTTTGGCAATATAATTTATCACTATTTGTGACTCAGTAGCTTTTTTTTTCATTTCAACCCAACTAAGCAATGATTTATGGCAATTTTCACATATAATCTTGGGTTTGATATCATCTTTTTCCACCTGAAATCAAATTTATACAAATACACTAAATAATTTTTAGAAGTAATTTTACTTTACTTTAACACCCAACAATTCAAACATATGCTGGTTTAATCCATTATCATTGTTTGATATCATAAATATGTTTAAAAATTTAATTTTTCTATTTGATTCTGGTTCCAATAAACATATCCTACACAGATCAAAATTTTCACTGTGCAAATTTATTTGCGAGTTATCCATCATAAATGTACAAATTGCAATACGATCAGAATTTCTTAGTGTTTTAGGTTTTGTAATTTTCGAGAGAGAATAATTAGTTTTTTAATTTATTAGTCATTTTGCCCTGTTAATTTAATTACAGTGTCGAGTGATATAGATTTGAAATTTATTATTTATTAGTTAATTTCATAAATATTGACAACTAAATAAAAAAATTGAAAGAAAAAAACAAAAAATTATTTATGTGAAAATGTCTTAGGATTTTAAACAATCAATTCTACTAAAAATGATAATTTCAATTGATGATACTGATTTAATTATGATATCTATTGTTAAAAAACATGAGTATTAGAATATTGTAATATTATGAACATATAATCACATGATAATTATAAATATACAAAACTATAATATACAGTTTAATAAATCCAAAACACCGATTAATTTTAAAGACCAATCTTGTTAACTTGAAGCATGAAAAAATGTATGGTAGATAACGATAATATCTCAGAGTTCGGTTGTTGTGGTTCATAACAATCTACTCTTACAAATACAGGTTTACCATTTTATTTTTTTGGGGATAATAAAAGTTATACAAGTGATTTGTTAATAACACTACCACTCCATTATTTCGATAAATAATTATTTTTTCATGAAAATGTCAGATAAAAATTAATTTTTAAAAACTATAATAAAAATATCAAATTTGTTGCAAAGAAAAATTGTTTCTTTAGATAAATTTTGGGGTTAACTTTCGAAAGTTAAATAAAAACCTATTATTTTTTACTATTAGATGGAAAACAATCTAAATAAAACTATCTGGTCCATTACTAGTTCTGTAACATGCTCTTTAAGATATTAACATTTAAAAATAAAAAAAAACGGTAGCACAGTGGTGTCGCGGCACAGTATGGAAGTGGCATAGTTGGGACATGTATAGATGATATCTGACAGTGATTAGAATCACTATCTTAAGACATGCTTCGATGCAAATCTGTAGATAGGGTTTAATTTTAAGAAATTGGTAGATTATTTCAAAAGCAACAATAACTCTTATTCCCTTAATTTTATCCCGATCTGTTATTTGATTTATAATTATAATATATGAATAAATAATAACTATAGTAATTAAATTTAGTATGAAATTGATATTAAATAATTTAAATAATTTTTTGAAAGGGAAAATGAAAAAGAGTTTGTCAAGACAGTAAAAGAGAGGACAGTGTGGAATGTCGAGGGAGACATAAATGATGTGTGGAATAGATTTGCTAGTTGTGTAAAGAATACTGCAAAAGAGATTGTAGGAGTAGAATGCTAGGAAACAATGAAACCTGGTGGTGGGACGAGGACGTTAAAAAAATCATAGAAAGTAAGAAAAAGCAATTCAAAGTATGGCAGAAGAGCAAAAAGAGAAAAGACTGAATGGAGTATAAACGCTTGTGCAAAGAAGCCAAGTGTGCAATAAGTAAGGCGAAGTTTAAGAGGTATGATAGGCTAAGAACAAAGGAAGGCTAGAAAGAAATCTATAGATTTGCAAAAGTAAGAGAGAAAAAGACTAAAGATTATCATTATATAAGGTGTATAAAAAGTGTTGATAATAAGGTACTCTCGAGTGATGTTGACATCAAAAAAAGGTGGAATTAGTATTTTGAAAAATTACTTGTACTTCAGTATTTCCGGAACTTTTTCAAAAGTTAATTTTTGGTGAATAAGTTGTCATTTTAAATTCCCCCTGTGGACAGGTAAAGGGCTAGATAAAGCCATTATGCTTTAACCCTTTAACCCTGGTAAAGGGTTAAATTTATAAAAAATATATACCAAATGATGGGTAAAGACATCAAGCATCTATAAAAAAAAAATTATATTGATATGTTCATTTTTGAAAAAGTTATGGCAATTTTAAGTTAAAAAAATTTAAAAAATTTCGAAAATTAGCGATTTTTAAATTTGTAATTTTTTTGGATGTTTCCCCCATTTACGGGGAACGAGGGAAATTTTTTCAATTTTTGAGGGTAATGTCTTCGACTAGATACGATTTTTGATCTTTTGACGTATTGTTCATCAAAATCGATCCAGCGAGAGCTGAGACTCAGCGTTCACAAACACAAAAAAAAATTTTAAAAAAACACATCATAGTAAAATTAATACCTTCTCAGCGTCGCTCCTTAGCTAAAAGTGAGGAGCGGGGTAATGTTCAGCGAGACTCTATTTTTACCATGGCACACAAATAATAATTCTAAGTTGAGCATCCCATTCAAATACAATTAAAAATAATAATTCCAAAAGTAANAACAACATACAACATACAACATACATGTGAAACTAATAAAAGCGTATTAAAAACTAGTATTGTTTAGTCAAATTTTTTTTACAACATACATAATATTCTAAATTTTAGCATTAACTCTTCACCTATTTACTCGACCAATGAATTCGATAAGTATTTTAAGTTAGAATGTGAACAATAAAAAAAAAGAAGTAGGTATTTTTTATCGAATAACTTTTTAATGAATTGCTCATTATTTAATACATTAATAATTTTTACCGTAATAGATCACTTAAATAGAAATCAAAGTAATCATTTCTAGTTGAAACTTATTACCATTTCAAACCTAATTTGGCAATATTTAAAAATATTAGAAATTAATAATTTGAATTGTTTGTATGGAGAAAGCTGGTTGAACAACTTTGATAAAAGGAATTTTTTTTTGTAATTTTTAGGATAATATCTTTAACTAGAGACTAGTTGTGATTTTTTGACGCATCGTTAAAAAATATAGGTCAAGTGAGTGCTGAAAAAATAAATGACAGCCACAATAACAAACCACATTAAAATAATTTTAATATGAATAAATAATTTTTTCTCACGAGGGGAGACTACAATGATAGGGTTGTTGATATTTATTGAATCTAAATGAGATAAAAATCAAATAAGTTTAAAATTATTTCTAACTCAAAATGAATCAAGAAATAATTCAAAATAATCCAATAGTAATTAGGGTTCGAACTATCAATTCAATCATACGTTACATTTCTTCGGTGGATAAAAATGGCAATTTAAGCAAGATTCATGTAATATATTTTAAAATCATTGTGCTCCCCTTGTAAGTTATTATAAAATAAAATAAAATACAAAACCAAGAATTTGAACACAAAAATATCATATTTTTGAATACGGCAGTCATTTTCATCACGAATACAAAATAAATTACGAATTTTTTTTTTTCATTAAAGTATATTATATATGTTTTAACTTAAGATATATACATGTCAGTATTTCCAGAATATTTTCAAAAGTTAATTTTTTGTGGAAAAGTTATCATTTTGATAACCCCTTATGGTCAGGTAAAGAGTCAGATTTTCAAAAAAAAGTATACCAAATGATAGGTAAATATTTAAAGTATTATAAGTTTAATATTTATAATACTATACTACGATTTTTAAAGTTGTAATTTTATTGGGGATTTCCCCCATTTACGGAGAACGAGGGAATTCTTTTCAATTGTTGAGGGTACTCTCTTTGACTAGAAATAATTTGTGATTTTTTGACGTAATGTTCACCATAATCGATCCAGTAAGAGCTGAGAATAAGTGGTAACAGACACAAAAAAAGAATAATAATAAAAAGTAAAAACATCATAGTAAAATTAATACTTTCTCAGCTTCGCATAGAAGCTAAAAAAAAAAAGTGTATAACAATAATTTATATATATAATATAATATAATAATAACGTATAACAAAAGTTTCATCATAAATCAAAATCAAACATAAATAATTGATTTCTTTAAAAACATTTTTTACAAATAAAAACTAAAATATAATAATTAAAAATATCTACTTTGGTATAGTCTTAAATTTATACACTAAAATTAAACACATATTATTAGAAAAATGTTCACGACTTTTAATATTTGTTTACTTGTATCAACATTTATGTTTAAAACTTTTATATAAAACGCTTTGTTAAGATGTTTTTTAGAGTTATAACTCAGGGGAGTAAATGTATAACGTGTGTTGCAATTTAAGGGTTCAGTACAATAACTAAAAATCTTCACCTTTTTTAGAAATTCACTTTTCTATGTTTTCTGATAAACAATATTATTTTTTTATTATATTGGTTTTATCACTGGACTTGTCCGTGCGCTAGATAAGTTAATATTTTAATCATAGAAATGCCTACAACACCAGGTTATTTTACTGAACCTTTCAATATCAATAATTAATACATTAAAAAGTTAATTTTGTATGTATTTGAAAAATATAAACTATTAGATTATTATTCGTTTTTATTAAAACTTTGAAAATAAGTCTAAGAGAACTGAAAAACAAGAATTTTGCTGGCTTTCATATTAATTAGCCATTTATTAAATAATAATTAATCTGATAAAACATATCCATCTTATTATGAACAGTGATTTGATAAGTTTTAGATTCTTGTTTGTTATAGATAATAATAAAAAGTATTTAGTTTTAAATTACTATAATACAAGAATTTGATGTTCTTATTGGATTTACACCCCCCAATTACAATTAAAGGATATTCCTTAAGAATTTTATTTGTTAGTAAACAAAATTAACATAAAAAATATTTTCACATATAAGCATTCCGTATATAGATGTAAATAATATAATTAGTAGATTTTTTTAATTTACAAGAATAATATTTAACCAATACTTAGTAGCTCTCAAAATATATGATGTCGAGATAGAACTTAAGGTTTCAATTTTATTTACTACGCAGGAGAGCATGATGGACAATTTGTTTTTGTTTGTTCTCTTACATAATCTTGAACGTTGAACGATCCTTTATTAACTTCTACTCCAGTTTTTTTGAATAATAATTCTCTGAAAAAAAAGCCAATAAAAACAAAAATACAAGAAAATTGTAGTTTGTTAGGAAAAATTCCCAGCTACAAAGTTGGTCCAGAGTCATTTCAATGCAATTTCACAATTAAATAAACCAAAAATTAGGTTGTTTACATTTTAATAGATACACTTGACTAATACATAGTTTTAGAGCTGTTCCTCAGAGGGGTATAACTCGCGCCTCTTTAATTAATAATCATCATATTATTATCAAGAAAATAATAACTGTACCTGAGAAATGGTTGATCTCATTCTATTGGACAATATTTCATCATTTTGTCAACAATTTTTTGTTTTGTAGGATTGCTACAAAAAAACTTAAAAAATATCACACACAGACCCTTGTATTGGTTTTAATCATGCCCTGATCACACAATTAAAAAAAAAATTATACAGTTGGAAAAAATCATTTTTCCCCCCTTCCCACCGTCATATTTTTTTTTTTGTTACGGCACTGAAGAAAAAAAATGTCCAGTGAAAATAAAACTTATCTTCACAATGTAATAATTTTTTGTCTGTTCGGAATTATTTCAATCAACTCTTTTTTACTTACATCTGTAAATTGTATAACTATAAGCAAATACAGTGATATTCATGCAATTGGTTACACGATAGAGTGTACGGAGGTATAAAAATATACCCATCGATTAATTAGCGTATATTTTTTTTTTTTTTTTTATTAGAAATATACAATCTGTACAATGAGCACAATAAGCATATATGATAAAAGTAACAAAAAAAAATTTACATGAATACATTTTGATGGAAGAAACCACTCATTAGTGATACTTCCCATGATTTTTTTAATTTTTTATTTTCTTAGAATTTTTATTTTATATTTCCAATGACTTAATTATATTATTATTAATTGATATTGGTAGAAAGAAGATCACGGCACCACTTACGTTTTAAACGTCTGGGTGGGTCTCCAGGTATGGACAAGGTTGAGAGGTTTTTTATTAGGGGATTTGAGTGGGAGAGTAATTTACTGTGGAATCTTTTATAGTAGGAAATGGCTTCTTCATGAACTGTTTTTAAGTTGAGATCGTTATGAAGTGTATAATTAGAGATATAAGGAGGTGCATTGATTAGTTTTCTTAAGACAATATTCTGAAAGCATTGAATTTTATTGGTATTGGATTTTTTAGCATTTCCCCATAACTGAAGGCCGTAAGTCCATATGGGTTTTAAAAGGGATTTATAAATTAAAAGTTTAACATTAAAGTTTGAAAATTTATTGTTTGTGATTAATGATTTGAGTAACCGCAGACGGCTATTTAACAACGAGCGTTTATTTTTAATGTGCTGAGCCCACGTGAGCCGACTATCTAGTGTAAGTATATCTTGTGATTATTTATAAATATATAGAATACATTTTTATAATAAACTAAATTAATTTATTTATTTATTTTTGTCAATGTAATTACGTTAAAAATCATTTAATTATTATATTTATTTTATCATTTTAGATTATTAACAAAGCAAACATTACAAATTCTCGAGAAAAAATTTATTTAATAATTTATTGTAGTTATTTGTTAATTGTTAATGATCATGGGAAAATCATAAATAATTAATGAAAACCGTTTTTCATTAAAAGCTATAACTGAAATTTATTTCTTATCTGTTTTAAAAAATACCTAGCAACAGCCATGAATGCTACGTCAACATTTAACCCAGATTTCGCAGATGTCTCCATAAATGTGACTGAATATTCTTGTGCTAATTTCTCACCTTCTTCTTTTTTAATTATTCTATCACTGGTGCTACAGTCTGCTTTATTACCTGATCAAACATTTTATAAGCTGATGTTTAATTATAAAAACTAAAATAACAATATAAATTTTAGGAATTATACCTATTAACATTATAACCACTTGGTCATTCGCGTAATCTCGAATTTCACTTAGCCAGGCTCTTATATTATCAAAGCTTGTTCTATTCGTAACATCGTATAGAAGTAAAAGAGCTATAAACAGAAATATTTTTCAAGATTCATGTAGAACTGTGAAAATAAATTACATAATTATCAACATTAAATTAATGGGCAAAAATTCGTTTCAAATTAATAATGCTACAGACGCGGATTTAGAAACATTTCTTTGATTTATTAATTTTCGATAGCATGATACTTTGTTTTATAGTCATCTTGTAACCAATGTTAGTGAATTGTTAATTTTTTGAGTCATTTCTTCTATGTATACCTTCTTTAGCGTAATTTTTATGGGGACTGTGAGGATTTCAATCCCTATGATAACATTTGTATTCCCCACAAATAAATTTAATTTTAAAATGGAGATAAAGCAGTAATGTAAAGAAGCTTTCTTAAGTTTTCTTATTTATTCATAATATTATGAGAAATATTATTTTTGATGAATTTGTTTTTTTTTTCAAAATTTTTCTAAAAGTAACAATTTTAGTCAAAAAATTGTTTGTTGTATTAATTTAGAAGGAGGAAGGATTTTACGATGATTATAAAAAGTATTGACTATTAACATATCCTCCATGTCTTTATGGTTTACAAAAAAGTTTTTTAAATTATAACTTGTTAAATTATTTGCGAATTGTATTAAATAATTTAAATAATCTTAAATTAGAAAATTCTATTTTTTTTAAATTTGTAAAATGCTATTCAAATTTATTTGTACAGATAATTGACGAGGGACTTAAAATATTTTTTGAATACCATGAGCATCTCTATAGTATGCATGTGTGACGCTTCTAAATCGTTCCTGACCTGCTGTATCCCAAATTTGCAATTTCACTTTTGAGTCTTCCACAGATATAACTTTATTCTGAAAAAATGTGTCATATTATAAATTAAAAATTAAATTAAAAAACTATTTAAAAATTATAATAAAATTGATATCAATTATATTTCAATAAGGAATCATAATTTAATTAAATACTGATAAATAGCTGATTTGTTAGTCTCCTTAAATGTGAGTCGTAGTTAATTTGTATACAAATAGTAATTTAAACATATTTTTAAGAAGTTTTAATTAATACAAGGTGATTATTTTAATCACCAGTTAATTTCTCTTCACATAATAAGTCTTATGTAAACTTTGTTAGTTATATAAGTACTTTCATTTATCTGTTATAAAATAATTTTTATATCCTTTCATTATATCTTATTGGGGTATCAAATTAATTTTTATAAATAGTAACATAGATATTAAACTCTCTTATAAAATAGAAAATGATATAGTTAAGAGTAATGACTAGGGGCAAGATATGGGTGTTGCTATTTTTATCATTTCAGAGTCGTACTCCTCGTTCAATCTATGTATAAAAATAAGAATAACTTCCGAAATACTGGTCCAAAAGTTGTTACCGACCAATCATTTTCTTAATTAGATAACTTTTTACTTTTTAAGTTAATTAAATATGTATGTTAACATTTATAAAAATAAAGTTGATACACCAATAAGTTATAAAGGATGGACATAAAAATTATTTTATAACAGATAAATGTAAATACATATGTAACTAACAAAAATAAAAAAATAAAAAATGTTCAAAATACTTATTATTTGAAGAGAATTTGAGTGGATAGTGTTAAAAGAATTATTACGCATAAATTTGTTTTTTATTTAAGAAAAATATTTATTAAAAACTAAAATTCAATAATTGAACTTTAATGTAATTTAATGTAATTAAATAAAAGAGGTGTGTATAAAAAAAGTGTACAAATTCTTATATTAGTAAATAATAAGTGTTTTGCTATAATATTATTTTATTTTTATCTGAACAAGATCAGTTTTTCTAATAGCGCCAACGGTTAAAATTAAAGTTAATGTACTATCCAACTAGGAAATTAGCATAGTAATAAACATATTGCGTTCTTCGTATAAACATTTTAATTATTGTGTTACAAATGTACTTAATTTACATACAAATAGAGAAATCATAATTACTTTTAGAGTTTAATTGGTCAATAATACTTATGGTACCTAATTTATAAAACGAGGTGTATATTATAGAAATTGCAACTATACATCTTTTGATTAATTTTTTAAGATTAATTTTTTACATAAAAAAAAGTTGTACTCAAAAAATGTGATAATGCGGTGTTGAAATAAAAATAAAAAAATTAATATTGACTTAAATTATTTTAATTATAATCTGATAATTTTCAAGGTTGATCTTGAGTTCATGATTTTTCGTAATAGTAGTTACACTTTTTGATAACTAGAATTTAGTCATAATCATTTTTATAAGGTTTTCGCCATCAATGTTATTGCAAAAATAATTTAGTAAATAATTGTAGTAGTTATTTTTTAATTATTTTACTAGGTATAAATGCGAGTTAATAATACACATGTTGCGACACTTGTTTAAATATTACTGTCTACTTGTTTATAATACATCATGTCTACCAATTTTGATTATACTCAATTTCTATTAGTTACATTTCAAATATTGTGTACAAATTTAGTAGATTAATTTATTAAACTCAATTTTCAATATTTAGGACAAGTGTAAAAGTATTTGTTTACAATTTTAGTAACGAGTTAAAAACAATATTACAATTTTTTTTCTAATATAACATACGTAATAAATTATAAGATAATAAAATTTGGTGTGTTATTCATAATTCATATTACACATTTCACAATTATATTAAAAAATCTATGTATCAATATTTGTTCATTGATCACTAGATAGTTATTCTCACCCTGAAGTCGACACCGACTGTGGAAATATAATTTCCGCTTAAAAACATGTCATCTCTGAAACGAACTAATAAACAAGTCTTCCCAACACCTGAATCACCAAGAACCATAACCTAAACATAATTAAGTTTACTTAAAGTAATTTAAATTATATTCTCGTATGAATGTATCAAATTTTATTGTCTCCTGTTTTCTTCTCATTTGTAAAAGAAAATATAGGACTTATTTTTATAAGCGTTCCATTGCCTCATTCAAAATAATGTAATAGTGTATAATGTATAACTGTATATACATTTTTCAATAGATAAAATATTATATACCACTAAAAAAAATCAGTCTTTAGTTTTCTGTTTCTTTTCATGAGACACATTTTTAGACATGAATGGTTTAAAATATTATTAAAAAATAAAAGTATTTATCTAACATTACATCATAAAAAAACATCTGCATTTTAGTAAGTACACAATTATAGTGTAAAAAAAGAGCCTTATCTTTTTGACATTTTAATTAAAAAAGACGCTTTGACATTTTAAGAAATATTGAGTGCGTCTGCAATCATTCTATATATTATGTATGTACAGGTGTACATTGAACATCTGAAAATTGTATCATGTTTTTTCAAAACATCATTATATTCTAACTTGTATATTATTATTTGAAATTCTTACACATTTAATATTTATAAATAATGTTAAATATTTGTAGTGTATGTGTATTTCAAATAATTGAAGTTATTCCACAAAAAATTCATTTTATTTGTTACAATAAAATGTAATAAACTTTTCTTGAAGAATACGGAGTGATTGTTTATATATGTCACATGCAATATCTTTAAAAGTATAAAATATAATAAAAATTTTTTTTTTTTCAGAACTTTTTGATACCATTAACAACGTTTTATAATTTCAGAAAACAATTTAATCCTATCTCCCTCTTTCCAACTTAAAATTTTATCAAAATTACTTTTTTAAGTGGAAACATTTATATTTAATCAACTTACCATAATTTTTTGAGGGGCTAAATTCATTTTTCCTACTCTAAAAAATAATTTTTGTATAACAAATTAATAGAATTTTGTTCAATTTTTTTTTTTTTTGAAGGGGCTGAATTGTAAACTGGGTGATTAAATCTTTTACCTTACACTTATGCAACGTACAAACTAAAAAAGGTTCTGTCTAAGAAGATAATAGGTCGATAAGGGGGAAGGAGTAGTATGGTTCATTAATGCCTAGAAATAAAAATAAACAGAACCATGTTACACCTACAATCATTATAGTAAGTATGCATGTTAGATAATTTCTAAAATACAGAACCATAAGCTGTTAACGATCAGTAATTTTATAAAATAGCACTTTTTCTAGTTTTTAAATTGGCTAATAAACTTAAGTTGATAAAATTTTGAAATTATAGAACGTAAGATACTATTGACTTCCAAAAAACAAAAATTTTATTTTATATTTTTTAAGATATTGTGTGAGTTATAGTTATTCTTTTTATTTTTTTAAAAACTTGAAGTAAAAAATAAATAATGTAAATTATTTTTATGTCTCGATTATAAACAAAATTTTGTATTCTATTTTATATCAAATTATATTATATGAAAACTATTTGGATATGGTTTAAGATTAGAACTTATGATTCAATCAATATTAATGTCACTAATATATTCTGTTTACACTACGGACTTTATCCTTACCTTAAAAAACCAATCACAATTATTGTCAGGATGAAGTTGATGAAACTGTGTTCTCTTATTTTGATGGCAAATATTTTTATTGCAAATACTATTGCCACTGGTTTTAGAACAAGGAGTTGAAGATACAAAATCACTGACACTATAAAACACTTTACTGTCTATCGACGATGTTTCGGGTATTTGTATGGCTTGATTTGGCTTTACAGACGTCCTTCGTTTTGATACAATTTTTCGCTCGAATATTCGTTCCGAAGACATTTCAATAACAGTCTGAAGTCTATTTGTAATTTTAACTTTAACACTACACTAATGTTTAATTCACATTTTTTTAAGTAAAAATAAATAAATAATAAAAACACATTCAGTAAAAATATGATCGATCGTGATTCACGACAAGGTTCACTTGTTCAGCGACACGCGCGTCGTTATTGTGTAGCATAACACTTGTGGCATTTATAATATCTTCCAAACCTCACCTCCATTCCTGATCACTACAGTAATACACAAAGTATATCGTGTGTATGCGTTTTTGCATCCGACGGAAGCGTAACGCTGCGTCGGCAGGTGCCTGGCATTTTCCCGGGCGTATCCATAGTTACCATGTTGAGCTACTGATAATGATGTGTCACAAGAAATCCTTTGTATTTTATAATGTCTATATGTAAGTAGTTTGAAAATGTGTTAAACTTTTAAAGTTATAACGAAGTACTACATTAAATATTTTCAAAATAAAAATTATCTATTCGTTGTTTTTCAAAAAAAATTTTAGAGTCGTTCAAATAATTTTTTTGTAGAAAATTCCATTGAACTTATATTTAATATATATACTTTACACAAATTAATACGATGTATAAACTGTATTTTCTCTTAAATTTTGAAAAGTAATTTTATATAATAATTACTGTAATTAATAAATTTGATGAAGAATGGGTAGACAGTAAGTTTTTAATATCACTCTGATTTTGTTGAACTATTGCTTCATAACATCAATTAATTCAGTTATTATTTTTATTGTAAAACAAAATTATGACATGTTATAAAAATCAGTATACTTAAGTATAACTGCTTATAAAAAATTTTAAAATACATACCGTAAAACCTATGCCAACAGTGGCAGAAAAATTTCCAGTTTGAAATTGTCCAGTATCAAAACGAACTAACAGTGAAGTTTTTCCTACTCCACTGTCACCAAGTAAAATTGTCTGTAAATATAATTTTATAATTATAAAATATGAATAAAAGTTATCATTAATAAAGTCAATAGACTCCACAAAGACTATATCACAATATACATTATTTTTATTGACTTTCGGAGTCCTAAGCCTTTCAAGTCATCCTAATTGCACTTGCAAATTTAAGTTGAGTAAAAAGTGCAACTATAGTTTTAGAGCATAGTAGAAGTTTGGGAGCTTAATTCCTCCAAAAATACAGACAATTTTATACATATTATCAAAATATTTTTAGGTGGAGGAATATTATTGTAAGGCTATCAATATTTTTCCCTAACTCCGTTTATTATTTTAAGAAAGAAATGTGCTAACAGTTCAGTCTGTGAACTTAAATTAGTTTTCACATATCGTAAAATTTTATATTTTTATAAAATACGTAAAAAAGTTATTGATTACTGACCAATATTTAAAACAGTAAAATGTTATAACCTTTAAAACTAAAATATATAAAACGGTAATTAAATAAAATAAAAAAATTAGTATATAATCAATTGTTTGTTCTTATTTTATTGATGTAAAGATATGTAGGAGATGGTTATAATGCTGGAAAATCACCAAACTGTAATATAAATTTTAATTTTAGGTAAAGCCACTTTTCATATTTTTGATCAATTTTTTTTGTTTTTCATATATTTTGAATGAAATGACTGGAAAATTGAAAATTTCGCCCTGAGGAGTTATTTTACTTGCCTATGCATAAAGACGACCCAAGTTTCTCCACAATAAAAATAAAATTAATTACTTTGATGATACACTCCCAGCAAACTATACATAGTAAGAAAATAGTAATCTAAATGTTTGAATAGTGTCTATGATAAAGCTGTGTAGGCGTAATCTAGGGGTATAGAGGGATATAGCCCTCCTAATTCTGTTGCAATCCCACATTAAAAAAAAAAAAAGTTGCATGCAAATTACATGTAAATTTATACAGAAATATTTTTATAAGGGGAGAAATTAAGTTAGAGCACCTAACATTTTGTTCAAATTGTGTCTATACATAGTAAGATCAGCTATAATGTATAGTTCAAAGTATTGAGCGGTTGGCAAGAGAATAGAGCAGTAAATTAGTGTAGCAGAAATGAAAATGCTTAGATGGACAAGTGGAGTGACTGAAGAAGATAGGACAAGGAACGAATATATAAGAGTAAGTAAAGGTATACACCGTCAGTCGTGGATAACACGTGAGAAAATAGACTTAGATGGTTTGATTATGTTATGAGGAGAGAGGAATCTGAAACTGTAAGAAGAGTTATGGAAATTGTTGAAGGGAGAAGAGGTAGAGGAAGACAAAAAAAGTGATGGAAGGAGTTTTTAATGTGATATGAGGATGGGTGATGTGAGAGTTGTGTCAAGGGGAAGTTTAGAATAAGGGTGGTCGACCCCAAGTAGTTGGGATAAAGCCAAGGAAAAAGAAGATAAAGATCTTATTGGTTGATAGAAGTAATTTGAATTTCTACTTATTTTCTATAAATTTGTTAATGTATATATAAATTCTGAATAATTGGTTACCCAAAATTACTCCATTTAAATAGATTAAAAAATTCTCTTTAAGTAATTTCAAAAATTAAAGCATATTTATAATAGGTATTTTTCTTCTTCTTCCTCGCCTTAATCCCAACTACTTGGGATCGCCCATCCTTATCCTAAACTTCCACTTAACACGATCTCCAACATCATCTACGCTCACATCAGCTGTCCTCATATCGCATTCATTAGCATCCTTCCATCTCTTTTTTGGTCTTCCTCTACCTCTTCTTCCTTCAACATTCATTGCTATAACTGTTCTTATAGCTTCCAATTCTTCTCTCCTCATAACATGACCAAACCATCTAAGTCTATTTTCTCTCATCTTATCCACTATTGACGTTACATCTATACTCNCAATCTAAGTCTATTTTCTGTCATCTTATCCACGATTGACGCAACACCTATACTTCCTCTTATATGCTCGTTCCTTATCCTATCTTCTCTAGTCACTCCACTCATCCAACTAAGCATTCTCATCTCTGCTACACTTATTCTCTGCTCTACTTTCTTATCAACCGCCCAACACTATTAACCATACATCATAGCTGGCCTCACAATTTCATACTAAATTTAAAAACTATAATTAGTATTTATTCATATATTATATTTTAAAATCAAAGAACTACTATTATATGCTCATTCCATTTATAATATGTATTATGTAACAAAAAAAAATTAAAATTCTGAATAAGATAAGTTTTTTTTTAGGAACCAACTCTTTATACAATTAAAGGAATGGCTATTTTAGATAATGATGGAAACCGTATTTTAGCTAAGTATTATTAAGTAAGGGAGGTCGACCCCAAGTAGCTGGGATAAAGCCTAGAAAAAATAAAAAAGAAGAAGACATATTTACCTTGTGAATAATTTTTAAAGATGGATCTGATGGCTTCCTAAGATTTGTTTTTGGTTTATAGTCCCTATATCCTGTAGATGAAAGATTTTTGTTATGTTTCATCACATTAGGTATCTGTTTATTTGTGTTTTCTTCCGCTTCTTCTACACTTTCAAACACGTCATCACTCATAATATCATCCGTCGAAAACATTGCTATTACAGGAGTCTTTATCTAAATTAAAAAAAAAATCAATTTATTTTTACCTTATTTTAACAAATTTGATTAAAAATTATATCTAGTAAATGTTTAATGTTAAAGTCAATAATAAATGATGATCCCAAGGAAGATGGTATTTTTACGTGATCTGATAAGTACATTGATTTTATAGTACTCAAATAAATTTTATACTGAAATTAATTCGCTTAACTTTATTCATTTGCCTTATAAAATATTTTACTTTTGATACAGACGAAAAATAAATTTAATAAGCGTTAATAAAAATCTCAATGATAGGTATAATAAAATACAAACTTATCGTATTAAAACCTTAAACATAAAACCATGCTTCTTTTCTTAAAATAAATTTTAAATATTCTTACTTTTTGCTATTGTTACTACAAAAATATTCACGATCAAGTGCTATGTGATAAATTTTTATAAGATGTTATATGGATATGAATATCTAATATGTTGAACGTAATGGGAATTACATTAACATATATTTCTAAAAATTAGACTAATATTTTTACAAATCTAGTAAAATTAGATTAGTCTACAGTGGCGTAAGTTTACAAATTTGGCCTTTGCTTTTTATGAAGTGGATCTAGAAAATATTTTTGGAGGAGATCAACCCATATTATTGTGATGGTGTCACGTTACCATTATTGTGAGAATTTATTATAATAAAATACAGACAACACATTCGCTTCCTGAAACTGATGAATTAACATTTATTGCTAAATTGACAATAGTCCAAATTATTATAAAAACCCAAAAGACCTGACCATCTTGGTTAGTCGACTTCAGTGCCTTGTGTCATTCATCAGTCTCAGTACTCGGTTGTCACTGTCCGGCTTACTGCTTAATGTAAAGTCTTTGTTTTTTCCTTTTTAACCTATCTACTTTCTTCCACAACATTTCAGAGTACTTGTGTCTTGCATTTCGATTGCACCTCATACTCGGCTACCCCGTTCTCTCTTTGAAGTACTTGTGTCTTGCACTTCGTCAGCGCCTCACACCTAGGTGTTAACCTTATTTCCTTCCTATAACAACAGCATTTTTCTCAGCTTTCACCGAACCGATTTTTTTCAACGATACGTCAAAATATCACAAATTATATCTAGTCGAAGACATTACCCTCAAAAATTAAAAAATTTCCCTCGTTCCCCATATGAGGCAAATCTTCAAAAAAATTACATATTTAAAAATCGCTAATATTTAAAATTTTTTTTTACTTAAAACTGCCATAACTTTTTTAAAAATAAACAAATGAATTTAATTTTTTTTTTATAAATACATGTGGTATTTAACTATAAATTTTATAAATCTAACCCTTTACCTGCTCACAAAGCGGATTCAAAATGACAACTTTTTCACAAGAAATTAACTTTTTCAACTTTTTAAATTAAAGCTAAAGTAATATACTTATTATGTAAAAAAAAATGTTGGACTTTATTATGGAAAAAAAATTTTGGACTTTATTTTGTTTTCATGGTAAAAATATTTTTAACTATATAATGCTATAATTTTTTAAAAAATGTATGGATCATTATAATCTGATCCTTTAACTGTCCACAGGGGGGGATTCAAAATGACAACTTTTTTACAAAAAATTAACTTTTTCAACTTAACTTTTGAAAATGTTCCGGAAGGTCTGACACTTTTATATATATCTTAAATTAAAGCTAATGTAATATACTTTATTATGGTAAAAAAAAATTTCGGACTTTATTTTATCTTCATGGTAAAACAGACATCAAAGTGGATAAAAAAAATACGATTTTTGTAAAAAAATTCTTTTTTATATTTTTAACTTTATAATGCTATAACTTTTTGAAAGATGTATGGATCAATATAATTCTTTTTTTATGGATGCATGATGTCTTTAACTATCATTTGGTATAATTTTTTTATAAATCTGACTTTTTACCTACCCAAAGGGGGGATTCAAAATGACAACTTTTTTACAAAAAATTAACTTTTTCAACTTAACTTTTGAAAATGTTCCGGAAAGTCTGACACTTTTATATATATCTTAAATTAAAGCTAATGTAATATACTTTTTTATGGTAAAAAAAATTCGTACTTTATTTTGTCTTCAGGGTGAAATTGGCTACCGAATGCTATTTTTGTGTGAAAATTCTCGATTTTATTTTTTTATTTTTAACTTTATAATGCTATAACTTATTGAAAAGTGTATGGATCAACATAATTTTTTTATGAGAAATAATAATTTTTAATAATCCTGCTGGGTTTTTTTTTCATGTCATCATCACTTGAGAGTAGAAGTTTTAATACTATAGGTGTTTTAATCAAGCAGTGTTCAAAACGTAACAACTCTGAGCAAAGCTGCATTTATACCAAAAGATGAACAAATCAAGTAACATTTATTAAATATTAAAATAAAAATTGAATGAGAAATAGAACATTTAAGTTGAAAAAAAGAGTACATTGAATTCAATTTTAGGAAGTACACAGAAAAAAATGATACAATTGTATAATAATATAATTCTAAAACGAAATACCGACGATAAAACAATTTATTTTATTGCTTGTGGTCGATAGTTCAAATAATGAATAATAATAAAAATCTATTTTAATATGTTTTGTGGTATTTATGTGAAGTGGTATGGTCGTTTTCATTACTTAGTCGCAACAAAAATAAAGGGATAATATTACCTTACAACATTATATATATTATTATTGGGTAACCAAACATCAATATAAACTAAAGATATATTATTAAAATGAGCGTAGTAGAACAAAATACATATTAGCGAAACGCTTTTTTTTTTTATTAAGTGATGGCATCTTTAATATATTAAAGATAAGTTAATCTCCCCATAGACTACAACAAATATGTCACATATCTAAAGTCTTAAGTTAATTTACTTATTTAATAATTTACTCGGTTGATTTATAAGCCATCCAATCAAATAAAATTCAATGACTATTTTTCCATTGGAGTACAAATTTTGAACTTAGATTAATTTCTTTTTTTTAATTTCTTTAAAATATCATAATTTTTTATGTTGTATAGATTTCACTTAATATAGAGTAAAAAAATATCAAGACATTGTTAGTGATTTTTAAAAGTATTTTTTGACTCTTCAAAAGAACTATAACGACATTAAACTTATAGCTATATGTAGAATTAATTTATTCAAATTCAATAACACTTTTTTCTAATATTACAGTTTTAAATAAAAAATAATTGCAATACCTTTTTCATAGTTTAAGCTGTATTTTAAAACTTCCAATTAACTATTAATCTATCCACATCTTATTTCGTGTTGATTGTTTTTCTACATACTCTTAAATTTTCGTCTCCTCAAGAGTTGATAAAAAAATAACTTTTGCATGTTTATATAATTTTAGAAACTGTATTACCTATTAGAAAAACATTAGTTAAATTAAAAGTAATATCCTGGAGGAAAATTATAGAACTGGGGCGAGAACAATCAATTTTGGGAGTTTCCCGTTCTGTTAGCGCATGTCCCCTTATTCTTTAACCTGATACGTACGCATTGATAAAATGATAAAAGAATGCAATTTTTAAAACATTTCATTATGTCCATGATAACTTTCATCGGTGTTCATTCAATGTAATAATAAATAATATGAAATAATAAACAGCAATGGTAATGAAATCTTAATTTTTTTTTCGATAATAGTTGCATTGATAATTCTTGATATTATATCTAGTAAATTAGTTCACATATATATGTATATTTATATATATCAAAATTATTTTTAGTACATATTGACAAAATTATTACAGAACCCAAAAATATTATAAGATCGCATTTGAAACCTTAATTGAAATTAAAATTAACTCTAAAAGTTAAAAAACCAAAATTTACCAAAACTCTCGTTAAAAGTTAAAATTAACTAATTAATTTTAGATAAAATATTTAAAAATAAAATGTTGTGAGACTCCAAGTTCAGCTTAAGTTATTTGAATTAAGATTTTACTTCTCTTAAAATTATTCCATTAAAATATGAATTTTTTTTAATGAGATTTAAAATGCATAGAAAAGCATGCAAAGTTTGGGAAAATAAATTAAAATTTTTTTTTTTTGACCTATCTAATTATGACTGCTTGGCCATTATTTTAATTTTTATCTCACGAAAAAGACTATATTGCCTCATTAGCTTCACATAATTATAAGATATATAGAGGAGAAAATTAAGTTGTTGCGCGTTTTTCTGGTTGCTTATAACAAAAAAAAGTAAAACACTTCTAATTTGTGTTTTGTTTTATACAAAATCATTATAATTTTAATTACATTTATTAAACACGGACACATGAGAAATATACAGACGCGTTAGCAGATGTTTTAGCACGTGAGCAGCTTGCGTTTTGTCTATGTTCACACAGAACCTGCTAAAACGGTTTCGGTGGTTGTTGCAATCACTGATATGCATTTTGAAAAACAACCAATACTTTTATCGTGCCACGAAGTGATGTCGTTCTCTCTACATACCGTTATAAGAAAGTCGTTAAAATTATATCCCTCTTTTTGAAGTATTCTGCATGAGAGGGATAGTTGTAAAGAACAATATAAAACGTCTTGTGGTGCAACAATGATTGTAATGCGTGTAGAACGTACCCTTCGAAGTAGGTTGTTTTGATACCTTTACTAAGCATAAAAGACGATGCCGCGGTTGTTTCATCTGCCTACCTACATCTAACACCGGCCCTGTAATAATACAATGATAGCTTAAAAGGGGTCTTGTTGGATCTACTAAAACATAGCTGCATTCATTTGCACGCTAAACCTCTGTAGTCTACAGTACGTCATACATCTGCTCTTAACTTCTGTCCTTGATACCATTTTAAGTTATGCTAGGACTTTATAACCTCCAACAGTTGGTTATTAGTCGCAAATAAGAGTTAACAGTTTTATAATTTTATGTTTAAGATCTTTTTTATAATAATTAAATTATTTTGCTATACTAAATACAAAATACTTTTATCAATGTTTAAATAATTTTTAGTAAAACTTCCCGTATATACTACGTTATTAGGTATTGACCTGAAAACACATTTAATGAAAGTTGCGATTCGTGAACATATAATTTTCGTACTTGCTATCTTAAAACTAATCTGTGCTAAAATAAATAATTGCTAGTTTAACAAAAATTAAAAAAATATATTGCTCATCATCAAATCCTGTATAATAAAACGGTCAGGAAAGGACTTTCCGGTTACAGTTGGTCACACTATATTTCACATTTGATTCGCGTGCGTGTGCGTCCACCGTCCGACGTAAATATTTGTTGTGTTTACATGTTGTTAGTGTTTTCTAGATTTTTAATATGAAATTGCTGTTATTAAAAATGCTTGGTAATTAATTAATTATTAAGTCTATTTTGGCATATACTTTTGATATTCTCGTGATCACTTGAAAGTTTAATTTGGACCCAGCAAGTTGTTCAATTTGTTGTTGAAATATATTGTTTATCTTGTTTAATTGTAACTGAACAATAAAAGATTAGAAATGGGCGACCGAGTGTATGCAGCCGAAAAACTGATGAAAAAACGAGTTAGAAAGGTATTTATTAATTTACTTTTATAAACATTTTTAATTGTAATTGACAATGGTTTTAAGTTTAATTTTAATTTTGTAAAGCATGAAAATTTAAATTATTATGTTTTGTATAATACTTTTATCTTTGGTCTCAAGTAAATAAGGCTTATGTCATTATTTCATTGTTCTTTTTTTAATGATAAATTGAAGCTTACATTTTTTTAAATATTTTGATTCAGTTAGCTTAATTCTGAGGTGAGTTTTCTTTAACTTATTAAAAAATTGATAATTTCCCTATTATATGTGTGCGTTTTTAAATATTTTAAAAGCATTCTTGTAATTTGTTCAAATTTACTTCAGTTTTTTTGTGAGATCCTAGTCATGTACAATTTGAATTTACATATTTATTGTTAATGCTATTATTTTTTGTTATCATCATTTATTGATTTTCCTACATTTATAAAATTATGTATTTATTCTTCTTATGAGCATTTTAAAACAAGAGAATAAATATTTACAATAATTATTACAGTTGAAATAACTCATACTAATGATGAATTGGAAATCTAATAAAAATGTTCCTTTTATTAAGCAAATATTTGATTTAGGAAAACAGGTACAATCTGTGGGTCTAGAGAAGCTCGGCCCTACCCTTCAAATGCTATTGTTTCCCAAAAATGTATGTAAATCTACTTAAAAGAAAAAAAACATTAAGGAGTGAAGTAATTGAGGTAGATTCCCTAACTAGGAAGATTTTGTTCTTCTGTATAGTAAAAGATACTGTACTTCAGTAGTAATTTTATCTTAAAATTTGTAACTCTCCAGGAAAACCGTTTATATTTTTTCATCCTAATTTACATTATTATAAAGAGTTGCAATTAATCATTAGTATTTAGAATTTTTCTTTTATAAAATTACTTATTCTATAATATATAAAAAAAATTTCATCAAAAATAATAATAAAAAAAAAAAAAACCCAGCACAGGGGGGTCGCGGCACAGTTGTGACGTGGTATAGTTGGATCAAGTATAATGATATCTGACAGTGATTAAAATCACTATCAAAAATAAACGCTTCGATGCAAATCTTTAGATAGTGCTTAATTTAAAAAAAATTGGTGTTTTATTCCAAAAGCTACTTGATCTGCTGGTTCCTTATTAATATCTCGATAAAGATAAAGTATGTCAAATGAAAAAGGGTTTATTAAAAAATATTATTTCTCATAAAAAAATTGTGTGGATCCATAAACTTTTCAATAAGTTATAGCATTATAAA